CTCTAAGCAAGTTACAATTTATGACAAATCAAAATACTAAGAGAAAATAACGTCAGAGAAGCAAATATCTTTAGCAATATCTTTAAAGGTTTCGTTTTTATAAACGTTACTATCAATCTGTTACTTGATTACCGTAAAAATAACGATATACAGTTACGGTAATGTTCTGTTACCCGTTTATCGTCAAAAATGTTACCGGTATCGAAATTAACATATTAAAATAACATTATTTAACGATATTTTAAATGTGAATTGATAACGTTAACAAGTCCTGCTTAGAACAACATATTTAGAAAAAATAGTTTTTATTACATTGACCTGACCGAAACCAGATGCCTCAGATATAGCGATACAACAAAAATTAAGATCAATATTCATAATTATTTACGTTTTCATAAAAGAAAATCAAATTAAAAATATGCACTTGAAGAAATTAGGTACATAAGGAGTTTAAATTTGAGTCTCTTTTAAAAAGCCGGTTTGTCTAATAAAGGGGACTGTTATGGCATTACGCCAGCCATTCTGCGTTTATGAAAATGGTAAAAATAGCTGTGACACTATAATTCATCTAACAATAACATGATTCACCAATAAGCGAGCGGTATGTTTAAGTTAATATAAATATGTATACTTAAAGTATTATGCGTTTATAACGTAATGCTTTTGTTTGGCTGAGAGCGGATATTGGGAAATGGGGTTGCGCAGGAAATTTGAGGATCGATCGACAGAACCACTTCAAGTGATTGTGTAGAGTCATCAGGGTAATGAGACTTAGTGATACCTACGTATTTGAGTTTATACGCATTACTAATAATTTAAATTAAACAATGGTCAAGTATGGCAAACACGATAATTATATAGGAGCCCATGTTATTGTTTAAACACATTGGAACTACCCAATTGATTTGATAAGACACAGTAAATAACGTAGTCATTGTTTAGATTATTTGGCTAGAGGTATAATAAGTTTAGTTAACATGCCTGCTATGCCACAGCAGTAGAAACATTATGATGCGAGTTTAGTCAGATGATGATATGGTTGGGCTTTGCTTTTTTACATGTGTGACCTATTTTCTCTTGTTAAACCTAGCGTTTCGCAGATGGTGACCTCAAACGAAGCAAGCGGCATCAGAATATTTGCTTAATCATTAGTAAACTTAATAACTTGTAGTATAAATAGGTAAGTGTCTTGCCAGCCGACCCCACCTCGGGCCTGTTGAATCATAGATTTCAGGGGAATAGCCTCTTACTCAAAGAGCTCCGGCTTTATCGCACACAAAGACGATAGAAAAGATTAACATATTTGACCGCAGACAATTCGAGGATGCGCTCTCAGACAAGTTAAGATATAATTTTGAATATCCACCATCAAAATGCCGCATCGTCTATCTTCGCGACTGGACTCCGCTTACACTTAAAATTAGGTGAAGCTGTAATTTGCTGCGTCTCGTATAAAAAAACGACAAATTTTCAAAAATACATCACATAGAATATGAATTTAATGTATGGACTAACAACCTGTTTATGTTCAATTGAGATTTAGCAAAATGGTTGCAAGTAGACCTTAGTATTGTACCGACAAATAAAAAATCCATGTAAGAAATACCTATATTATTATTACCAGTCGTTACTCATCTAAATTACCGTACCTACGTAAGTAACAGTAACAGAATATTAAAGGAAAATGTCACACTCGGATTACTCCCAGACGTCGTAAACAGCTAGTAGAGCTTCAGACAAACCCCCCCCCATACTTGGTACTTTAGATACTTTATAAAGTTTCAGCTTTCTTACATGGATTGTTTTATTTGTCAGTACAATACTTAGGTCTACTTGCAACAATTTTGCTAAATCTCAAATGAACATAAACAGGTTTTAGTGCATACATTTAAGGTCAATTTCTATGTGATGTATTTTTGAAAATTTGTTGTTTCTTTATACGAGACGCAGCAAATTACAGCTCCACCTGATTTTAAGTGTAAGTGGAGTCCAGTCGCGAAAATAGATGATGTGGCATTTAGATGGTGGATATTCAAAATTATATGTTTACTTGTCTGAGAACAAATCCTCGAATTGTCTCAAAATGAATATTTAAATTACTTATCAAGGTACTAAAGGAAAAATAGAGGATGCGTCACGCTCAGGTTACTCCCAGACGTCGTAAACAGCTACGAGTGGTAGAGCTTCAGACATACCCCCCTACTTGGTACTTTATTTTATAAAGTAGAAACTATTTTAAAATCGAGCGCTTCTTGAACGGGCATTGTGAAATTGCTTTCATGAGAGATGGCTGATGGCTACTGTAGCACGTTTAGTGCCTAGATTATAGTGACGTGAAGTTTTCCTAATGCTTAATTCGGATGTTAACATAGTTTTTTGCCTGAAGCAGTTTTATGCGTTAAATGTGTAATAGTCACATATGAAAAAAAACTTCGGTCCTTCTATAATTTTATACTATTTAACAACCAATGACCAACAATTTATCTGAACTATTAGCTAAAAGGTTGTGCTTTGTACACATTGCATTATACAGGGTGATAAAACAGTATTTTGATGTGTTTAAATTCATAGGCTAGCTAAATGATTTAAACAACAATATATTTGTACTTCTCTTTCTAATTAAAGCTCATTTTGTATGTTTTTTTTAAAGAGATAATAAAATCTTTTGTTATAACATAATATATTATAGATACAACTTACTTAAATCATTATGCCCTATACCTTTTCAGAGTTTAGGTCTGAAGAGCATGTATTAAATTTTATATAATACTAGCTGTGCCCCGCAGTGTTACTCGCGGTTTATTAGGGATATTTTCCCGCAGTAAAACGTAGCCTACGTGTTAATCTAGGGTGTCAGCTAACTCCATACCAAATTTTATGAAAATCGCTTCAGCCGTTTAGAGGTGAAAAAGTAACAAACATACACACTCACAAACTTACGCCTTTATAATATTAGTGTGATAAACTTAGTAATTCTTGTACACGTGTACCATTATCAATAAATAGCCTGTAAATGTCCACTGTACTTTTATAGTAACTTTTTTTACATCTACCGCCTATTAAACTTCTACGGGCAGAAAAACTATGCCAGCATCCAAGTTTAGGAAAAGCGAAACTACTTAGAATATTTTTAGTATTTATACTCTAAAATCAGATTTACATCTCCAGCGGGGTCATTTTGCCGGATCTCCTTCATTTTCATTTCACATAATTATTTTGCCATTTTAAGATTTCAACAATTCTTTAATTAACGTCTTTGATATATTTTTTTTATTCTTTAACCATTGAACTGCTAGATGTCGAAATCTAAAGTAAATTTTCTAGAAAAAATTACTCTCGGTCCAAACATGCAATCTCACTATTTTTAGACCCCAAGTTTCAAAGCCAATGATGAGAAGCGTAATGAAGTTCCTACGCGAATGTCATTTACAGCATCGCATCGTTGGCTTTAAAATAGATCGATTCTGAACTTAGCGGAGAGCAGCTATAAGTGGTTCATTGATTCAATTGTTTCCTTCCGTTTGTCGTCCACGTATGGGTTTTCTTCGACTTGACAATGACTAATATTGTCTTATAACGGGAAAATAATTTGCAAACATTATTATAGAGAAGGCAGGAGGAGTTCGATGACGCAAGTGGTGACCGCGTTCGGCTGCGATCGGTGAAGTTAAGCAACTTTCGCAGTGGTCGGTCATTGGATGGGTGACCAAAAAATTTACTATCTCTCGCTCCTCCATGCTTCGGAAGGCACGTTAAGCTGCATCTGCAGTCGTTAACACCCGCCAATCCGCACTGGGCCCTCGTGGTGGGTCATGGCCCAAACTCCCTATTCCATCCATGGGGAAGGCCTGTGTCCCAGCAGTGGGGACATCAATAGGCTGATGATGATTATAGAGAAGGCATACCACAATAACATTGGTGTTTTCTCAAGTAGCTAAGTAGAATAACTTACATTATGATACCTATTATCTTATAATCTTACAGTATATATAAATTAAGCGTCACGTTGTTTGTCCGGGATGGACTACTAAACTACTAAACCGATTTTAATCAAATTTGCACACCGTGTGCAGTTTGATCTAACTTGAAAGATAGGGTAGCTTACATCTCAATTTATAGTCGCAATATTATTTTATTGCAAATTATTACTTTTGGGTGGTACGGTTACGGTAAGGTTTTCACAACATTATTAAATTTTCCAAAAAGAAATGGACGACGATTAAAACATAAAAAAAAAACAAAAAAAAAGTTTCATAATTTTAATAGTACCAATCTCTTAACAAACTCTTCCCTAAAATAAATAGGTAGGTCTACTTTTTCCTAATTTTATTGTTAAATATTTGATAGAAAATAGCTGAAATTAATTAAGAGCCATAAGTACGTGTAATTTAAATGGTTGTTCATGTGGGATGTGGGGTACTTTTATATTTCTAAGAACTTTAATTAACGAGTAATTCTACTTAGGATGTCAGAAATAACTACCTACCTAAGGCATTTTTGCAATCGTTGACCTGGAACTTTGTAGGTAGAGAATGTGAGCTATTCAAGAGCAAAAAATAAAACTAGTCACTTAATGATAAACTCGCGACTGTTGAAATTAAAGTACAATAAAAAGAAATAACACACAAATTTATCAAACGGAGTTGATTTTTTTTCTATTAAAAAGTCATTTAAGTATATCAGTTACTTTGTCATATAAAGTTTTCATCAAACTTTTATGACAAAAAATATTTTTCTCCTATGTCCCTATTTCTACGTACTACCTACTCAATATCGAACAAAAAAATTGCGCGTGATGACAGAGTCCCTTTAACATTTATAATAAGTATGGACAGACAAAAGTATGAAAAATATGTTTCTTGAGTGTTTTAGTGACGGAAAATTGGGTTTAATTGACCGTAAAATTTAAGATAAAATACGAGTATGAATAAAGAAATTAGACGCTTAAGTTTTAAAAGGTACAAATGAAGAATTGTTTGAAGAAATAACATTAAACTCACGTTTTTCTCTCTGGGTTTGTTGCACCAATATCCTCCACATCGGATGCAGTCGTTGCAGTTCATTATGTTCTCGAGGCTGACATTCAGACAGTTTATAGCGAAAACTTGCGGCAATAAACTTGCAACCATCACCACCGAAAAAAACACAAATCCCGCCATTGTTCTCATTTTTTTATTTTTAATTTTTCACTTTTTTAAAGCAGTGGATAACGGTTTACAACACGGATTACTGAATTATTCTTTTTTTTCTTTAAAATTTTGTTGCCGATTTTCGATCTCGACCAGACGTTCGAAATACAAAAAGCGCGCACGTCGCGACACGGCTCATAAAAGACTACAGAGTCCAATACGACGGCGACCTCTCTACATCAGACGCTCGTTTGTACGGAGATGAATCATCGCATACGACGGAGGAAATTCGTGGAAATTACTTTTGATGCAAATGTCGGTAATCTATGTATTTGTAAGGAACTCGGAAATAACCATTCAGTGACGATATTTCTGATCTATTTGGTGGTTACTATAATTTAGTGCTAGGTGCACTAAGGAAGGATTAAAAATCTTTAAATACTTTTAGGTGGTAAATTTTTTAAATTTAAAAGTTGGTTTCAGCACTACACCCTTATTTGCAAAACGTTTTCTAAATTTAAGCCCGGTCTATACTGTCACTTTTATTTCGTTGATATAAACAATATCAGGTATAAACAAAAAACCAAAGAATTCAAAACAAGGCTTTCTTAATTCAGTTTTCGTTTAGTAATAAATAAGGCTGATGTTTGACTCTCAAAAAGTGTTTTAGTAGTTTGACATTTTATTCACGTCTCTTTGATATTTTCACTTAATCAAAATTAATATTCAAAACCGTCCAAGTGTTAGTGGGTTCTGTACCATATCTATAGAACATTACACACTATCATAACATCGAGCATATAACGGCAAAAAATCACGAGGTTAATGTTTATTTTCAAATTTTTTCAAGGGTCCAACACAGTCAATACTGCCTTTTACTCAGGGATCTTATCTAGCTAACGGCCGTTTTTAGAGAAATCAACAAATTTTTAAGTTGGAGCTGTCGTTTTCTTTGGTATAGTACCTAATTAAAGAAGACACCGTGATGTGACTGATAAGCAAATAGTAGATTGTTTGGGAGGAGGCAAGAACTATTTTAAAGGTGAGAGCCTTTCAGCGAGGGATTCAAAGTACGCTTTAAAATTTTATCACCCTACTTGTGAGAAAATAAGTAAATGTAACTACGAATATGTAAGAAAAGTTACGTTTATTTATTTACATTCAAGAACAACAAGACAATCTAGAAAAAAGGCTAAAATCACATTTTCTGAAAAAGATTTCACCTCTCTTGCATTTTCAAAGAATATAATTTTCATCTGCTTTTATATATTGAACGCGGGATTTTGTAGGTACAAGACTTTGTATCACATTTTTAGCATACCTTCATTCTCACTACTCAAGCATACATATATACATAGACATACATTTTTTGTAAAACCTAAGGAATCCGAATTTGAGCAAACAAAAGGGAAATGTATTTTGAGCGTTTGTATTTTTTCACTTTTTTTTAAATTTGCCACAATGTTTGTTTGCACGCTTCGCTCGGGAGTTATGTGTAATCCTGAGTAAAGCGAGGGGTCCAATATGCTGCCCATGACGTAAGACAGGCTTTATCCCAGAGGTGCATACTCTACTTTTCATACCTACTGCTAGGCAATAAAAATCCAGGGCTATTTAAATAAAACATTTATTTTGTTAAAAGTTAATATTGATATTGTACACATTTGTCCAAAGAAAGGTTTACTAGAACAAAAAAAAAAAATCGACGCGGCTAATAGGGCCGTGGTAGCATAATGGTCAGTGCATTCGCCCGGATAGCGAAGGATGCGGGTTCGAGTCCCGTCCGCTGTCTGGTCCGCGTGGATTTTTTTTCTAGTAAACCTTTCTTTAGATTTAAACATCTAGCAGTTAAATGCTTAAAAAATAAATAAAATCACATTTGTCCAGTTATGGAGGGACAGAGTAATATTTTTACTAGGAACATTTATGGAAATTGTGGTGGAGTTTATTTGAGCAGTACTTAAAGATTCAGGAACTTGTGACTGATCCTCATTTTGGAATGTGAATGTTGGTGACGCTGCTTAAGGCAGCGAGTTTTCTGACACGTTATTTGATGTCGATGACTGTGGGAGCAAAGGTGTCCAAGCATCAATAATATTCGACGATTCGACGATGTTTCTTGATGAATGTTCTCATTAATACGGCAACTTATTCTATTCTTATTATGTATTGAATTTTCAATATAGCCCTCCGCTACTGTATCGGATTTCCAGCCTCCGTGTCGTTTTATCTGGGCTATATCCGCTCCCGAATCTGCCAAAATAGTAGCTGATGTCCTCCTAAAACAACTAAACTGTGTAAAGTTCTGCGTTTGGCAATTTTAGGTATTTAGCAATTTCCTTTAGAGTAGCACCAATTTTATTTTCGCAATCACTTGTCTGGCACATTTGCCATTATTATAAGATACGAAAAATCTGTAAGAGTTAATGTTAGAAGGGCGTAGAGCTTGATACTTTTCGAAAATTCTTACTTGCTCTCTACAGACTACGAATGACCGTTCTCTCTTTGTTTTGGTATCTGGCAAGCTTATCAACAATAACTGATCTGAATGCTTTTCTATATCTTCGACTTTTATGTTAAGAAGTTCATTTCCACGACAAGCGCCATTCACTCCAAATATCAAGGCCACTTATAACAAAAGAAAACATAAGGATTTACATTGTATTTAAATAAATTTGTGAAATTTTCGCATTTATAATATTAATGTGAAAAAATCATTAGATATGTAGACATGTACTCACTTTCATAGCCAGAAAGATGTGATCTGGTGCTTCATTTAGAAAAGTTTCCACATTTTGGGGTTGTAAATACTTTCGACTTTTTTGCCCGATGATCAACCGATTTCCTCTTTAAAAAAGATTGTAGATCTGAGCATTGTATAAATACACCATAGGCTAATGGAAATAAACCAAAAGGACGGATTCGGACACAGCCTTGACTCCTTTTGTTTCTCTCCATGTGTTGAAATCTTCATGCACTTTTTCATACTTATTTTTTGATTTTTCTGGTAAGAGATTGTTAATAAAATCCCTAAAGCGTCTAATTTAATAAGCTCCGGAGTCAAATCACTATCGCTCGACGACATTTTGACACGTGAGAATGTTAAAACACGGAACTGTTAAAATAACGTAGTAGGAACTTATTTTACTTTCTGAAAATAGCACCAAACACTGGCTTTTGTTTTGAATTTTTTCAATTGCGTTTTTCTTTTGTTATAGGTGGCCAGTTCGATTTTCGAATAAACTCTCTTTGGAATGCCATATTATTATTGAAAAACTCTATGATAGATACGTGTCTATTAGGAGTTTTCATACGAATTTTATCGTTCCAAATTCAAATCACTTTAAACCCTTGGGAGTTCCATACTACATTGGTGTCAATTCTAGCATGATTCTCTAAACCTAAACTTAATTTTGACAGCAGTATATCCTTGTCATTCTCTATACAGAATGAAAAGGATAGACTGATGTTAAATTTTCAATCAATCAATCAATCAATCAAAATCATTTATTCAGTTTAGGCTGTTACAAGCACATATGAATGTCGAGAAGCTACGCCATCGGTTCGTAAATCTACGGCGGGAGACCTTGTACTGAGAAGAACCGGCAAGAAACTCAGCAAGGGCTGTTTTTTTCTCCCTGTTTTATCATTTACAGAGTCGTCAAGTTGAAAAATGACTTCAGAGATGATTCATGAAGTCACCCTTCATTACATAATGTGAAATTATACATTAATTGTACACCTGCATTTTGATTGCTGTGTCACACAGTATAAATACAAACAGAGTTATTTATAATAGGTGTAATTAAACATTTATATCTTAAATATCAAAGTAGTTAGGGCAGACTCATCTCCGCTGGCAGCACCCGTTCACGAGCATGACGCATGAACCAGCCATCGCTTCGCTCAACCATATTTTAGGGAACGTAACGACCCGCCTCACACGACACCACCGAAGAGACTTTTAAGAGAGCATGACTACCCATAATTTAGTTTTACGTTTAGAGAATCACGCCAGAATTGGCACCATTATCTCCCTTGGGACTCAATGATTTGCTTTACGTTGAGATTGCGTGATTTATAATCGGACATTGTCGAGCAGGTGGTATGAAAAAAAAAATGTAGGTATTTGATCCAGAATAACGAACTTCTTTGTTCCTGAACATGTATTTTCAAAAAAGAATAAAAAGTTTAGTTTAAGTAAATAAAAGGTCGTTGTTCTATTTTATCTGAGTTTTCAATTTGTTTTTATTTTTACTCGAGACGGCATTATTGCTGATAATGATAACGATTTTATGAGATTTATTGACACCACGAGTTAAAAGAAACTATACCAAGCAGTTTTTGAGAAGCAAATACCCGTGAAATCAAGAAACCATTATAAAGCTCCCAGGCAAAGGTATTATATTAAGATTTTATAACTGTAGCAACTATAAATTATTGATGCTTTATAGGTACTTTAATAGTATAAAGCACTATGTATCCCTCTAAAGAAAATGCTGTTCCAACTCAGGTGTATTAAGGGTGTAGTCAAACTACACCTTTGGTGAACAATGTATTTTATATTTTTTCTTTATTTTTTTTTATTCTGAATTAATTTTACATATAGTTTACTTAGATCTAAGAAAAAAACACAAAAGGTAAAGAAAAATACATAGCCTGAACTAGGAATATCCTGTGTTTCAGGCAAAAAGATCTTAACTACTTTAAATAATCAATAGCACAATAAAACAATAACAAAAACAAACAATACTAAATCTACGTAACATTAATTCTGTATGACATGCAAAATTCAGCGTACATTGCAGAGTTGTAAACTGGGGCCATATCGGTCATTTGTTCTTTCTGTTTATTCGTATTTATTTAACATACATATTGGTGTCCGCATTAATAATCAGGTTTAAATAACGATTCTGTCATAAGTACTAAAACAAAATATATGAAAAGTTCTAAAATATAAATAATGTATGATTTTACCTAAAGAATCTAAATAATTATTCAAAACGAATTTAGTTAAAAAGGGAGTCGAATATTCTACAGCAGTGGTGTTGAGGACATCCTCTGTATCTCAAGAACCTTGATTTGCTTGCGGCATCACTTGGTTAGAGTCTCCATTCACATGGTGTCTCTGGGCATCGAAGGGATAGGACCCTTTTGTAGGACGACAGGCTGCAGACAGCGCTGTTGTAGATTTCGCGTACGGTGTTATCCGTTGCGTGGCATCGAACTGACGTCAAGGCGTCGGGATTTATCCACAATAAGCTCCCCAGGCAAATTGCTTCAAAGGCGGGGTAAGATTTATGAGTAGCTCATACCCCAAGTCACTACTTCACTGTGTAGAAACGGACTCCCCTCCTCCTCAAGCATAAAAATTATATTTAAGCAAATTCCCTTTAAAACTTTACTTGCGTGATGCAGGACTGCGTTTAATTATGGTACAATTTTCCTTTTTTTTCGAACACATTTACAGATTATAACAAAATTATTTCCCAATCATATTAAGTCGGTATGTTTCAATGAGTAGGGAGATAAAATAAGCTTTGAAATTTTGTGCGAATGAGTAAGGAATGACAAAGTCGTAAGGATAAAAAAAAATATAAGGACGGCGTCAGTGCGAAGTATCTGTTTGGTTCTGCCAGCGCCATCTATTTGATCGATTCGAAAATGTCGAATCAACTCTCCGCGCGTCCTTTTTATGTTTCGGGCATGCTTTCCTGTTTGCTAAAAATAGGTAACAAGAAGGTAAGGTTCCTAGTATCTTTTGCAAAAACCCTATATTATTTACCCTTTTAATTGATACTAAATTATTTACTTTCTAATTTATATTAATTAGTATATCTAATAAGTAGAATTTATTTATTTTATTACAATAAATCTAAGTCAGAACAATGCATACCTGTTTTCTGTTGGTGTACTTATCGATGTTCAATTTTAACATGTTACGTAGGCCTAACCTAACATGTTAAAAATAAAATTAACGCCTAGCAAATTGAAGTATATTATATGTTGACTAATGACACCGTTTATGAATATTGCTAGGCGCGTATGCTTATTATAAACCGATAGATAATATTTTGTAATTGAAACTGTTTAATAATGCAAGCATCTTCTTTCATCAGCTATCTGCATCTGCCGCCTTTAGAGGGAGCCAATGTTCCTCACCGCTTACTAATTGGATATTTATGTTTTTTTATTATAGGAAATGCAAAAGAATCCGCATAATAACATAGGATTAGTTTGACTTCTCTTATTTATGTTCGAAATTGAAAACAAATTAATCTTATTTGTTTCTTAGGTTTTCACGCACACCACTCATTAAATAAAATAGTTTCAAAGGTATAGATGCGCTGATTTATTTATTTATTATTTACTTTGTCGAGCAATAGTAGGCAGTAAGTAAGTTAGTAAGTAGTAGAGTAGTAAAGATTACAGAGTAAATAAAATCATTATATATAACGGTATTTTAAACCCAGTATTCTGTTTATTAAACTACAATTTTACTCCGAATGATTATCTTCATAATATACTTATTTAAAGAGTTTTTCGTGAGAGGTTTTTCTTGTTGAAAAAATGACGTTTCCACTTTCAAAAAAGTCAAAAAGTATTGCCTATCTGTAAAAACTTTATAGAATAAAAATTGCTTAGAATTACTCAGTCTATCCATTCCCATTCTTATTTTTTATGAAATATTTTTCATTCCCGCGAAGTGTCCACCATCAGGGTAAAAGCAACCCTCGGCATATTGACGACTTTGACGTAGAGGGTAAGTAGAACCTAATTTATTAAGGCTATCCTTAATCGATGCTGTTTGGTAGAATTGCTAGGACAAATCGTGCATTGACTGTACTTTATGAAAAGGGATCGAACGTGGGTCAAAAGTTTGTATGGACAAACAAGATTACTTTGATAAAACAAGTTTCAATGGTAAAGATGCACTGATTTATTTATTTATTCACTTTTCGTATCCTTTTCGAGCTACCTTCGAAAGACTTTTTCAAATCACAGAGAGAAAAAGAGTTTTTGAAATAGCCCCCCCGGCCAATTTGCACCTCTCTCCTCCCCTCCCAGGTTGGTGATCCGTCGAATTGTAGTATTTTGTTACAGTTTTGGGGGCCCCTGTCTTGTGAGGGCCACAGCCGTACCTGCTCTGCCTTAAATCCGGCGCTGACTTAGAGCCTCTTGAATTACGCCGTGACCTATATACCACGTAAAGCGATAGCTTTGGTATTGCAAGCAACTATGGTGGCCGCTTAGCATCAGGTGGGCCATAATGATTGTTTGCCAGCCTTTTAACCAAAATCAGCTCAAAATAAAGTTTAAAACAGTCAATATAGTTGCGGCACCCCTTACATTAAAAAGCGTTCATCAGAATAGTCACATAATGCAAACTTTTTTTAACTTGTTTTATACTTTTTAGTTCGTTTTTGTCAAGGCGGTCGTCATTTTAAAGATTACTGATTATATTTAGCACATTTTTTTTCTAAACAAACTAACGACAAAAAAATTACAACATAATGATGTTGACGACCTCCGTGGCCGAGTGATAAGATGTCGCCACTCAGAGGCGTGGTCGAATCCCGGTGGGGGCATAATGTTAGTCATTTAAATAAAAGTACCTGTTTATATAAATTTCTGACTAAAATATACTTAAATATGTAACATATGTATTCTACCGTTACCCTAGCGTCCCAACATAAAGCCTTACAGCGCATACTTAGAAGAGGCTCGGTTAATTGGTTGGAAATATTTATTTATTTATATTAACTTATTTATTATTCAAATAAATTATTTGATCGTGTGGTCGACCGATAGTTTCCTAAAAGCGGGATTCGTCGTGGTCGTAGAGGCTGGGATGAAGGTTGGGTTGTCGCAAGGCTCCGACAAGTCCTCCTCATTCTCCTTCAGGAATCGTTCGTACTCGCGCCTGTCCTGAGCATCCGTCAGCCATTTCCATGCAACCAACGTTGCCACCCCTATCAGGATGAGCGAAGCTAGACATATACCGCCGTATACTGGAACAGATAATTCCTTTTTTAAATAGGTTAATTTGGAATGAATGTATGTTTGGATATTAGAACTTTAAAAAAGTAACCCTCAAGAGTAGGACATGGAATTTTGCATACACATTTGGTTTTCGTTTGGATGACAATGCATGGGTATTTCAGTGACGCCATATCGTTTTAACTAAGTTTTCGCTGTCTCTCTGTATCTGGCAGCGGGCTAAAGGTGAAGGTCCACTTGCACGACTCTGCTCCAACACCATACTGAATTAAGGTTACTGCTTGCAGTCCACCAGGCGTCAGCTAGCAGGCACCCAGCTCTCCCTCAGCTGGACACCGCGCAAACCGCTTGCTTGTAACGCGAGATAAGCGAGCGAGGCATGAACTACGGAGCAGTCTGAAGGCGGTAAGCTCATTGACAGCGAGCTGTCTGCTGAAATATGTTGCCAATGCCAAGTACTTCTAAAGAGCAAATAATTATAGCCCATATTTGAATTATGGAAGGAAGCGGAGTCGTGTAAGTAGGGCTGTACCCTAATATCACATGAATGGTAAAAGAGGCTTTACACCTTCCGATCTCATCCGATTTATCGGATATCCTAAAGCCGATATGGCGATATTGTGCTTGATTGGGATGCCAGATTGGGGTATTAATCCGCCATTTTGGCGGAAATTTGAGGTTTGGCGAGATTTTAGGGGGAATAATTCGTTGGGGGAATAGTTGGCGGATATATATAAAGTTATAGGCGATATTCTGGAGGTAAGAGTAGTAAAAGAACGGTGCGATTGAAGTGTACAGATAACTTAGATATTGTCTATAGCAGTATCGCCAACACGGATTTTTAGAGCGACATTTAGCTCTAAATCTGCTAGGTTAGCTCTAAAAATGTAGGTCTAGCTCTTAAGCTCTACTTTTCTACAATTTTACCTTTTTCCCATGTAAGTATGCTAAAAATAAAAAAAATAACCTTTTTTGGATTTACAGTTGCAAATCTTTGTACCATAGTAGAGACCTTTCTATGCGAGTCTAATATTATTGTGCATTATTACTACTAAAACCCTAAAACAAAATTTGCTTGACAGCAGTCTCACCTTTTCTTTATTAAATGTCTATGATAGAACTATGGATAGAGTCTGTGCGGAAAGAGAATGGGATTTAGATTGGAGAGCGCTGTAGTGCTTTTCTACCGTATTTGTAAGGTTTTACCCCTTTTAGACATGATTAAATACAAAAAACCGCAAGCAATCACAACAACAAACAAATCCGAATCTATACAAAACTTTGACGTTTTACAGATTGCTGGGTTTGATTGCCAAATTAAAATCTTAATGTTAGTTCCGTTTTTCGCCACGCCCATTCTCTTTCCGCACAGACTCTATAAGTAGGGTCTAGTGGGAGACAGTGTAAGAAGGGGCTAATTGTAACTTATGGGATATCTCCGTATTATACCCGGTCATTTTGACGTTTGAGGACAGTTGCTTTTTGATGTGTAACATCTTTCCTGTCGCTTTCCTGCAATTTGTGGGAGTGATTTCGTAAAATAGGACGGAAGTGTGTAACAGGAAGTCGCGAAAGCGCGCGGTATTTGATTTGATTTTAGAACATAATGTTCAAATGGCTTATTCCTTTTGTAGTAGTTTTTTTTTACTAATATAAGGTAAGTTTTCAAATGTTACACATCATACGCGACTACTGTAAGGCTCGCTCGTTTTTTTTTATAAATTAAACGACCTTGGAGCTTCCCATATTGGTCAGTGACAGTTTATGCAACTGATTGACTATAGACAAATATGAAAAAAGCAGATATATTCCATAAGTTACACTGTGCCTCTTGTTACAGTGTCCCCCACTTACCCCAAATACTTGCAAATATAGCTTTAGATTTATGAATCATATCAGAACCAGGCACAACGTCCGTGTTAATGTATGTGTTAATTAAATCGTCTAACATATTATATTTATTACTAAGATATCTTATAAACTACAACAAACTTACAGTAGTAGCTTTCCAAACAATTTCTTTCGGCTTGCACCAACATATGTAGTACATAATCGTCGTCGTTGTAGCGGTACATGAAACGAGTATAGCACCCAACATCGACTCGTATATCAGGGCATATATTCCACGTAGGGTCAAGTGGAGATTGAGTGACGTTAGCCTTGAAGTAAGCGCAATTCGGACATTCTGGTTCACCATTGTGAATGCAGAGGGCGCATTGTTCCAGAATGATGCATTGAGGCCGATGGCAGTCTGGGCAAGGCAAGATGTGACACAAACGATCTTGATTCTCCCTCGCGTCCCAAAACGCAGTGCGATTGCATACACATTTTCCACATATACACTCTCCTAGTCCACTGCAGACCTGCAATAATTTAAGAACTTGTATTGGTATCTTATTTTGATCGAGCTGAAGTGCTCGTATTAGTTGCGGAGAAATCTTTAGGTAAGGAAATAGAAAAAAGAAGTGGTCCGTCTGTTACATGTTTAAAAAAGGTGTGGCGTTCAGCTCCCTTGGGAACGGATTATCCTTATCGAAGAATGTCAGAAATTGTATCTATAGCAACTGTGAAGTAAGTGAGGCTTTCAGACCCGTATTATAGAAAGTTTCTCAGTGATTGATCTAGTCTTGAGCATAGTAAGAAAGGGATGTCACTATATATAGCACATAGCGACATCCCTTTCTAACTGTACTCAAGTAAAGATCAACACTTAGTTGTCATTCTGTAATACGGGCCTTAATTTTGCTAGCATCAAGGCTCATAGATAAGTAGGGTCTGCAACAACCTCGACTGCCTTTCCTTACACGAAAAAAAATAGTAAACTAACCTTTCCATTATTTCCCATGCAACTTTCTGTGACCCTTGGACACTCACATGCCCTCCCAGTCCAGTTATCATCGGTACATATGCACTTTTCATCTTCGCATCGACCGTGTCCGTTGCAAACCAGTTTGTTTTCTCGAGGGCATTTACCTTTATTATATTGGCAGAATGCACCTTCATACCTTAAAACATAGAAAATACGTACTTTGTGTAGCTGGTGCTTTGATATTTCCATCCTACCTGTAGATTATGTCCATAAAGTATGGCTATCATTCATCATCAGATTATTAATATCTCTACTGCTGGGGCACTGGCTTTCCCTATGACTGGATTAGGGAGATTGGACCATGATCCACCACGCGCGCCCAGTGTGGATTGGTGGGTGCTACCTGAGGTGGACCATTAATGGTTGAAAAAATTAATAAGTTAAAAGTCGGAAAAAATATCAGATGTTTACAATGGTTGAAAATATCAGTTAATATTTTTATTCAAATACAATATCTGATTTTTTTGACAAGTCGATTTATTATCAATATTTTTATTGGTTCAGTCTGTGATATAGATATTATTAATGACGATAATTTTATAAGTTGGTTATATTTGTCTAAACGATTTAATGTTACTCTTGCGTTAAAACCAACATGAATTGAATGATATTTTTATTCGATATGGTTGAAAATATTTATCGAATATATGTGTTAATTTTATTTATTACTATAATTTAACGGTTGATAAATATATTTAACAATACTAGTGCCATAGACTTCAGATACAGTCTGGTCCAACGGCTTAACGCGCCACTTGCGTCATCGAGCTCCTCATTACATAAACTCAACTACCAATGCCTCCTTGTTTGTTAGAAAAAGGCGGGTATAAGTCGCGGCGGCACGAAACTCTTGCGCTGACCGTTATTGCACAGAAGTAAAAATTAAGATGTCTTGGGGGGAAACGAGGTGAGCGGGTGGGCGTGCGTTGCGCCGATTGGCTCTCCAGTCGTACACATGCGCAGCTATCCTCTCCGTGTTTTTTTCAGCGCTTGAGTTACGTGCCGCTGCCTGTATATGATCGGTGGGCATAGAAAGAGTCAGATTTTCTAATGACCTAATATAGACAGATAACGCATTTTGTTGAAACTTAAAAAGTTCCTTGAGATAGCGCGGGGAAATTCTGCACTTGAGCTTAGAATGGAAATTAGAGACATTTGAGCAAGCCAAATATAATCTGATGCAGAAATTTAATTTAATGTAAATGGAACTCGTTTTGCTAACGTACTTTGAATTCGTATGTGATGCTTCCATTTCAAAAAGGGGTTAGAAATTTTAGTTTCTCTGACATTAGTTTCATCTCATGTGTGGGCTATAAAAATAGGGATATCAGTATACTTACGGAGAATCTTTTTTGCAAATACATTTTCCACAAATGCAAGAACCACGGCCACCGCATAATTCTGTATCACCTGGGGCGATGCAGGTGGAGTTATCGTTGATCTTGGAATATTCATTTGTAGAACAGGCACATTTCTCGCCATAACTGAAAAACCGGCCAAATGTCATTCGGACTCGCGCACGAAGGATTCCGTACCATTATCTACACAACATTAGACACTATATTATTATATCGAGCGAAAAACGGCAAAAAGTTCACGCCTGTAGTAAAGATAGAAAGAAAAAAAAAATATGGCTTACACAGCTAACATTAAAAACAAACAAAACAGAATAGAAAAACATGACGACAAAGAAAAATAAAAAAGCAAGAAATCTAATTTAAGGTAGTGTTGTGCAGGCCAACAGGTTGCTGTCTCAGCTATGCCACTATGGTAGTACTTTCGCCATACCAAAGCAGCGCTGATTTTCAGCCAGCGCCTAGTGACGTCCGAAAGTCAAACAGAAAACGAATAATTATTAAATATTTAAAAGAAATAAAATAAATAAAAAACATAAAACATTAAATAATAAATTTTTTTTTTTTTTTGTTTCTTAGGTTTTCACGCACATCACTCATTAAATAAAACTAGTTTTTACGGGTTAATGCACGAAACTTTATTTATTTATTGACGTTTCGCAGCCTTTTCAGGTCTGCATCGTCAGAATAATGATTTTATTTAAAATTGTCGAGCTACCTTCGAAAGAATTATATTGTGCGTTCGGTTATTTCATTGGAAGATTTTTAAAATTTTTATTGTCTATGTATGAATTTATTATTTAATTTACTTAATAAAGTATTTTATTTAAAATTCTTGTTTGTAATTTTGAGTTTATTTATTTGACCCTAACTACCGTAAACTACCACCGGTTCCAAAATTGGGAGACCTTCCTGAGAAGAACCGGCGAAACAAACTCAAGAGAGGCTTTCTATCTCCTTCTTATGTTAAATTATGCAAACAAAAAGAACTAATAGTATCTGATGGTCTTGCAGTGTGTGCTCGGGGTTGGGATTTTATCTCCTGTATAATAGGTTCCCAAGCTGGTGGTATATACCAACCATCTTCCCTATTGAAATTTGGATATTTTTTAATCTCAATAGCCTCGCGCATCATTCGAGGAACGAACCGCCGCTCAGCTGCAAGGATATGTGGTCTATCAAATCTAATGTAGTGGTTTGGTCCCCCTAATGCATGTTCACACACTGCAGATCTGCAGTAAAAATATCCAAATTTCAATAGGGAAGATGGTTGGTATATACCACCAGCTTGGGAACCTATTATACAGGAGATAAAATCCCAACCCCGAGCACACACTGCAAGACCATCAGATACTATTAGTTCTTTTTGTTTGCATAATTTAACATAAGAAGGAGATAGAAAGCCTCTCTTGAGTTTGTTTCGCCGGTTCTTCTCAGGAAGGTCTCCCAATTTTGGAACCGGTGGTAGTTTACGGTAGTTAGGGTCAAATAAATAAACTCAAAATTACAAACAAGAATTTTAAATAAAATACTTTATTAAGTAAATTAAATAATAAATTCATACATAGACAATAAAAATTTTAAAAATCTTCCAATGAAATAACCGAACGCACAATATAATTCTTTCGAAGGTAGCTCGACAATTTTAAATAAAATCATTATTCTGACGATGCAGACCTGAAAAGGCTGCGAAACGTCAATAAATAAATAAAGTTTCGTGCATTAACCCGTAAAAACTAGTTTTATTTAATAAATTTTGTTAAAACGATTTGCGAAAGGTGGCTGGCAGGAGCTGGATGCGAGTAGCCTAAGATCGATCTAAGTGGCGTGCATTTGGAGCAGTGGAATAAGATGGGCTATTGATGATGATGATGAAAAAATAAATAAAGTATAATTAAAATAAATAATATTTATAATTAAAATATACTACACTTATGGTAGAACTACACTCATCAGCCGCGCCGTGCTACGACATGGCTGCGACGCACCAGAGAACTATTTGCTTCATACATCTAGCACGGTTAAAGTGAGAACGGTGTCGACACATCGCGACATAGAAATACAGCTCCAAATACTAATTTACATTTTCCTTATGTTTTAATTTTCTAATTCATTCCTAAATTTGGTATTTACTTTATTCGTCCGTGCTTGAGTCACAGTCATCCATGTGTGTGCTAAATTTCAGATTGACAAATAATCATAAAAACATTATTATTAAAACCAAAGAACTGAACAATTCTGTTTAAAAAATGTAAAATATGCAGTTATTATATGAAACATACCTAAATAAAGTTCTTATTTGAACTGGATGAACTTTCTTTGCATTGATAAAATAATAATAATTACCTTTTTGGATTGCATTGACAAATACCACATTCAAAAGTTCCAGCTTCGCTACACTCAACTGCTTTTGGAATACCCTTGCTTGTGCATTCACATTCTTTTATGATTTTAATATCTAGAGTAATTTTTTCTTTGATGCCCTCGAATGTTATGTTTATACTGGTTTTGTCTTCATCAAAATAATTTAAAACTTTGATTGTGCCCTTGAAATGCTTCTCCTGACCATTCTTGACTTTGCAGTCTGTATTAGCATTAACACAATCAGGATCAAAACTTATGTGAAAATTTTCTCGTTCTCCTGGTTTGAAATGAACTTTCAACTTTACTGGTTTAGTTATTTCCTATAAATAAATAATAAGTCTCTAAAATAGCCTCACCACAATGAAAAAAATAATAACAAAGAATACAATAACTTACATCATATATTTTTTCTAAGAGAGATGTAGTTTTGGTATCGTCACTATTATAGCTTATGTATTTAGATCCGCTGATGACTTCACATACTCGACTATAATAGTATTCTGCTTGAGTTTTTACTACAAAAATGATTAGAATCTCCTCGGTTGCAGCCATTTTGTTTATAATGCTTACAGATGGATAGTCCATTTCCAGTTCTTTTGTGTACATACCATCGTCATTTAAGTAACACCCACCGTCATATGGTTTAAATATGCCTGCTATCAGTCCATCGCCGGCTGAGTGAAATGAACCAGCGTCACTGAGGACCACAATGATCTTACGTGATTCTTTATTCCAACCAATTCGCTCTTTACAACTGATGGCCTGTGCAAGAGCATCGAAACCTCCTTCAGGTTCATCATAATTGTAACCAAATTGAAATTCACTCACAGTTTTATTAAATTCGTCAAAGTTATCTGTGAGGTTTAGTCGATGTTTAAACGAATACGTTCTGTTGCTGTCTATCTTGCTGCAACAAGAGTTTATATTGTTACCAACGGTATGTACATGTTATAGTACATAGGAGTTACCTAAACATATTTTACATTTTTATTATTGATAAGCCTTATTCATCCCTAGTTAAATGTAAAGATTAATCATAACTCGTCACATCAGTCAGTATGTACCAAAGCTAGTGAATTTAATTCATAACAAAAACATTCTTATTCGTAATGCTTATATTGGTACCTCAAATAAAGAACCAAAGCATTAAAAGAGTTTAAATTCAACTCATAAAGTCGACTTATTTTTACATAATTATAGAATCGTTGCTTAAAGACCAAAAAAGGACAAATATATTTTTCTATGAACAGCGTACCTACCACAGCGTAGGTACCACTACTATATAAACGTGAAATTGGATACCTTATGGATAACATAAGACCATGGTTACCTTCTCAGAACAAGAACAGCATAGAATGCAATAACGTTTGAGCGTACACTTCCGCATATATTACACGTATTACTCTAACAAAAAGTATTCGTGGCGTTTTGGCAGGTTGCATTTGACATTAGATCGCTTTTTGGTTCGGTACCGTAAAGTTAACCCAGGTATCCACAGCCTGCGCAGGCGACGGACTTTTGTACGCGGAGGACTTGACCGTACATGGTTCACGGATATTTGTCCCTCGAAAATGTAGTGTAGCGCATGCTATGGAAGCAATATTCTGAGATAACATTGTATTGTAATTAACATGAAGTTTAAGAAAAAACGAGGACGTCCTAGAAGAACATTCGGTCCATCCCTTTAGATAGGGTTGATTATATATTTGTATTGTTGAGATTATTTATTATACTTTAACTTAAATTTTGAATAAAACGATGTTTCTCGACCTTTCTAAAAGATAATTAAATATAGTTTAAGCGTAAAGTGATGCTTAACATACGAACAACATACTTGAAGTTGATTTAATCACTAAAATCACTTAATCTTAAGCTCAAAAGACATGGCGCTAAGCGACAATAAGAAAATGTGATTACTTAATAATTAGGTAATTGTAGTGTTTCCTTAATTCAAAGTTTTTAATTCTAGACTTAGACAACTCTCCTCAATTATTTGATAAATCCGTTAAGATTACTTTGTTTGCATTACTGATGATAAAATCTATAGACACTAAACAATCCCTTTAACAAATATTTCGCCATTGTCCTTTTGGTGGTGATACTCTTTTTTGATGTATCGTATAAAAGAGTTCTTTTTTCACTTCATTTATTAAAATTTTATAAACGATTTCTTGCGCTACTGTATTGCCTGGTCCCTCCGTGTCTGCTGTAGTTCGGGGGACTTTTGGTCATTTTGTCCGCAGTATTTTTAATTACTCCCAAAGTCCCAATCTGCGCAGAGGCTATTATGATACCAAATCAAAAAGCAATATAATTTCAAATGCAAACTGCTAACACGCCATTAAAACTATTTGGGTAATACTTTTTTTTAAATGATTTCGTTTCTATGGGAGTATATCTAGTATATATTAATTAGTAAGTGTTTTATGTAAAATTAACTTACTTTGTGTACGGTACAGTATTTTTATCAATAAATGTACCGATTCCAAGATGAATATTTTTCGTTAAATTTCGCATAGTATAGTAAATGATATCACTTTGCCTCACTATCATGGATCTCATGGTTTCCATAGTTAAAGATGCGTCTAATATAAAATATAAGTCCACGGGATAATCGACAGCTGTTTTGAAGAATATGTTGAACTCCGCCGGTATACCTGGGCGTAAACGCATTTCAAATTTCTGTGGTTTGACCTGAATGACATTGCCTAGAGTAGAATTAAAATCTAAATCGTAGAATACTGTAACGTTATTCACAGGATTCTGTACAGGTTCTGGGCACCACTTCGGTTCATATGATTTGACAGACTTGCATCTGTTATCATTGAAATTTTTCTGAAAAAGAAAAAGTATTAGCGTTATAAAAATAACTAGATCAAAGGTAAGATACGAGCCTCACATTATTTTTGAATTATTCGTCTCCCGTCGAGCTTTTGTTTTCTACTAATTAATGTTAATTAAATTTGATTCGTTCGACTGCAACGAGTGGTTGACGGCTGTAGTTGTTAGGCGAAAGATACAATCGAGTGATAGAATTATTTTGTAATTAATTATAAAAAAAAAAACAATATTTCCTTAAAGTCAAAATTCGTTTACTTATATGTTATCGTAGTACCCAACGTATCGCAATCAAATTTTAAATAATTGTGTATATATAATACTCATTATTTTGCATTAAGGAAAATATGTCTAGAAAAAATCACTGGGTCCAGGTTTATGACGAGAGGAATTTTTTCAAGTAATATTTTCTTTAGGTTTTAACTTTTAGGAGTTAAATGTTTAAAAAGTTTGATTTAAAGTTTGTCAATACACTGAGACTAAAGATTCAGAAAAACAGCGTGAGTCATGTAACAAAAGTTGAGTGTAAGTATGTTCTATCAAGAGATCATACGATTTCATACAAATGATTCAAAAATAGATAAACATTGCAGGAGAGAATATAATAAAATATATTATGTATGTCATCGGAATATAATACATTCCGTAAGTTTATCAATTTCCTAGTCAATTTAACAACTTTCGTAAGAATGTAAACGAGAGATAAAATGTACCATCTTACGGGATCATTTACGTAAATTGATCCATTCACTGAGCTTAGCCGTAAAATAATACATTAGTTGATGAACAAAAATTTTACATAGAGCTACAAAAGTTTATAGTGGACATAACCAAACCAGTGAGAAGTCGGAATGGGCCGAACAAAAATTAAAAAATGTGACGAAGGTATTATAGGGTATAACTGTACTTCCAGTGCCCAAGGGGTGATACTTGATTTTTTTGTAGAAAAAGTCGCTTTTAGCAGAGTTTTTTTCTGGTCACAACACTAACCTAACCTTACCTAGTGTGAAGTATCACCGCTTGGGCCCTGGAAGTACAGTTTAGCCTTATAGGCTATACAGTCATCTTGTGTATGAAAATATTTGCATACCTCTGCGAGGTAGAATATGCTGAACTTAAACAATGTATTTAGAATATCTAAATGTAAGGTGTACCACATTCCTGCAAATAAAGTCTATCCTATTCGAATATTAATAAAGAGGGATAGGGTTTACTATATCCTAAGCATGTTTTATAAGTAGATGGAGCAGTAGAGATTATGTGTGTATGTGTAAAAAGTTTTTTATATTACCGATGCACACCAGACACAAACTGTGGGATCTGTGATGCAGTCACTGCAGGTTTTCCATCTCTCACAGGGGTCCATTATCGAAGATGTGCTTGTAAACAGCCATGATAAGGCGAGTAGTAGCAACAAAGCTTCACCCATGGCACTGTCTTTTACCGAACTAAATTATCTGTTTGTTCCTAAATATAATTGTGAGTAACAGGAAAACTTTGCAGGAAACATGTATATGTAACCGTTAAATTAAGGGCAAGCTACACCTGTTTATTGTAATTATATATTCTATCGGACTATCAATTTAATGAGTTAGGCGCCATCCTCACCGGACTGTGTGCTGAGAACTCGTATCGATATCATTTCCGTACCGAATCTGTACACATTCTTTACCGAGATCCACTTCTTGACCGGCTCGGTTTTGATGTCGTATCGTTTTGTTTTGTTTGCGGGAGTGACAGGACGGACGGGTTGAATTGTTCGGTAGCATTCAGTACGGAGAGCTGTCTATTCCGCTCGGTAAATTTTCTGTACCGAAACTACTCAGTGAGGAAGCTCTCTTTTAATTTGCACTCGGTAATGAATCTATACAGATTCGGTACAGAAACGAAAACGAAACGAACCCGCACCGACCCGTTTTTCTGCTCTGCTCTAATAATGATTAGAGTTTGAATCCTGGCAGACACGAACTTGTTTAAAGTTCATTGAATTCAGATTAGGAACCTAAAGTTGAAATTCGACCGGGAAATCCTATGTATTTTTATTTTCTGTTATAATTTACACTATAAGTAGATATGACGATAATTAATGTCGTATGATAATTAATGTCGTTAAGCTTTTATATTTAAGTACTTATATTATTATTTATCAATGGGTGGCTGGCCTTAAATCGTTATTTATAAGTAATATTTATCCTTTTTCCTATTAAAATAACTGGAAGTTTAAATGTCTCAAATTGTGCACTCGTGCTATTTAATATTAATTTCAAAACTAAATGATGAGGGCGATATTAATTTTGACATTACATTATTGCGTCGAGGAAATGGTTGCTGATAAAACGTGCAACAATTTTGATAAGTGTGGTACGTGCGTTGGTTTCAGTGGAGACAAATGCGTGTGGTGTTCTGAGGTATGTTAAACCAATTAGGTATTAATTTTTGTCATGAAATTTTACTAATTGCAGACTCATCATCATCATCAATTATCAGATCATTCAATGAGAAGCTGACCATGTTTGGTGCTTTAGAGAAAATGTATTTTCTGTTATCGTTAATGAGTTTGGATATTGGGTAATTAGAAACACGCATTTTTGTAATAACCCAATATCCAACAGCTTGTAGAGTCTCAGCAGTATAAAACTATTTTTTTTTCATTTTTTTTTGTTTTTCAATCATGAAAAAAAATAAAAAATAGTAAAACGTACATTGAAATGTGCACTGCAAATGTGTACGTGAACTGCCCAAAACCGCTCTATTGGATTTTTCATACCTGCGCAATTTATAACTTGAAAACGGTAAGTAATACAAAAAAATTGGTTATACAAAAGTTGTTGGTAATTATGTACGAAACAACTTTGCCATTTAAAGTTTTCCATTAAAATGATATTTTCCGGGTGAAAAAGTGAAAAAACACTTTTTTGAGACTTTAGCGCCACCTACAATGAGCATTTTTTGTTGTACGAGATTGCAACAATGACATAAATTGTAGCACTCAACGCCCTCTACAATTATGGTCAAAAAAAAAGTTTCTAAAATGCATACAAAACAAGCGTTTCAAAAAAATTTTGACGGTTTTTTTGAGTTTTTCAAAAAACGCCTACGAGTTGAACATGCCCATCGCCAAGGTGGCTTACTGACGTCATTTGGCAACAGAAAAAACAAGACTTAAGGTTTTTTTTTCACTCAAACGATATTTTTTTCGACAGATTGACTGTACTATATCCTTTCCAAGCCTGCCGTAAGGAACTTCGTCGCGCCTGCGCACGTCTCATTTAACGGTTTTATTCCACGCATTTTTTCTTACAGTTTTACTATCACATTTTTTTCAGTTCGGTCGCGCAGCAAAATCCCTATCCCCTCCAAGCCTGTCGTAAGGAACTTTCGTTCCAAAAAGTGCTGTTATTATTTATTTTTGTACTGAGAGTATTGTCCTTTAAAAAGCATACGCTCATAACGATAATAATAGCACCATCTAGTGAAAAAAAAACCGGACAAATGCGAGTCAGACTTGCCCAGTTTTACGAGGGTTCTGTACTTTGTAAGTACATATTTTAAATTTCTCCGGAAATTAGGAAATTATGAATCTGTAAGCTGTGTCAATGGAGCCTTACATTGGCACAAGATTTTACAGATTTTCTCTTAAGATAACTCCCACGGCACGGTTAACTCACTTAAAATTATTGTCTGCCTGTCTTTTGTGATTGAATTATTAATATACAGCTTTCAGCTTTGTGTCTTTATTAAGGCATATTCAAGAATCTAAAAAAGAGAAGATTAAAAAAAACTAAAATATTTGACGGTCACCCATACAATTATGATCGCGCATACCTTTACCTCGGTAATTTTTATTACGACGATATCAATTGGAAACTTTAATAAACCTAGAACCATTGATCTAGGTTAACGGATAGTACCTTATCTATTTTGATTCCGTTGAGTGTCGAGATATACGTTTTATGCAGCCAAAACGGCCGTATCTTTTTTACGTAGAAAGTTGATTCTTTTACAGCTTCAAAAGACCGTAGACTTGAGTGAGTTAAAGGTTTAAATATCTACTCGATAGCACGAGCCCGAGATAAAGGGTCTTGACAAACATACAGACAAACAACAAAGAGATCCTATAAGGATTCCGTTTTTTCATTTCGAGTATTAGGTACAGAACCGGACTGCGATATTGCATGATTTTCTGTTCCATTATGAACGACGTGTTATTGTAGTACGAAATAATTTCTTTCGACGCACTATGTAGTCCAGGCAACGAATGCTCAAAAACAGGTATAGAGGGAATTGCTTAGAACACAATTTTTGACTTCGTGACTTTGTTAGGACTAGTTAGGAGGTAAACATATCAAAAGTCCCCGCCCGTAGCCCTTAAGCCGGGGGGAAGGGGGGGGGGGGGGCTTGAAGGTCCCATTTTTAGGTTTTTCGCATATATCTCGAAAACTATGCATTCTAGCGACATAAGACTTTCACAAAAGTGAAAGCTGATTAAATTTGCTACAAGTCTTATTCAGTCAAATTTTTTGATATCTTGTATAGTTTTCGAGATATCCGCTCTTGAAAGTCTGTAATTATGAAAAAAAAATTTGTTCCCATTTTTGCTCTATTTGACCGGATAACTCTTCAACAATGCACCCAAAAAATAAATGCCGGCCGTAGGGTTGTAGAGCATTAAATTATCTTCAATAATAGAAACAATTGCCTTTTTTTTTATTTAAGGACAAAATTGTTAGGGTTGTAGACGTATGGGGGCGGTACGGTGGGCACTAGGCCGCGTACTCAGCCCCCACGCGCGGGCCGTCCTGCGCACGTCTGTGGGCAGGACGGCCCGCGATACCCCGGGAGACCCCTGCCGCGGAACCTCGGCAAGGCCGGGAGGCTGCTAGGTGCGGAGACGCGGAAGAATCCCTAAACGGGGATTCCGTGGCTTCGCACTAAGCAGCTTAGAGGGTGTTCGCAGGGTTTTTTAGCGGATATTATGCCGTATAGCGCCCGTAAGGGTTACGGGGTCCTCAGTGAGCAGCCACTGCTGGGGCTCGTAAGGCTTGCGGGAGCCAGTCTAATTTACTTTCTTTTTTACTTATGGACCTCACACCTGGCTCCCGCACCATTGAAGATAATTTAATGCTCTACAACCCTACGGCCGGCATTTATTTTTTGGGTGCATTGTTGAAGAGTTATCCGGTCAAATAGAGCAAAACAAATTTTTTTTCCATAATTACAGACTTTCAAGAGCGGATATCTCGAAAACTATACAAGATATCAAAAAATTTGACTGAATAAGACTTGTAGCAAATTTAATCAGCTTTCACTTTTGTGAAAGTCTTATGTCGCTAGGATGCATAGTTTTCGAGATATATGCGAAAAACCTAAAAATGGGACCTTCAAGCCCCCCCCCCCCCTCCCCCCGGCTTAAGGGCTACGGGCGGGGACTTTTGATATGTTTACCTCCTAACTAGTTCTAACAAAGTCACGAAGTCAAAAATTGTGTTCTAAGCAATTCCCTCTATACCTTTTCGTTGCCTGGACTAATGGGAACTTTGACTCATTTTCATCTCAAAAATCTATAACTCCTGTGTTAATAAAGATATAATCATGATTTTTTTTTCTGATAACCTTGAATATATTTGCTTTGAAATAATATATAATTTGTGTATATAAGTTTGTTTATAATACTTACAAAAAAATAGGAAAACAAAAAATATACAATTTTTAGACTTACATCTATGTTTTAATAAGTTTATAAAGGTAACTAGTAAATGTAACTGCTTAAAATTAAAAACCAAACATCATAGTAGCTCAAATGTCACTTAAGAACTACTTTTTTTCATCAAAAAGTTCTAAATTTTTTTTATTATACGGTTTTCTCAAACTTGTAATGTACGGATCAGAGGTATACAATAGTGTGTAGAACATCTTCGTTGGTGGCTGTCCTCAAATATTTTCTTGCAAGATGAAGCCTGAACTGTTTGTAGTTTCTGTTCCGTGACTCTTGAGCATCTTTTTAAAGTTGCCCAAGAGACAATAACGAAAAATGACGTATGACACTTTCACCATGAATCAAAACCTTGTGCACGGAAAATGGCATATAGTACAATTTATATTTATTAACATACAGTTGTGCTCAATCAAATTCCATCTCCAATTTCTGTTTTGGCTTAAGAACTGTTCTTTCTATCGACCAGCTTTAGTATAGCGTTGACGAAACTAAGTTTTGAAAGACTTCTGAATACTTGCGATCATTAAGCAATATTTGCATCGGAAGATTCGGTGAAATTGCTTTGTATATAGTTAGAGATAGAAACACCATAATTTGTATCACTTTCAAACAATAAGAGACTTAGGTTGCGTCTGGTACACGAACACTGACTCATTGCGGCGAGATATTTAAAAAAACAATTATTTACGACAAAAAATAACGAGGAACTGTAATATTTATACTCAAATGCACTATTTTATACCGAAAAATTATGGAAGACGTGTGCAAAATTAGTAAATATAAACTATTTTACAATTTTGCGGTTTTGCTATTTTTCCATGATTCTTATGGGAATGGGATCTAAATATTATGTGAAATACACGATATTAGTATAGCATAAGATAAAAAACAATATAACAAAAGGGCCAAGAGCCTTTATTTAAATGTCCGTGCTGAGAAACCCGAAATCAGACGAGTCTTATTAAACGTACTGAAAAATATATGTTTTCACATGCTGATATTTTAAGACATTTGACAATGTTATGCACTGATACAGCAAAAAAAAATTTGTTGCCGTTAAATTATATTATATTATCTAAGAAATAACACAAAAAACAGAACTTCGGCAAGCTTTGGCAAATGTCAAAACTCCAACTGAAAGTTTAATAAACGAAAATAGTCCACACTATGATATAGATTTTTTTAAATTAAATAATATTAAAAAACTGCATATCTTTTAATTTTATAGTAAAGAAGACATTCTAAGCTTTCTAAAACGGTATCACACTTATATGGCTTCTTTTGTTATGATACTATAAAATTTTACCAAACTAACTGAAATCATATTAATATTTTTGTATTTTTTTCATTCCCTGACTTTAGATGTTCTTCTTTATAAAATACGAAGAGGCAGAGACTAAAATTAGATTGATTGTAATAAAGTAACTCTTTAGCTATAATTTGATGTATAATACATGCCTTGAATCACAGTTACGAAAAAACATTTATGAGATGGCTTTCTTAGGCGGGTTCCCATAGTGCGACGGCCCTTTTCAAAACCTGTTAGTGTCGCCGCACAGGGGCCACCGACCACAACCACAAAACGCCGCCACCGGCTTATTTCTTGTAGTTTTCATACATTTTATATGGACTCGCCACACACGGTACGCCGGTGGCCGCCACACGCAACAAATCGTCGTTGCTCGCTTCTTATGGCCCTCACCGTCCACTTAATGCGCCGATACAAAACGCCGCCACACGTCACTCGCGCGATTCCCCACCCCTCTGTCCCTTACCTTAGTCGGCCGCTGTCGCGCGCTTCAGCCACTTTAGTAGTCGCTTCTAGCTTCTCGTGGCGTGCGGCGACACTTATATGTGTAATTATTGTAAATTTTCACAACACATCAAAAATCCATATACATTTTAGATTTCTAAAATTTCCTTTGGTTACTATGTTAATTATTAAAAGATTTTTTTCAATATTTTGCAGCCAAATATAACCGAAACTAGATGCCAGCCAGAAAAGTTTTTTCTCACTAACCAACATTGGTGTAATGAGTCCCTCGTCTACAATCCCATTATGATGTCTGGTGAAACAGTTAGGAACGACTCTTTGAACCCTGGTACGGACAAGCGGAAACCAGTCCAAATTCAACCTCAAGAACTGAAAGTGACATTGAGACCGGGGGCAGAGTATAATTTCAAAATGTTTTACAAGCCAGCGGATGACTTTCCTCTAGATGTCTATTATCTTATGGACTATTCGTACACCATGAAGAAATATATAGTGCAACTAAAAACAGAAGCTGAAAATATATTTAAGCAATTGAGGACGTTCACCAACAATGTCCAGTTTGGCGTCGGGTATTTCATTGAGAAACCAGATTTCCCTTTCGTGAAGTAAGAATTTGAATTGGTTTTAAATTTATATAAACAATAAAATAGCTTAACTTGCATTAAATAAACAAATTACCTTTTTTGGTTTGCGCAGACAGACTTTTGTCCGTGGAATTTTTGTTCATCTAAATATATCGCCTACAAATGAACACACACGAGGAATTTAAATTACCGCGTACAAAAAGCCCACAAAATAACCGAGGTCGCCGAGACATCTCCAGGCGACCTCGGTTATTCTTGGGGTTTTGTTATTCTGGGGTTTGGGGTACTGGACAAAAATACGGGACATTCTCCGAAAAAATTGAACTTATGTGACCTGGCGCTAGGGTTGCCAACTCTACTTTAAAATATAGTATCCTACTACATACTGTATATTAGGGGATCAAATACTTTATTTCTTTATAAATATATATAGTAGGTGAAACTACTATATTTTGTTTAAAGCATATTTTTGACAGTAAAAGCTTTCTGAAAAATTACTTGAAATTATTATTATAGGTAGTATTAGTAAGGCAAAGAGCAGCAAAAATATATTTATTTAACAATTTTTTTTCCATTTTTTTGCCAGCTGCTATGTTTTTAAAAGTAACGCTTCGAAAATACTATATTTGATAGAAAAAAAGTTGGTAACCCTCCCTGGCGCAGCCTGGCGCACACAGCGAACTAGGCTATGTTGCGCTCTCGATCTGATATAAAGAGATGCCTTATGCCGCAATTACATTTTGTCGTGAGCCCGTATTCGGGTGCACGAAAGACATTTTGGCAATCCAACAGGCTGTTTGGATGAGGTTAGTTATACAGGTTGGTCCAATTAGTGACGTCAACATATTTTTTTTGGATTCCTCACACCTGGGGTTATCCGAAAATACCTCATGTATGTTCCGTGATTTTTTTTAGTTTTTTAGTTATTTTTTTTTTGTGTATTTTTAATGATTTCTGCCAGCGATGTTTCAAAAATTCATATCTTTTTTCGTAGTAAACATTTTGCAGTCTTTTTTGTGACAAATGTCTTGAATGTAGTATAATAATAAAAAAAAAATAACTCAGTTTCCTGAAATTACTTAAAGTTACTCAAAAAAGGCTTGAAAGTTGGAACTTTAGTTTTTAGTAGGATTTACTCAAACATTCAACTTCAATTTAAAAATACAAAAAGGAATTTCTATAGCTTCTGGCTAAAATTAAAAACTGCGCCTGCTTCTAAACAACCAACAATCATAAAAAAAATAGTACTTAATCAGCCTATTTTTGTTGTATTTGGCCTTCGAAGGCGGATAGACTAAAAATCATTGAAACATGATTAAAGCATTAAAAATTATTTTATCTACTTTTTATCATTGTTATGGTAAATTAAACTTAAAAATGTAATTTCAAATTAAATTTAATTGAAATTCCTGTAAAATAACTTTAGCATGTGTAATTTTACAATAATTTCGGTTTCACCACTAAGATTTATTTATTTATATTAAAACAAATTCAAGACAGTTATGTCACAAAAAAGACTGCAAAATACTAACTACTTAAAAAGATATGAATTTTTGAAACCTCGCTGGCAGAAATCATAAAAAATACACAAAAAAAATTATAATCCGAAAACTAAGAAAAATCGAAATAAAACGCGGAACATACATGGGGTATTTTCGGATACCGGTGCGAGGAATCTAAAAAAAATGTTGACGTCACTAATTGGACCACCCTGTATATCTGCAGGCCTCGTCAACATCGTCGGGGGTTTTTAAAGAAAGATTTAATTCTATGTTTCTTTCCAAGTAGGTTCTAAAATCGTTGTTCATTCCACCAGCGACAAAGAAATCTAAGAGATCTGTTTTTTTGGATCTGCCAGCCAGTACGTAACCCTACCACTCGACTATGTTTTGAGTTTTTTGCGAGCTACCAAACTTTTTAACGCCCAACCTCTAGTTACCGTGCAGAGTGCACCCCAGAAGACGTGCTTAGCGTTCCAATCACCACCACTTATGAAACGATGTCCCAGAGTATGAAAGTATTGTGAGAACATATCTTCAGTAATTTTATACTTTGGGGGACAGTATACTGCCGAGATAATTAATGGTCTGGTGGTATCATCTAATCTTACAGTGGTAGCCTGAATAAATGGAGTTGAATATAGGGGAGAATGCCTAAGGTTAGATTTAATGACAAGTGCTGACCCCGCATGTGCTTTTCTATCTGGGTGGGGAGTACCCACTTAATCGAAAAGAGTGTCTCGAGGTAACATGTGACTCAGATATGAGAATAACATCTAGTCTATTTTTGACAATGATACATTCAAGCTCTAATATGTTTGGTGCCAGTCCATTTATGTTCCAAGTAGCGATACGAAGGGACGTCATTTTGACTTCATTTTGGTGATTACAGTTGTCAATAGGTTTAGTAATATTCCTATTTGTTGAAGTAATAGGTCAATTTTTTCTGATTGTTTCGTAAGTAAGTTTTCGATTGTGGATTGTTCTTGTTTTAAATCTTGTCTGCTTGCTTTATCACTGTTGGTGCGTCCGAAAGTAATATCAGCGTAAGTGCTGCTTTCTTGCTTGGTATTATTGAGAGGTTGTTCTGGTGGAAAAAGTTGGCTATCTGGCTTTGGGTCAGGTGTATATTTGACTTCGCAAGGTTGAGTTTTGCGCTTTAATATCTCTTTGTAGACATGATAGCCTTTATAGTTTGTAGGATGGTCACACGAGCAAAGGGCGCACTTAGCAGGAGTGTTGCTGTTTTTTTTTGTACACTCTTATGTTTTATGTCCTTCACCATGTTTGACGCATCTGTATGGCCTCATACAGTTGATTTTGGAGTGGCCATACTGCTGGCATCTTTGACATTGTACTATTGTCTTTGTCTTGCGAGGGTATTCGACCCTAATACGCTGATGATAAATGTTTTGCATGTCGTGGATGACTTTGTTACAATGGCCTGGTTCTTAGTTGACAAAAATTGTTAATGTTGGCTTTTGTCAGGACCATATCTTGAGTTACTGATTTCACCTTTCACCTTATTAGCAGTCTTTTCTATTTCTTCTACAATAACTTCATGGGGAGTAGTGTGATGGAGATTTTTTAACACTATACGGTAACATTACTATTTGGAGGGGGGGGGGGGGGGGGGGTAAATGTATGACCGACCATTCTGACGAATACAGTCAATAACTTTTTTGTAGTTTTCTATTGTATTTAACATAATACGCAGTGAGTTTTTGTTGACTATCTTATACTTGAAATCTGCTGGATTAACTACTGATTCAATTAGATTTGTCAGTTTATTTACATCCTCTATGCCATACAGGACAATGGGAGGTAGTTTATTAGGAGAGTTTGTGTGTGTGTCTATCTCAGTAGCATCAATAGGAAGACCAGCAAAATTTACAGAGTTTATGGAGGGAGGCGGTGGCGATTGATCGCTGAACTTTCGCTTTTTCGACATCGGTACGCGTTGCCATGGTGGTGGCTCTGTAGTGGTTTCACAAGGATCAACTACTTTGTTGTTAACATTTTCTGGATCATTGGCTGGACATGATTGGTTAGATGGCAATTCACAAAGAGAATTTGATCTCTGTCTATTAAAGAGTCCCGAATGGAACGCTTGTTGAGTTAAAGTTTTTTAGGATTTTATTGGATATATTCATATTTGTTCCCACGATAAGGGTCGATCTATAGTCGCTTACAGGTTAACGCCCATTTCCGTAAGAAGGCACTATACAACCCTCCAGCCATTCATCCCTTCGGCACAGTCCTCACCGCTGGGATTAGGGATTTTTTTTGTAAAAGTTGTCTTCCTTGAGTCAGCAGTAAGTTTTATTGAGGTTTACTTCCTCGTAGTTCAAACAATTAAGCTCAAGTCATTTCCTAGTCATTTCCTACCTCCGACAAAGACAAACCTTGTTAGGTTTGCTAGATCGGGTTAATTTACCGCCGCCCAAGACTCGGCGTTGTCACTCTTTAGCACCACCCAGGGGACACGTGTAGGGTGGGCCTAGGAAAAGGTGGTAAATCCTACGGATACGAGCAACATTATCCCCCTTAATACACTTCTGGACACATCTATTGGCCCACCTTGTATTTTCAGTTTCGTTTGGTCCTAGCTAAATTTTATATTAGGTCGAGCAAAAAGTTTTTATGCAGTTTTGAACCTGGCAGATTCACAATTTCATTCAATAGTCCTTTTTTGAATTTCGGCCACAGAATTTAAAGAAACAAAAGACAATTTGGAGCCTGTTTGTTGATATCAAGCAATCGAAAACTAAGAAAACTTGGTTTTATTGGTTTACTTGGATTTAATTCTTGAAAAAGTGATTGATATCTTTGGTTTTGCAACAAACATTACTTATTCTTAACATTAAGGTGAGGTTCTATCAATAATCTATGGATACTTCAGCTGAAGTCGCCGCCCAAGCTGTGGCACTTATTCAGGCCGGACACAGCCAAAGAAACGTGAGTGCTCAACTTAATTTAAGTCGATCTGCGGTCCGAAATGTTTATCGGAGGTACCTAGAGACTGGCGGCTTTGTTCGTCGCCAAGGAAGGCTACGATCTCGGGTCACAACTGAAAGGCAGGATCGATTCATCGTGACGACCAGCTTGAGAAATCGTCACCTTACCTCCATTGAGATACAAAAACAAATTCGCGACTTCGACGGAGTATCTGTGAGCGCTCGAACTGTTCGGAGAAGGTTAAAAGAACACGATATGGTACCACACAAGCCAGCTAATGGGCCCAAACTAACGCGAGCCCACCGAACAGCGCGCCTTCATTTCGCACGCAGTCATTTAAATTGGACACAGCAAGATTGGAGCCGTGTACTCTTTTCTGATGAGTCTAAAATTGTGTTACATGGCAACGATAGAAGGAAGAAGGTCTACCGACGTAAGGGAGAGCGTTTCGCACAATGCTGCTTTGAAGAGAGGGTTGCTTATGGCGCGAGCGGCAAAACTCAACTTGAGGTTGTTACAGGACCACGGCTGCCAACATTAAATGCTGAAAGGTACATTCGTGAGTGATTAGAACCTCACGTGATACAATACGCGGACTATGTGGGCCCAAATTTCCTTTTTATGCATGATAATGCAAGAGCCCATGCGGCCGGCATCGTCAGGGAATATCTTCGGGATGTGAACATCACAGTTATGGACTGGCCAGCCAGAAGCCCAGACATGAACCCCATTGAGCACATGCGGGACGAGCTAAAAAGACGTGTTAGGGCTCGTCAGCCAGTTGCCCAGACGATGCAGGAGTTGAAAACTGCCATAGAAGAGGAATTGGAGATGATCCCTCAAAATTTCATAGAGCGGTTGATAAACTCTATGCCTAATCGTATGAGAGCTGTGGTAGATGCCCATGGAGGCAACACGCGTTATTAAATTAAACCTTTATTTGATAAAACATGTTTTTTATACAAAAATCAATTGCCTTTAACAAGGCGCATATCCGACTTGTTAGGCGTAGCTCCATGTCGTATGGTATTCTGAATTCAAATTTAAAACAATACGATCGAAAAAGATGGTAAAATGTATCAGGTTTAAAACTGCATCAACAGTTTTTGTTCAATCTAGCAATCATATTTCGGTAGGGGTCATCGAAACCTAAACTCTAAGGTGGGCCAATAGATGTGTCCAGAAGTGTGTTAATTACAACACAACATATGGCGTGCTATTCTCTAAATTTCTGAGGAACAAATGTTCGCACACCGTGTGTGTTGAGTCCGTGGAAAGTTCTTAGCGGACAAAAGTGTCTGACCACATCTCCACGTCACAATGGTGCGTTGACGCACCGTGCAACGGCTCCGCACCGTTCCACGTTGATGACGTCGTGACGTGGAGTTGTAGACAGGCACTACAATTCAGGGATTTTTGTCCCCCGTGGAAAAAAGTTCCTCGTCTGCGCAGGCGATTAGTGTTAATTAAAAGAAAGTCCTTTATTACATAACGTAAAAGTTGTTGGTCCATGACCATACTTACGTTTCTAAATTCATAAACTTGTGTTTAGCATTATAAATTCGTCTTTAGAAATCATTTTATGATATTTTTTTGTCCCATGAGGCTTTTGAATGTTTGAATTTTAATTACTGCTGACACTACATATTGATTTCATTTTAGTCCCCAACTACAGTACGCTTATTCCTTTAAAAATCGTCTATCGTTGACCAAAGACATAAAAGCGTTTACGGAGGCTATTGCGAACGAAACAGAAGGATCCAATTATGACCTGCCAGAGGCTGGTTTGGATGGACTAATGCAAGTAATGGCTTGTGAAAAAGAATTAGGTTGGAGATCGGAAGCTCGACGCATCATTGTTCTAGCAACTGATGCGCCATACCATAGTGCGGGAGATGGGAAAATGGTAGGCGCCGGGAATCCAAACGACATGATATGCCATCTGAATGCAACTAATTATTACAGTCATAGCTTACTGCAAGACTATCCGTCTATAAGTCAACTCAACAAAATGGCCTCTGATGGAAAATTCAGAATAATTTTCGCAGCTCTCAGCATGGTTAAAAAAGAATATGAGTTGCTGGCCAAACATATTTTAGGATCCAAATATGCAGAGTTGAAGACAAAATCAAACATTATCGATATAATAAAAAATGCTTATTTGGTGAGTATACAATAACATTTACAAGGAAAAAGATAATTGTTTTGTTTTTTCGAGACTTAGATTTTCCAGTTCCTGAAATATCGGGACTCGCAAATAGCAAAGTACATGGAGGAAATCCCGCTAATAACTATAATGTTAGTGACATTGAAAGTTTAAAACGATATCATTACTCGATGTTGTGTTACAGGAATCATCAAGATACATGATGTTAAAGTATCAGTGGCCCCCTTATGTACAGTTAATGTTGCAACCAGATTGTTCAAAGGCAGGCAATTGTGAAATGCGTCATAAAAAAACGCTCACAATAGATGCACAAATAAAAGTGCAAGAATGCCCAGACAACAAAAAAGATTTCTTCCAGAAATTAGAAATAGAACCAGATGTGGGAGGGCTTGACGACAAGTTAAAAATATATCTAGAAATTGACTGTCAATGTGATTGCGAAAAAAATACAGGTATAGAAAATTCGTCACTGTGTAGCACATCTGGCACACATCGATGCGGTATCTGTGAATGTAATAAAGATCGGTAAGTATTTTCATCTGACAAATTTCTAGGACTCTAATCTAACTCTATGAGACATATGCTAAGCTGACTGCCAACCTTCGCTGTTCGGAGAGGCACTAGAAGAAGAAGAAGAATCTAACTCTAATGCGTCGTCCTAAGTGGCGGCGATCGTATGATCACAAGATACGATCTCATCGTGCTATGAAAATAATGTACCTGTGCTCGTGCGATGGCTAAGGAAGTGTATTAGGATATTTCTTCAGAAGTGATCTTTATATAAGTAGGTCATCGCATCGTGTGATCGTGCGATCATTATCAGTTAGGACGACGCCTCATCTTGTTGTCTCACTGTTATTAACAATTATTTAAAAACGTCTTATGATTACTTTTAGATATGGCGACGTCTGTCAATGCAATGGAAACATTACGAGCAAGACTGACTTAGAAAAATGTAAACATAATAAGAACGATACAGGTTTCTGCAGCGGTAGGGGTACATGCGTGTAAGTATGTTGTATATTTTTTTAATTTAGATCTCCTTCTTTAGACTGGCAGCGAAAAATATGGAATAAAAGTTTCCAGCGTACTTCGATAGTAAATAAATAAATATTTCCAACCCTCACACCAATTAGCCTAGCCCCAAAGTAAGTACTATAAGGCTTGTGTTATGGCATACTAGGGTAACGGATAGAATATATATATGTGTATATACTGTACATATTAAACATCCATGACTGGTGCGCGAGTATAAATGCTCGTATTTATCACACAAACATCTGCCCCCCACCGGGATTTGAACCTCCCGAGTCGGCGAAACTATGAAACCCGGCGTACAAACCACTCGGCCTTGGAGGTCGTCAAACATGACATGACAAGATTTCATAAAAACGACAGCACTCAAAAGTAAACATAATACCTTTTATTTTATTTTATTTTATCTTAAGTACTTATATTTAAAGTCAGCTTAACTTATGGTGCCACTGCTACGCTAACCCTAGCAGCATTTGGTACTCAAATCTATCAACATGCACGGTTCCGACTCGAACGAAGCTTGTTTAAACAATACCTCACACGACATATTTAATCTTCGAAAGTGATAGGGGGAGGGCCTACACCTTGGTCCACCATTCCCTCGCTTGCATTTGTGTGTCTCTTAACCAGCTTCTCAGCTGATTGAAGGAAATGGGAACAATGGGTTCAGGTTCAGTGGCCTTTGTATTTGACCCTCTCTTCGCAAGTTCATCGGCTGCATCGTTACCAAGCGATCTACTGTGTCCCTTAATCCATTGTAGTGTCACTGTATTTTGATAGTACCGTAAAGCGTTCTAAAGCATTATGGCATTCTAGTATAACCTTACCATGATTTGATTCTTCTTTAAGGATTATAGAACTGAGGCACCGTCGGAGAGTAGACGGATATGGATGTCTGTCACTTTCCTGGCCTCTATGGCGTGTGCTGCTTGTATGATGCCAACACATTCTGCGTGATAGACGGTGTTGAGCATACCTAGAGCCATAAAATATTCTGATGTTTGTCATTCAAGAAAATTCCGACTCCAGTTCAGAGGTTGATCTTTGATCCATCAGTATAAATCCTGAGATCTTTCGGACCTAAGTGGTCGTGCAAGCTCTGAGTTCTATGTACTATACTACTGTACTACTGTACTGTACTATTTATGGAAACAGTGGTGCCGATTCTGGAATGATTCTCTAAACCTAAAATTAAATTTGACAACAGTGTATCCTTGTTACTCTCTATACAGAATGAAAAGGAGAGATTGATGTTAAATTGGGTTTTAAGTTTAGAGAATCATGCTAGAATCGACACCAGTGTGTTTTCAGGGTTTTGTTGCAGTGTGATGCTATTATCAGCGATATAAGAGTGGTTTAATTTATATCATGAGTTTGGATAACTTTTAATTCACTAATACGTTTATGTACTTATTATTTTGATGCGGAAAATGCGATTGGGTATCCAGGTTCACATTAATTTTCTTTTTTTAAGATGTGGCAAATGCAGTTGCGTCACCGGTTTCTCTGGTAATTATTGCGAATTTGATGACAATTCCTGCCCAAGGCAAGACGATAAGCTTTGCTCTGCTCATGGAAGGTGTACTCTTGGAGCTTGTCAATGCGGCACGGGATGGACAGGAGACGACTGCAGCTGTACCTTGGTCACCACGAAATGCTACCTTCCATTCTCTAAAGAGGTGAAATTTTGAAACAGATACTAATAACAATATTTCCCACACTCACACCAATTAGCCTAAGGCTTGTGTTACGGGATGCTAGGATAACGGATAGTATACATATATTTGATACATTTATAAGAAATATATGACTAAGGTATAAATGCTCGTATTCATCATACTAATATTTGCCCCAACCGGCCACCGGAATTCGGAGCTCAGGAGTAGGAGACACCTTTAAACCTCGCGTATATCGGCCACGGAGGTCGTCAAGTCGGAGATCCACGGTTAAGGCGATCAAACACTTGCGATCAATGAATCCGGGCTGGGCTACTCCTTTCCCTTTTTACTCGACATTTTAGAAACTGGCCCAGTTTGCATTTATTAGAATTTTCACTCCAAGTCCAACGCAGCTAAAAATACGAGGGAAAACATTGACAAAAATTACAATACATGTTAATTATTATTAAAAAAAAATGGTGACGTTTGTCTGTCGTTTCCATTTTTCGAAGAGTTTATTTCTATTGTTAGAATAAGACAACTAAGGACGTGCGCTGCCTTATGGCTCAATCACATGGCCGTTAGACCGAATACGATTGCCAATGGAATTCGTGTAAACGACTAATGGCGCAATTACATATCAATTCGGAGCGGGAGTCCGATCTGTATATCCGATCCAAGTATAGTCTCTCGATTATACTTGGCCGTTAGCCCGAATACGAGTGTCAATGAAATTCGGGTAAAAGACTAAGTGTAAATGAAACGAGCTAGACTCCTTTCTTTTACGCCCGTATTCGGGTAGTTTTCGTTTTGGTTACCCGACACCGTCTTCCAGTCGGTATTCCAATGTAAATATTGCTTCTGAATTCAAGTAATGTCGTTCTTGCACACGAATACGCGCTAACGACCAAATGTAATCGAGACATCAGGCGGAAGCACCGTGTATCAATACAACAATACTTACTATTGTTGTATTGAAAATTTTGAGAAGACAATTAAGTTTTTTATTCGATTTGACAGATTTGTTCGGGCAATGGCGAATGTGAGTGTGGTGGGTGCGTGTGTCGTAAGACAAAAGAAGGCACACTGTACTCGGGTAGTTTTTGTGATGACTGCGAGGAATGCACTGAGAAACGTTGCAAGGAACTAGAGGATTATGCTGCCTGCAATTTATGGAACAACAAAACGTATTGCGACCAACTGCCAGAATTTAATCAGACCTCCAATACGGAAGTGCAGGTTCTGAGCAAGGGTGAAATTAATAATATGACCTGGCCAACAGCCAAGTGGTGTTACAAAAAGTTAGAGAACGGCACGTCAATAGTGTTTATGAATTATCACGATAAAAGCAATAATAACTTACAACTGATTATCCAGAAAGAACTTGAAGAGGAGAGCAAGCGCAAGATTTGGAGTAAGTGAGATGGTTTTTTATATCCAAATATGAGATGGATTATTTACCTTTTTATAACGTTTGATAGGAATTGATACTATTTTATGCACTTATTTAAAAAAACTTTAACAAAAACGCTTTCGAAGCGGAAATTTTAATGGAATCTCATACAATATTTTTTCGTGGATTCTACTGGTATTCTAAGTGTCGCCGCACACGGGCCACCGACCACAACCACAAAACGCCGCCACCGACATATTACTTGTTGTTGTCATACATTTTATATGGACTCGCCACACACGATACGCCGGTGGCCGCCACACGCTACAAATCGTCGTTGCTCGCTTCTTGTGGCCCGCACCGGCCACTTAATGCGCCGGTACAAAACGCCGCCATACGTCACGTTCCACTCTCTTCCTTACCTTAGTCGGCCGCTGTCGCGCGCTTCAGCCACTTTAGTAGCCGCTTCTAGCTTCTCGAGGCGGCGTTTGTGGCTGTGGCGTGTGGCCCGTGTGCGGCGACACTAAGATCCTATCACAGCCTGTGTTTAGTCTTCATCGAAAGTGATTATTACCCCTTCAAATTTGAACTTAAATTCGCGGTTCTATTCAAATGGTGCTATTTTTAGCTCATTTAAAAGTTGTTGTTCGACACATAATATTTTTATACCAAACATTTTGAAGCTTTTTTTTAATTGGAAGCTAAATTAAGCCTAATATATAAAACAACTTTGCATTGATTAATTGTCATTACTTTTTCTATATACTTATAATAAATCTGTAGAGAGGTCAATTCTGTACATGAAATATATTTTCAAAATAACTATCAGGGGGTGATTAGTGATCGATACTGATGCCAAAAATGCAATCAGTAAAATTTTTGTCTGTCTGTCTGTCTGTGTGTATGTTCCTTATAGAAACAAAAACTACTCGACGGATTTTAACGAAACTTGGTACAATTATTCTTCATACTCCTGGGCAGGTTATAGTATACTTTTCATCACGCTACAATCAATAGCAGCAGAGTAGTGAAGGGAAATGTTGGGAAAACGGGAGAAGTTACTCCATTTTTTAAGCTTCCGTCGCGTGTGCAGCCTTAATGATTAAAGTTACATAGAAATCATGTATGACGGAAATATTCCACATAAAATTGTCTAAAAAATATCCCGCAACAGCATATGTCTTTCTTATATGGTTGACTCACAATAACACGTGTAATTATATAAATAAAGTCATTGTTTATAGCACAAGCCTGAGAACAAAAACTATAGTTTACACTACAGCTCTACACCGAAGCGAAGCGAGGGCGGGCCACTAGTAATGCCGGCTACAGACCTTCAGTTTTGACTGCACAGTTTTAACTGAACAGTCGAACTGTTCAGTTAAAACGTACGTGTGTAGGCAAAACTAGAAACTGTACAGTTGAACTGACAATTTATTTAAAAATCATTAAATAAAACTGCTCAGTTAAAACTGTGCAAGTAAAACTGAAGGTGTGTAGCAAAAATAACTGTGCAGTTGTCAGTTTTGCCAAAGCGCCGCCGGAGTGATCACGTGTTTTATGATAGTTTTAGTGATAGTTACATCGAAACTAACAATGCCAAATCTACGTGAATGGTTAGAAGAATTTATAGAATTATATCATTCAGAGCCTTGCTTGTGGAAAGTTAAAACAAAAGAGTACCACGACCGTGGCAAAAAAGAAGCAGCCTACGAAAAGTTATTGGCGAAACTTCGAGAGATTGAACCATCAAGTGACAAAGAATCTGTAATAAAAAAAATCAATAATTTACGCTGCGCTTATAAGAAAGAGCATAAAAAGGTGACGGATTCTATAAAATCAGGTTCAGGTACTGATGACATATATGAACCGAAACTCTGGTATTACTCTCTTTTGAGATTCTTGGACGAGCAAAATACACCACTACAGTCACGCTCGAATTTGGATGATGAGGTAATAAAACTAATATTTATTATTTGAAAAATTCCTTTTTATTATTTAAATAAAACTATTTTGCCAGGGAACTTGACCTTCATTGTTAAAATAATTCATAAATTCTTGTCTGATCATTTTGGCAGTTCGAGCCGTATTTCCTATACTTCTTCGTTGTAAAGGTTCCATGGCAGAATCCCTTGTATTGTACCCCAGTATGACCTCTCCAATATCAGTTTTTTCGCTATCAAAACACTCTGGACTTGTATAAGAATTTGGTAACTTTTTAATCAAAAAATTGTGTAATGCACAACATGCCATCACAATTGATTTAATTTTACTTGGTTGTACATTAATATCTGTATGAAATATTCGGAATCGCGCAGCTAAAATACCAAAAGCGTTTTCCACTATTCTTCTTGCTCTTGAAACACGGTAGTTATAAATTTTTTTCTCGGTAGAATCCAATTCAGCTTGTCTAAAAGGTTTCATCATATCAGTCCTTAGAGGAAAAGCGTCATCAGCAACGAAGACGTATGGTAAAGATCTTGAGCTATTCGACACGATTTCTTCATTTGGAATACTTAAACGATCATTCTGAAGCTTTTGAAAGAATTTTGTATTTCGTAAAACTCCACCGTCTGATATACGTCCGTTGGTTCCAAAATCACATAAAATAAACTGATATTGAGCGTCCACTATAGCCATTAAAACCATGCTGTGTTTTTTTTTATAATTAAAATATGTTGATCCACTATTTTTTGGTGGATTTATTGAGACATGCTTCCCATCAATCGCCCCAAGCAGATGTGGAAAATTCCATCTTTGTTCAAATAGTGCAGCTATTCTTTTCCATTCTACTTGTGATTGAGGAAACTGAAACAAACAAAAATATTTACAGATTAAATCTCCGGAGTCAGTATCATCGGCAGGGGATAATTTATCAGTGCATGAATCAGCAGGGCAGGAAGTACAAAGTGATGAAGGCTCAAATGCATCTGCTCAGCATAATCACGACGCTACACCTACAACAGAGGCTACTTCTTCATTAAGTCTATCATCATCTAGAAAAAGAAACTCTGAAGCTGCTCTAACAAAGGACGTTTTGATATCCGTTAGAGATCATTTCAAACGTCCGGCTCCATCTCCTCCACCACCGATGAGACCTGACGATCGTTTCGACATATTTGGTAAAGCTGTTGCATTTAAACTTAGAGATTTGAATAAAACACAACGTATTCTAGCAGAAAAAATTATTAACGAGACGCTTGCAGCAGCTGAATTGGGTGGTTTAACTACATCACATACTGTTATGGCCCCCGTTTCAAATTCACCTTTTCAACAATATCTTTCAAATCAATCGTACTCATCTACATCCAGTCGCTCTATTCACAATACTTCACCATACTCAAATCAACAAAGTCCTATAATTCAGTCGCCAACATCTAATCGCTCTATTCACAATACTTCACCATACTCAAATCAACAAAGTGCTGTAATAAGTCAGTCGCCCATGTATGAACAACCACTTCTGCGCAATCACTCACAGACTTCATCAGTTGTTCTATTATCTATACCTGAGAATCCAGAAATATCAGATAATGCAACCTTTATTGACAATGATGTACCAAATCAACCAAGTGCTATGATACAGTCGCAAGTTTATCAACAACACACAAATTCAGCTGCTGACTACGTATCTAACTACGATGCTTCCTCATTTTAAATTCCGAAAATAAGTACAATCATTCTGATGTCTATCTAAAATATAAACTATTAAAAAATATTAATTGTGTTTTATTTATCTATCACATACCTTTAAGTAATCCTTGTGTAAAACACTATATATTGCTTCACACGTTTCGGGTATGATACTGGAAAGTGACTGCGGAGATATTATTGTTGAAAACTTGAGGTCTTCGTAGGTTCTCCCTGTTGCTAAAAATCTAAGTGTTGCTGTTAATCTTTCATGTGGTGATATAGCACTTCTCATAACTGTATCTTGTTTCATTATTATAGGTGTGACTAAGTCAAGCAGATGTATGTATGTTTTTTCATCCATTCTTAAATAGTTATTATAGTCTTTTGGACAAATTCTGAGCTCTTTCAGTAAATTGTCATGCGAATAAAGTTTTCTTTTCAATAACCAATGTTTACACCACATTTTTTTCCTTCTTTGTATTCTTTTTTCCAAAATGCATAATAGTCCAATAATTGCCACAGTGTCATCTGATGATGCCATGGCGACGTGTTACTTCGAGCGAAAAAGATTACAACTGAAATAACTCAACGTGTGTAGACACTAGGGACGCCAGTTTTAACTGAACAGTTCGACTGTTCAGTTAAAACTGTGCAGTCAAAACTGAAGGTCTGTAGCCGGCATAAGATAATAAAACTTGCATTATGGCAAACTCCATCAAAGGAGGACGGGCATTTTGGTATCCAATTGATGTTTGGTATCAATAGCGATGAGTGATATATCATTGAATACCTCTTTTCATGTAGAATATTAGTTACTATGGCGGCATTCTGATATTTGTTGTCCGTTTTTATTTTTTCCAGAAAATACCAGAACCATTTTTGCCGGAACCGTTATTACCATTATTACTACATTATTATACTTACCGAATAATAATTTTAATATTATAATTCAACATTATTGTACATGTCTAACCGGTAGACGTACCATAGGAACTTGTGCTCACATATTATCAATTATATGGTACCTAGGCTATGCCAGGCACGCCGGATTCGTCGCTCCTGCACTGTTCCTAAATGACATCCTTATTATAAATAATGAATAAAGTAATTACTCCAAAATGTGTTTCTTTCACTCTGCCTCTGGATAACTGCATACATAAAAAAATAAATGAATAAAAACATAATGTACCAACAAAGATTAATATTTAAAATCTATTTTTGTTATTTTAATTTTTGTTAAAAAAGTTTTTTATTAAGTGTTACCGTCATTACATTGAAGAGTCATCTGAAGTTAGTGATTAGTATTATAGAATTTCGAATCGGTAGTCCAACATCCTGGGGTGGGCACATGACCGTCCTGGAGTGGGCGCGGCCCACTCCCCCCCCCCCCCCTCTATATACACCTATGTTTACCGTTCAAGATAACAAGCTAGTTATTGTTTTTTTTATTATGTTTTTTACCATTTTCTTTTATTAACGTTCTCGTTAAAGATAAACATTAAATAGTTCTCAGGAGGTTGTATTGTTACTAAGTCGGAAGGCCACTGGTATCTGCAATACTTTTTTTTAAACTATTGCAGATATCAGCGCTCTAACCTGATGCCTATTGTTAATACTTACAACACTGCTAAAATAATGTAAATACTAAAATGTATAACAATTTAAAAAGGAAATTTTTTTTTATTATTATTTATTATTATAACTCTGTTTCGACAACGTATCAGGGCAAGCGCCATAGTAGACATTATTGTATTCAAGTAGACATTTCAATGATATGTAACACATCTCTATTGGAACGGATACCAAGTTCCATAGATTTTTGCCCATCATCCTTTGTACGTTTTTTTATCTTAAAAAGTAATGACCATTAATCAATTCCAAGTTGTTTTATATATTCGGGCATAAATATAGCTTCAAATTAAAAAAAAATCTGCAAAATGTTTATTTGTTGATGCTATTTATTATCATTCCTGATCAAAAGATGCTAACCAAATGTGCTGTTTCCATTTTTAATTACTTAATTATGTGCTTGTTAGTAATAACAATAATAAATAAATATACCCTAAAAATAAGTGGCCTCCTCATGAATTACCTGAATAAAAAAAATACACTTCACATACACCATGAAATCAGCAAACGTTTTTTTTAATTTAATCAACATTTACTTAGCATGGAAATGGCCCCTTTCGAACAGATGCTCCTCATTTGTAATCTTGACATCAAGCTGTCCATTTCATTCCTTATAAAGAATGATAAGGACATACTGTTGTCAAGTATACAAATAGCAAATATGAATAGCCAAGTGAAGTGCCGGCATTAAGTATATTTTTTTGTTTTATTAGAGAAACTCGGTAATGCGCATTTTTTAATCAGAGTAAGGATCACCAAATCTTATTTTTTAGGTTTTTTGAATACTTACTTGTTTATAATTTTTTATTTTGTTCTATTCAAATCCGAATTCCTAACTTTTTTTAGTAACTGACACAAAAGTGGTATTATAGCTGTGTTATGGCCGTATTACATAAAACTAGCAAACCAGTGAACCAAATGTTCACCAAAACCTGATTTCTCGAAAACCGGAAGTGCTACGTTACTCAAATCCGGTTTATAGTCTTATCAGACTATTCTTAACTTATAACTTAAATATTCTCTTTATCTATCTCTTACGGTTTGGCCGCTGAAACAGCACCACAGACAGATGGACGGACTTGTCTAATAGATAAGAGATTGCTTATATACATTCTTTCATATAAGCAATTGTATATTACGTTCCTGTCATACGACCATTTAATTTTTCGCCTAACTTTAGGATAGTGTGCAAAGGGGTAAAAATTTGTATATTTTATAACTAATGTGATGATAATATTATTTACGAGGATTAGACTCACACACTTTTAAAATTTAATAAAATAATGCGAAGAGATAGCGCTGCCTTGCAGCCTTAGAGATACTGGAAAAAATTCGACACGGCCGTTAGGGCCACGGTAGCATGATTGGTCAGTGCATCCCGGACGATAAATGCTTAAAAACTAAAAGTATAACTATTTTAAACACCTATTCTCGAAGATTCGCGTGTCAAAGGCTAGAGCAAGATAGGTGCCGGGAATTCTGACAATCGAATGTCCCCGAGTTTTTGAACCTCTGTAGCGAGAACAGAGATGAGAATTTATGAACTGGATTGTTATTGAATAAATTAATTTTATTTCACTCACACCAAGCCTAGCCAGATGTATATAAGGCTTGTGTTATGGGATACTAGGGACACGGATAGAATACATATACTGATCCATACATAAGTATATTTATAAAGCAATAGATATAAACATTCATGACATTGTATCTAACAAATGCTCGTTTCATCATACTAACATTGGCAATACCGAATTCGAACCCGAGACCTTGGAGAATGCGACACCCGCCATAAAGATATATGTCAAACTGGAATGTGTTCTGTTTTGGACACATTCTAGTGTGAGTACTTTTATAAACGCTTTTAAATTGTTGTCCGTAAGATTTGTCATTATCTTCTTTTAGTTGCTGTGGGCGCATCCATTGGCACCGTCTTATTAATTGGACTCTTGACTGTCATCATTTGGAAGATTATAATGGACAAGATGGATGAGAGAGAGTATCACAATTTCATCAGTAAAGCTCAAGAGGCTGGTTTCGATGTCTCCGAGAACCCGATTTATCAACCAGCCGCAATAAGTTTCTCAAATCCAACATATGGCGTTCAGCAGAATTAAGTTCAAAAGTCTTCTTAAATCCTGAATATGGCGTTTTGCGGAAATGAGTTTAGATTAGAATATCTCATTGTTAATTATACTTGTAATCAATCAATCATTTTTAATTACATCCCTAACCATCGACAGAGGCCTGTGCAATACAGAGTCCGGACTGCTGACCCCAGTCAGGGAAAATTAGAAGACTGTAGTTGCGGCATTGCCTAGCACTCACCATTCTTTATCGGAGTAGGCGTGGGCTTACTTCTCGGTGGCCTTCTTCTGCGACACGTCCTCACAGAAGGAGACGTCTGCTTGCCTAGACCTGTCATTACTCAGCATAGCTCTGATAACTAGGTGGGGGAGACGTCCGATAATAAACTACCCTGCTTAAAAATAAAATTAGACTCAGTTTTTCATTTTTTATTAAATAAAACGGAAAATTTATAATTTCCATAAATACATAAATACACAAGTTCATAAGCAAAACTTGATACATAAATAATAAAAATATTGTAAATAATAAACATTGCAAAATAGATTTCACAAATTTTGTACAAAAGATCTGCGCACCGACACCGTTGATATACCACATATAAAGTTTGACTTCTTAAGAAGAAGATAAGTTGTCAATCCGTTGCTTTGAATCAATCCTGGGACGACACACTGAGTTTTTGACAAGTGTGTCGATTGCATATTAATGATGATGTTAAAATTATTTTTTACGCGTCATTTGCCTGTCGTGGCTTCGACGCAGCCGAGTCGGGGGGTCGTCATGATAGGGTCTTCTTTCCCTTTTTTCTTCAGTATCTATTTTCACTAAGACAGCCTGAAATATTTTTCTATGAATTTATGTTATGAATAAAGTAGGATTTTGGCTTAATTACATTTGCTTGTTACCCATATTCAGGTGCAATTTCCAGCACCGGAAGCAAAATTTACACTGGAATATGGGCTGACAGACAATTCATACGTCTTATTGTTATTGAACTGTTTGTTTTGATGCGAAGCTATGTATAAATGCTACTCTGAATGTACGTGTAAAAAATACTTTCTTATTTACAATTACCTACATTAAAAGCAATTAAACATATAGTGAGCCTGATGGTAAGCGGCTATCGTATTAAAGACCTAACCTAAAGACATTTAAAATACCAGGGAAGGCGGGAAAATCACCTACTGCTTAGTAAGGATACAGCCTCAGATCTTCAACACTCTTGAAGATCGGTACCCCTAGCACGAACCATTATCGAATTCGAATAGTTTGCAAACCGAAATGTCAATGTCAAATTTTGTATTGAAACTTGAACAGCAGCGGCACAAAGTACGTAACGAGAACTAAAAATCAGTACAGATTTGACAATGACGTTTCGGACTCGCAAACGTTACGAATTCGATTTTGGTTCGTGCTAAGGGTACTGGTGGCCCTATCCACTACTGGAATACTGTGATACTGTGTTGTAAGGTGGAGGATATCCCAGAAATTAGTAATATCAAATTCTTTTAGAAATTAAAAATTTACTCACTATCCAACATTTTACATAATAATGACCCGTCTTAAGCATACTAGCCTAATGACTCGATTATACTCGTTCGTTAGCCTGTAATCGGGTGAACGAAAGACATAACTCGAATTCGGGCACTCGAAGCAATATTTACACTGGAATACGGGCTGGAAGATCGTGTCGGGTAACCAAAATGAAAACTACCCGAATAGTACTCGGTTCCGTTCATTTACACTTAGTCGTTTACCCGTATTCCATTGGCAATCGTATTTGGGCTAACGACCAAGTGTAATTGTGCCATAAGGGTAAACATATCATCATCAGCAATGATATATTGTTTTAAACTTTCATGGTCACTAATATTATAGTAATATAAGTTATTTACGGGATTGTTACCATGTACCTTGTTTTTAGCGAGTTTCCGGATATTTCGGCACTGTTGCAAGCGCCATGATCACGGAGTAACTGAAACTCGTTAAAAACAAGGTACATGGTTACAATCCCGTAAATAACTTATATTACTATCATCAGCAATAGGCTAATGTCTCCACTGCAGAGTCACAAATCTTCCCTATAAATGGAATAGAGATTGGGCCTTTGACGTGACCCATCACGTGGGCCCAGTGCGGATTGTTGGGTGCTAACGACTTGATGCAGCCGTATCCAACGACTTATCGTGCCGTCCTAAGTACATAGGAGCTCAAGATAATAAGTTTTTGGTCACCCATCCAATGACTGACCATTACGATTGTTGCTTAACTTTCACGATCGCTGGCCGGATGCGCCAAACATCTGCCCTATCGAGCTCCTCTACATTATTATGTAAATTGTTGGCAAACTAAGGCTCGTGTATACACATGAAAGCTCAAAAGGTGAACCGCTGACCCAGAAACTAGTAGACTATATTATCAGGATCCGGTGACTGCGCCAACAGAATAAAAGTGCCCGGTTAAACTTACCCGGTTGCTCTCAACGCGAGTTCGTTTTGACCGTACACTAGCGCTTGTTATAGCTCGCGACAGGTCTCCAGCAGAACGCCTTCCTTTGAGTTCCACCCCGCTAACGCCAGTGTTACAGCCACAACTAAAGACGTAACACAAAGTCTATAAGTCTAAATAAAAATATGAATGAATCGCTAAAATGTCTGTACGTGCGTAACTTCCGAGCGATTGCGCCAAATTGGATAATTCTTTTTTTTGTGTTAGATATTGTCAGGACAAGGTTTGTATAAAAAAAAGTGTTAAGTTTTAATCTCTTAATGTAAAAAGTGTGTAAGCGAATAAGATGGAAGACTATGGGAGATCTTCTATATGTTGACGAAACATTGACAGTAGGCATAAATAGATAGAGAAATCTTTTAGGGAATTCGAAAATATTCACAAAAAATGGCGGTACAAAGTTTGCTGGTTCAACTAGTATTGTATAAAAATATATTTCGTGAAGCGGCACCGTTTACCCACGGTACACATTGTAGTCAAAGTATTTCTTATGATTTATTTTTTTCACAGTATCGTCGCACTGAGGTGAATTTCAAGATCATTCAACCCTGTCATGTAGAACGGTGGGTATTTTTTATTAACACGCATATTATCTGTGCCCCCCCCCCCCCCCCCGGAATATACCTTGTCAGGTCATAAATTCTGTCACATGTTTAATATAAAATAATTGACACATAAGTTTATTCATTCTGTAACGATTTATATACCAAAATGAACTTTACAAAACAGATTCTTATGACGATAAAGTTTATTCAAAACGACCCCCGTGATTTTGATACAGGCCTTCAATCTGCGCGGCCAGTCGTCTATCGCAGCACGAACGAGGTCCATGTCAATATCGGCGGCTGCCTGAATAAGGATGTCTTGAGTGACTCCAAATTGGGATGAGGCTTTGAGCACACCTTTTCCTCCAAGTGTTGCCATATCTTGTAATCTAATTCAGTCTTCGTGCCGGATGAAGTCGATTTCACAGTCGATTTTCAGTCTTGTGTGCTCTTCGCTCTATGAGCTGGCGCCGAATCTTGTTGGAATACCCAGTGCCTGTTATTGAACATGGTATCGAAAACAGGTTCCACAAGATTCGTCAGGACTATATTTTGATACACAACTGCATTCGTTTTTACACCTTTCTCACAAAAATGTACCTCTGTTAAGCCCCAATAAGAAACTCCCAACCATACCATGAGCGAGGATGGAAAATGACCTCGTTGGACACGCGGAATACGTTGCTCGCTTCTTCACTACTGTGTGCGTACACCTAATTATTTTGTTTGTTGTAGCTCTCTTCTACGGTAAAATTTTTATCATCCGAAAAAGAATTTCCCGATTTTTATTCCCGCGTACCGCTTCAACAAAGCGTGGCATCACTCCAGTCTCAGGCCCATTAGACGAGCATTCAAACGATGTCCTGTTTTTCTTCGATATGCCCAAAGCCCTAAGTCTTCATTTAACACCCTTTTCACCGTGGTTCTGCTTAACCCCATCTGAAGGGCCAACAGTTTCTGCTTACGTTTGGGATTTCTTTGAATTCGCGCCTTCACAGCTTTTATCACTGCTTGAATCCTAACAGACCGAGGGAGACCACTTCTTGACCTGTCATCTACACTAGTCTTCATTGTATCCAGTGGCGTAGCATAGGTCACTAGCACCCGGTGCGGATTCCAAATTTGCCGCCCTCTTATTTTTGCAATCCATTATAAAAAAAAAATTGAGGCATGGTAAAAAGAGTACTTTTATTGAATAACACTAACCTAAGAGTGAAATTAACATTTTTTGACATAGAGTAGAAGGTAGACTATCACAATATCACTTAGAAAAATTACAGAGAAAACTTTGCACTTGCATCACCCATGCATAGAACCTGCATAGGTACCTGGGTATTTGGTAACAACAACAAAAAAATGAAAAAAACTGAAAGAAATTAACTTTTTTTATATTTTAATTTTTTTTCTCTATCTGCCAACTCCGCAGCGCCGCCCCCGGCAAAGTGCCGCCCGGTGCGGACCGCACCCCCCGCCCCCCCCCCCATGCTACGCCACTGTTGTATCGTGTGATGGTACGATAAACGAATCTTTGGTTATATTCAGTTTTTTCAGTATGTCAAAAAATTTAATTGGCGCGTAACTGCAACGATGCAATGCAATGACTGCAACACGGTCTTCTTTAAGCGTCCACTCCATATTTAAAAATGATTAAATTCTAAAAAGTATACATTTTTATTTTCATGAACAATTCGAAATTCGAATTCAATAAACTTTTTTGTGGCCAGCATTCTAAAAGAAAAGTTTTTACTGTGTGACAATACTTATGACCTGACTGTGTATTAAGTATTATGTATTTATCAACTAGCTATAAATATTAGTAATTATTTGAAATAAATTTTGGGCAATTGTCATTTTACGTGCATAGTAAGATAGGTTGCTACATGAACTATTAATATTATATATACTATGAATATTATATATCGGAAAAGTGTCCAGATGGGAAATCCAATTCGAGCGGAAAATCCACTATGTCTTCGTTTATTTTAAAAGTCAGCTAAGGGAAACATACTTATCGTTGTCCACGTCCATAGATAACGGAGCAGCAGTCATACAATCGTATGTAGGTTCTGGGCTCCCGGTTCTTGAGTCCCCTGGCGGACTACGACAAACCGCCTCTCGCACCTCCTGCAGCCGTCGCTTCTCCTCTTCCACCTTTCGGTCCAATTCAGCTACTACATACAGAAAGTATGCATAAAGTATTTGACGACCTCGGTGGCCTCGGCCGTCGACTCGAGAGGTCCCTGGTTCGAAGCCGGGGGGGGGGGGGGGGCAGATGTTTGTGAGATGAATACGAGCATTTGTACTCCAGGCATGAATGTTTACTTTAATATGTATTTCTATATAAATATAGTTATATATGTACAGTATATTTATTTCCGTTACCCTAGTATCCCATAGCACAAGCCTTACTGTGCTCCTTTGGGGCTAGGCTAATTGGTGTGTGTGTTGGAGATATATAAAAAATATATAAAGTAACTAGCAAACCCGGTAAAAGTATAAAAGAAGTTTTTTTTCTAATTTTTCCTTAACTTTCTTTGCTATAAACCTCACGAAGCCCGAGACCTTTCCAACGAAAGCAAAACCGTGGAAATCGGTTCGTGCGTTCTGGAGTTATAGCGTCAGGAAGGAAAACCCGACTTATTTTTATATAGTAGATTATCATTTAGTGTAGGATGAAAAACGAATCGAAAGCCAACTGCTGGCTCATTTCAGTTTTCTTTCGTTGTCAGCCAAAAACACAGCTCATTATTTACTGAGAATTAATCATTCTTTACTTACTATGTTGTTGAGCATGGCGTTGTCTGTTAATTAATTCGCTTTCTAAATTGTCTATTCGTTTTTGTAGTGCTTCTTCTTTACTTAATTTCATTTTCCAAGCCCGACATACTTTTAAGTGAAGGAATGATAATTCCTGAGCGTCTAAATCCTGAATAAAAACATTTTTTTAAGACACTTAGAAATATAAATAAATTTTAAATTTATTTAAAATAAAATATTTATGAAGGAATATTAACAAAACAAAAATTATGAAATAAAATATCTGGGTGAAAGCGTTAGTAAAAGTTGTCCCCTCTGTTAGTTACTAACGGATCACTTTAATCTATCTACCTAAGGGGATGGACAGGAGATTAATCCCTATCCGACCTCCCTATTTTCACCTGTATAATCAATTAAAAATATCTCTTCTTAGCTACTCATTTAATTTACGACTCCTAGCCCATCCACTAGTTCGATTATCTTGTTCTCATCCATATCCTTGTACTTATATTTAGAGACTTTCTCGCTATTTCTATTAAATAGATTAAGGGCAAAAACAGACTTATGAAACTAACTACATATAACTATAGCGCATCGCGTCGCGTCTGATGTTCCTAATGTGATTCTGATATTATCTATATACCAAATTCTCGTGTCACAATGTTAGTTACCATACTCCTTTGAAACGGCCTGACCGATTGTTATGAAATTTTATATGCATATTCCGTGGGTCTGAGAATCGGCTACTATCTATTTTTCATATCCTTAAGTGATAATGGTTGTCCACCTGTAACGTACTGTTCTGGAACCTACAATGCGCCTTAGCGCCAAAATTCAAACTATTGGGTATTGTAACGTAGTGTTTTCATATGGGTTAGGAGGAATGTTATCCCAGAAAATTGATAGAACTCTACGTTACATATCCCTAAAAATTTTTTTGGACAATATTTTTTTTTATAATGTGGTATTAAAAAATACATACAACCCTAAATTTTCTCTTCCACCACCTGTTTCTATTTTTATGGCGGTACGAAGTTCGCTGGGTCAGCTAGTATCATAGAAAGTAGTACATTTTGATTTGACTGAAAACGGTTGGCGTGGGGTGGTGTCACATTTCATAAGTCTGTTTCTACTTTTATTTTAGTCGTGTTATTCTCTTTATTGTTAATTTATTTTAAAAAATATCATAAAACACACCGTTATGCTTGATTATACTGGAACAAATAATCCTGACTAAATATCCAGGTGAATTTTATTTGTAAGCAACCACCTATATCTTCGAGCATGGTTGTAAATAGCAATAAAAAATCTTTAACTGAGAAATCCATTATAAATTAAGAAAACTAAATATATTTACCTCCACATTGCCACTAAGCATTTTATTGATAATATACTTAATATAGGAATGTTCAGCCATTTTTCGTTGTGAAACACTAACTTGTTCGAATATATTTTTAATAGTATCTGAAATATTAACATCCAAGGAACATGTGCACGGACCAAAAGATTTTATCTTTGGTTTCACGTTACAGGCAACGATATCGGTTTTAGTAAGCGTTTTGGTATCAGAACGTGATTTTCTACCCTTTTTCAAATCAGAGGGTATTTTTATCGGTTCCTAAAAGTAAAAACAAAACACAGAATTAAAGTTAAGTTACAACAGTAAGACTTTTGGTTTGCTCATCCTTGCTTTGCAGACATATTTTGATAGTTAATTTACCTCGTCTAAGCCTGTTTTAGAATTTTCCTTAATTTTTGATTTTAACGAAAAATTTTCTCTTTCTAATTTTTCAGCTTTACGGTTAGCTTCTAAGCTCATTGTTCTTAAATTTTCAATTTCATTTTCATGAATTTTTATTATATCTTGTAATGTTTGTTCATGGAGGCCTTGAATATTCTTTACACCTTGATTGTGTTCTTTTATGATACTCGTTATGTTACTGTCATATTGAGATTTTATTGCTGATAATCTTCGTTTATAATCTCGCTCAGTAATTTCCAAGCTCTTTGTTAATACACGTATTCTTTCTTCATAATCTTTAACATCATCAGCCTCAGCCATTACACTCCGATCCACAGCTGATTTGGATCCACTTATTTTGCTCCCGCTTTGGTTTGTTTCAAGGTTGCTTTGATTTTCGAAGAATGACATTTTATGCTGGTTACATTTGGATGGTCTCCAATCCTTTGATTTTTCATTTTTTGCATATAATCGTTCATCACTTAAGCTTTTCGGTGATTCCCGCACTTCATTTGTTATATTTGTGTTTCGAGGATATACTTTTTGTCGGACTGTATTCAAAATATAATCTAATGCGAAACTTCTTGGTTCTATAGAATTTCGAACAGGTAAATCAACCTGTTTTTTATCTTGGGGCTTCATTAAATAAACTTCTGCATCAACTCTTGACAGGTCATGGTGTGATTTTTCGCTATCATTACTTTCAATTGTCATCTTTTTGTTGCGACGGATTAACTCCAGGTCATCGTCACTCAAATTCTTGTCACGATTCGTAAGTTCGAAAATTTGGTTTCTTAATTCATCGATTCTCATATCTTGTTGATTGTTGTATTTTCTTTCAAGCTCAGTATTCATCATTTTAATGTTAAACGAACTCGATGGCATATTTTCATTTGACATTGATGGTAAAAGTAGGTTTCCTTGTTTCGTTATCTTAATTTCAGTATCGCTAAATAATTTTGCACTCATAATGGAACTTTGCTTAGGTGAAGAGTAAATGTCTAAAGTATCTGAATCTGTGGATTTTCTATCACCTTCTGATGTTGTCAATAAAGAATGGCTTTCATTATTTATTCTGGGCAAATTAATCTTTAATTTTGGTTTCACACTATCATCTTCGTCATAGATATCATCTTCGACATAAGCACTTTCTATGAAAGTAGCAGGTACTGTAGACTGCTTGTAATTTTTTACCTTATCCTTTCTTTGTTTTATTACTAGTTCGTTTTCTTTTTGTTTATCGTTTGCTGTAGCAGAAACATCTTTCCCTTTTATGACATTGTCTGTACTTTCTGTTACATTTCCTTTGACTGTAGTCAATAAATCTTTATAGTCTTTATTTTGTTGCTTCAATGATTCTTTATCATTATCATCATAGTTATTAGTTTTAGCACCATCGTTTGGCAAATCAAATTTGTTATTAAGGCTTTGGTTTATTTTCTGACCCTGCTCGCTATCATTATCACAAAGTTTCGACGTCCTATCGACGTTATCATTATTGTTAAGAAATTTAGATGAAGTATGATTGATAGATCTATTATAAATATCGACTAATTTGTAATTATTTTCAGGTTTTTCTAAATTGCTATTATGAAAGCCTTTTTCATGTAATTGCTCATCAAAAAACGAGTGCTGTTCTAGCTTACTATGTCCTAATTGTTTTATTTTATAATTTAAGTAATTACTTCGTTGAAAGTTAAAGGTAGGTTCAAAACTAGTAGCCAATATTTGTACTTCATTAATGGAATGTGGGGTTTCATTGGGCAATAAACATGGAACAGGAACATTTTCCATTGGTCCAATATTTGAATGGAAAATATTAGCGGGTGGTAAAGATTCTAGGTTGTCTTCATACTTATCCTTACTAATTAAATCCGAGTTAAAATTTCGAACAGAATTTTCATTTGTTGCAATTTCATAATTTTCTGTTTGAATTAAGATACTTCTTTGCAATGGGTTTTCTGTTTGAATTGATGTTTCGAGAAGAGAAGGTGTTTTGTTTTTCAAAGCATGGAATTCCTTTTGCAATTCTGTTATACTCGCGGTTTTCTGTGTTAGTTCTGATTTAAGCAGGTTATTTTCCCTTGTGTATTGTTTGTTGTCGTCCGTTAAATTTTGATTTTTTTTCTGTAATTCTTCTAGTTCTGTTAGTAAACTTTGATTCGTGGATTGAAGAGTTTGATTCTTCTTCTGTAATTCTTCTAGTTCTGATAATGAACTTTTATTCATAGATTGAAGGGTTTGAATCTTTGTTTTCAGTAATGAAATTGTATTTTCAGATAATAGTTGTTGGTTTTGAATATCGGCTTCTAAATCTTTGATTACTTCTTGATCTTGAGCTATTCGATCCTCTAAATTTTTCCTCAATTCGGCTAGTTTGTTTTCCATATTAGTTTTCTGCCGTATTGCTTCCTCTTTTTCCATAATAATTTTTTGTTTCTCCATTTCAACGATCTTTTTGGCTTCATCAGCTTTACCTAGAAGTATCTGTGATGAAGTTTGAACTTTATGTATAGTTTGTTCTAAAGATGAACTTTTAGCAGCTTTGGCATATATATGTTTTCTTATACGGTCTAATGAAGCTAAAATATCATCCAAATCACATTGTTCTGGTGACAAAGTACTATCGCCTATACTGCTTACTTCCAATTGTTTGATATCTGTAACAATGATTTCTCTTTCTCTTTGTAGATTTGTTACTCGTGATAAGTATTTGTTTTTGTCTTGGTGTGATTCTTCATTTTTTATTTTTGTCATAGATAACTGTTCTTCTAACTTCATATTCTCGTTTTGAAGTTTTGCTAATTCCATCTTTATATTGTGTGCTGCTTTCGAATCTAGATAACACAAAGAACATAAATGAGTCAAATAAAATAATAAAGGCCAACTGTGTTACGATGCAACTGCATAATTATGTGCAACCAAAATTACAAAATTTCTCAGAAAATGCAGAAACCTCACGATTCTCGAATATCTATAGTTAAAAACCAGATAAAGCGGGCTACTCTCATTCCTGCTGCTGGGGCAATCTAGGGTGTTAGAGGGGGGATGACCCTTAATTGCCTCCTTAATTGTGATGTGTGTAGGCAAGCAGGGGCGTGAGATCATCCTTGGTCCCATGCACGTTGTCTCGTATGTACCGCGATCGGGGCAATTTCTCAATCAGATAGCGATTAAGATGGTGGCAGAACAAATATGGTCATTAGACCATGAAGTTTGGATGCGAGTGATAGATTATATAAAGACCGGCCACCACGACCACATGTAGGATAAAAAAACACAAACATTATTTACAATACATATCTGTCTATTGCCAATTCTTTACCCAGTATTTCCTTTTTTGCGCTTAACCATAGAGAGCCAATTCCTACCTACCGATCTTTTGATAATACTGGGACCATTTTATCACCGCGTATTTTTAGCTCAATAAATATCCGAACACTAAATAGTAGGTATGTGTGTGAGACAAGCCGATATTGTCCCTACCACCGTGCGCCCTAGATTGCCCCTGCAGCAGGTATGTCAGTCGCCGGCCTAAGTGAATAAAGAGCGTGCGGATCAGCACCCGCGGTATAACAATCGGGTTACCGGTATCCCGTTGATGGTTTGGCAGATGGTGGTGTTAGAAGAGACGTAAACGGATTGACGGTTAGACGTAAGCCTACTAATGACCGCGGGTTCGCCATTCGCCGCTTATAACTCGTGAGAAGGTTTAATGCGGAATGTATGCGTAATAAATAATCTTACGCATGCGCATCGAGACACAAAAAATGACATTTCGCGAGTGTGAGATCCAAGATTCACGTGTTTTGCTTTGCGTGTCATGCACACATGTATATAAAACCTGGTCTGCTTTTATCGCTGTGTTTACAAGGTGACGCTCTATCTAGAGAGTAAATAATGAAAGCCTATGGGTTATATATTAGATAGCAACTTATACATACGGTGAGCATTCAGATTTTGTAATGTTTGATCATATTTTTCCATGCTGTTAGTACTTATTTCTTCTGAAGCCTCGATGACTTTCGCCAAGTTTTCTTGCAATGACATTATTTCTTCTTCAAGTTTGTTGATATGATTCTCCAATGTTGCTATTTTATCGTCACGCGCCAGTAACCTTTCACTCAAGTCTGATATTACATTATCCTGTAAGTAAGTTTATTTAAAGTATTTAGATTTTTTATGAAATTATTAATATCGGTGTGTATATCACGTTTATGTTTGGAGACCACTTCTTTAAATGACTGTTGTGGTCAGCAATTTCTGGATTTGACCACTCTTGCTTAAGACTACTCCATAATATGGCTGTTTCTGGATTCGACCATTTCGTTTTTGTCTACTTTGAGTATAGTGAGGAAAAAGAATATTTTGGAACAAAAATATAACTATATAAATTTACTTTTATATTCTATATATTTTATATTACCTGTTTTAGAGTTCTTTATATTTTATGGGTTACATCTTGTCGAGCTATGCTATGTTTACACGAAGACATAAAAAAAATTGCGTTATACATATTGAGGAGCTCGATGGCGCAAGTGGTTAGCGCGTTCGGCTGCGGTCGTTGAAATTAAGCAACTTTCGCAGTGGTCGGTCATTGGATGGGTGACCAAAAATTTATTATCTCGAGCTCCTCCGTGCTTCGGAAGGCACGTTAAGCCGTTGGTCCCGGCTGCATCTGCAGTCGTTAGCACCCACCAATCCACACTGGGCCCGCGTGGTGGGTCATGGCCCAATCTCCCTATTCCATCCATAGGGAAGGCCTGTGCCCCAGCAGTGGGGACATTAATAGGCTGATGATGATGATGATGATATACACTGTAATAGAGGTAGCCAAAAAAGGAGGTTGTCAAAATCAGAAATGGTCCATACAAGAACTAGGTTTAATGAAAAATGGTCGCTTTCATAACAGGACATAACTAGAAAAAGACAAATGAGGAACTGATCCTTAAACATCAAACCCTTATATCTGCTATCGTTTTAATAGAATAAATTTTATGTGCCCACGGTACTTTATGTGGTCACGCTACTTCCTCTAAAGATTCCGTATGTATTTTAAAATTATAAGTGCATGCAAACGAAGTCATGGGGTAACAGATACAGCGCGTTTTTGACCCTAAAAGTTAAACTGGTCAATCTTAAGCAGTATTGGTCCTTTACGTATGTTTTTAGTACCTATTTGAGTATGTTTAATTTGATTATTTTCGATCTCGGCATTTTAGCGAAATATTAATAACTGTATCTATCTTTATTTGTTTTGCGATAATCGTAATATATATACCTAGCCCAGCCATAAGTTCTGTTACAAATGAAAATGCATTTATTTATGATGTTTTGTATTATTATTAAAAATTATACCTATATATTTATTAAAATCTCAGCAAAAATTAAAAATTGTCTATTCGAAATGGCCACCTTTGGCTTTTATACAGGCCTTTAATCTGTTTGGCCACGAATCTATGGATTTACACACTGTTCCCAAGGGAAATTTCGCCACTGCTTGCTCCAAAGAATCTTTATGAGACTCAATGTTGCCGTGTCGTTTAGAGCAGGCCATGTCCTCTAGAAATTACCATAATTTGAAGTATAAAGGGGTGAGGTCTGGGCTAGGTGAGGGCCAGGCTTCAGCTCTTATAAAGTCCAGTACGTTGGTTTCAAGCCAGGCTTGGGTAGTTTCTTGCCTTGTGATCAGGTGCAGAATCCTTCTGGAAAGTCCACGGCATATTTTTAAAAAGTGTATTGCTGAGAGGTTTCACAACATGATCTAAGATTGTTCTTGATACACTTTGGCTGAAGTTTAACTCCTTTTTCACAAAAATGTAATTTTAGTTGACTCCTTGATAAGACACGCCCCACCAAATCATCACTGACGCAGAATGATTACCAGGTTGTACCTTCCCGACCACTTGAGTAGCTTCTTTAGAACTGTTAGCGTACACTTTATCATTTTGCTTATTGTAGTGTTATAGTATATCGCGTATCGCGACAGAAGTCGTTTTGATCAATCCACTCTTTTTAATTGTAAAGATTGATTTAGGGCATGTCCTGTATATCGATGATAATCACCGAGTTTCAGGTCTTGTTTTATAAACGCGACCGAGTCCTAGCGGGAATCTTCATTTCTTTGCTTCCTAATGGGTTTTCGACGAATTCTGGCTTTAACAGCATTAACAGCCTTTGTAGTTCTAACAGCACGCCCCCCCCCCTATCTTTTCTAGGCTTCGACAAACGAAGTGTTGTTGTATCTGTCGATAGTACGACACACAAACATACGGCTGAGAAGTGTCTGAAATAAACCGACGGCTCCATACCCACTTTGTGCAAGGCGATCACATTTTTTGCCTGCGTATAAAAAAAAGGCGATCACTGCAATCCTATTTTCTTTAACACCCCATTCCTTATTGTGATTTGATAATGAACACGGAGAAATATATGAAATGGCGCAAAATCGAAAGACGTTCTTAATATAATATACGTGTTCCAAATAATTAATTAAAAAGTTCAAAATAAGAAAAGTTCTTATTTAACTGTATTTATGGCCAGACTAGTTAAATTACGCTCCACGTTGTTGGACCGAGATGGACTCCTAAACTACTTAACCGATTTAAATAAAATTACCGATTTTAATCAAACCGAGTCTGTTAGTTATGTATATAATATTGTAACAAATGCACCTTATGGGCGCTTTCAATTTATGCGTTTCTTGACGGCCTACTGCGGTGCCGAAGCGGTGCGTTTGTCGTACAGCGTACGGACGATCCTTTTTTTTCATACAAAACGCGCGGTGCGGCAAAGGACCTGTTGACGAGCGTTCGCGGTACCGGCGCCGCACTGTTGCCGCTCCGCGCGTTTTGTATGAAAAAAAAGGATCGTCCGTACACTGTACGACAAAAGCACCGCTTCGGCACTGCAGCAGGCCGTCAAGAAACGCATAAATTGAAAGCGCCCGCCCTATTTTATAAAATCCTATAAGAAGTTTTAATATTTCACTAATTTAGCTGCCATCAAGTTTGCATCGTATTATGTAAAGATTTTAGTAGGCTTATCGTAGGTAACAGTCGGTGAATTAAAGGTCACAATCACTCTATTAAGTAATAAATGGCTACACATACTGATTCTTCTAGTTTCATTAGTAAATCCTTTATTTTATTTTGACTTTGAAGTTTTTCTGTCTTCAATTTTTCTATTTCTTTCAGAATATCTTCAGTGCTAAGTCTTGGACTTCCTGGCTTTGCTAGTAACTATGCACAAAAGCAAAGAAAAATAATAATTATCATGGATGAACGAAAATAGTTAGTCCAGTTATGCAGTGAATTATGTCTTTTTATCGAATCAAAAATGTCATTTTATTAATTAGTAATATGAAAAAAGTTACAAACATATATATATATAATACCCCCTATGAATATATGGACTATATAGACATTGCTGTCTGCGTAATTAAGAAAAAATAATTTCTTAAACGACGGATTAAACAAGTAAAATATACTGAAAAGTTACATTTACTTTAACAAAAAATGTCTTTACCTGATTTCTTGCTTCAATTAAAGACTTTTCCAAATTTTTATTGATAGCTTGTAAGTTTTGATTTTCGTCACTAAGGTCATTGTTATCTCTTTGAATTTTTTTTATAGTATTTGTAAGTTGAGTCAATTCATTTTGCATAGATTCGTTATTACCTTTTAACTTTTCGTATTCATCTTCTAATGATTCAAAATGTTTCAATTTGTCGACAAGTGCTGCACTTTCTTTCCGAATATCATCTAAATTAGTTTGAGATATAGTGTTTTCTTTTTTCAGTGCTATTATGTTCTCATTTGCAGTTTTTTGGTTAGACTCTAAAGTATGTATTTTAGCTCTTAAAACAAAATTTTCTTTTTTGGTCGTTTCCAGTCCGTCATTTAAGTTTTCGATCTCTTTGGTTTTATTATCCAAATTATTTTGTAAAATACTATTTTGTTTTCTTAATTCTATATGATCAAATTTTAAATTACTTAATTCATTTTCTAATTCAGATAGTTTTATTGAACCTTTATTCAAAGCTTCACTTTGGTTTCTTAATGATTGTAGAACATTTTCAATTTCTTTGTTTTTTTCTAATAACTCGTTTTTGAAATCTTCTTTTTCAAGCAGTAATTGGTTGTAAGCGTCACCTAATTTGATTAACTCCTCTTCTACCGTTTTAAAATGATTCAATTGACTAAATAATTCATCACTCTTCTTTCTGGAGAGATGTAGTGACTGTAAAGCAGTTAAGAGTTCATCTTTTTTTTCTTTGAGATCATCTTCTAGTTTATGTTTTTCTTTTATAATGTTATCTTGAGCAAATTTTAAGGATTCCATTTCTTCTGATACCTGTTGAAATTCCTTTAATTTATTTACCATAATCTCACTTTCCTTTTCCATGAGTTCTAATGAAACTTTATATTTAGTTCTTTCTTCGTTCAAGGTACTTATAGTTAATGAATTGACTTCTTTAAGTTTCTGGATTTCGTTAAGTAAAATAGAATCATCATCTTCCGGTTCACATAATTTTTCAGCTGCTGTTAGTTCTTGAGATCTCTTTTGTTTAATTTCAATTGATTTTGACGTTTCACCTGTATCGCTTATTTTATTATTACTTCCATTAACGCTTTTGAGCAATTCTTGACTTTCGCGACGAGCTAAATGTATGGTTCGTAAGACTTTAAACTTTTCATTTTTATTTGCAGTGATACTATTATCATACATATCACGTAAATCCTGATACTGTTCGGAAATATTTCTTTTTTCGTTATCTTTTTTTTCCAACTCCTCCATCAATAAATCTATTTCTTGTGATCTTTTATCAACAATGCTTCTTAAGTTTTCTACAGCCACAGACTTTTCTTTAGCATCTTGATATAAAGTTTTATTCTCGTCCATTAATCGTTGGCAGGTAACTGTAAATTAAAGTAATGTAAAACGTCTATAAGCTTTAAAAAAATAAACAAAAGTTTGTAATTATACTAAACATCTTACTCTTCCAGTCTTCGATTTCCATTTTTAGGTCATTAATAATTCTAAGTTTATCTTGGAACTGTTCAAGCAATTGTTGCTTTTCATCTTCGCTACAAATTAAAGAGTCTTTTAGATTATTAACCTTTTCTTTTAGAGATTCGATTTCATTAATGACTGCCAAAGAATTTCTGGCGTCTTCAGCAGAGAGCATCTGAAAAATGAATAAAAGCATTATGAATAAAACAAGAATGAACATATTTGTTAAACTTGAGTTATAGTATACCGATGAATAAATGTATCGATTTTGCACACTCAACACTTAAACCATACAGAAAATATCTAAAACTTGTACAGGTTGTGCAAAACTGTTACTCAAACTGAGATACGTCTCGTATCTAAGTCTTATGCCCGGGTTATATGAGGCTAGTTTCTCAAGCTATGATAGCAAGCTATTGGCACTACTTACAAACTAGCTCTTCTGGCTTCGTGGACAAAACTAGCTGCATTTCTGAGCAATTAAGCCAGTACGCTACAAGTAAGTCAGTAAGTATACAAGCCAGTACAGTTTTTAATAGGACAGAGTTGTATTTTTTAGGCTAGTAGCGCCCACCATTGATTTTAATATTCTGGCTTGTATTCTAGCTTCATGTGACCAGCGAAGCTAGTTTTCAGTTGGATAGTAATAAGCAGGAACCACGCGTTTTATTTTATTTTCCAAGAGCTGCAATATGAATTTTAGTCTACGAGCCCTTTTAATAAAATTCAAAACCAAACAATAACATAATCAAGGAGACGGTTCAAATATATATGGAGGATGGTAGTCAGTCTTCGGCAGACTCCATTTTTTTGTGACACGTAGGGCACTTAATTGTGAATCGTTTGGCAAAAAACTAGAATTTATTTTATCCCGGTTTTTTAGAAATGATTACTATATATTATTATAATATAAAATTATTTATTGGAAAATGGGAAGTTTATTTATCTATTTTTTGTTATTAATGCATCAAATATATTCTTTTAAATAGTTACCTATTGAATAAAAAATATTTGATGCATTTTGGCTTGATAAGCCACCTTCGATCAATAAAGCTAAAAACTGTCCGTGTATGTTTAAACTTATGCAGCTACATTCGATTCTCAAGAACAAAGATAAAAATGTTTTAAACAGTTTAAGTTGAATCAAATAACAACAGTCACTCAAAGGAATAAGGTTACATATAAAAAAATATTATGTCGCACACGACCTTTTATTTTATAAAACGAACCCTTAAGCCTCACTTGAGGCGTGAGATCTTATTTTAGTTTAGTTCGGTTAATACATAACGATGTAACTCGCTGGCCAATGACTGGTAAAAATATTTTATTTTGTGTTTAAGGCGCTTAAAGGCCCTCAAGTGAGGCTAGTGACGTAAGTTATGGCAAGGTGGCTAGCATCCTTACTAAATCGAAGGTAAATAAATATATATATATATACAGGATGGTCCAGTTAGTGACGACTACATTCCTCGCATCTGGGGGTATCCGAAAATACCCTATGTATGTTCCGCGATTTTTCTTAGATTTCAAGTTATATTTTTTTTGTGTATATTTAATGATTTGTAGCGAAGTTTCAAAAATTTATATCTTTTTTCGTTGTAGGTATTTTGCAGTCTCCGCCGACGGCGGGGTGGAAGCGAAGGCGGTACGACCGCCTCTTTCTATTCTACCCTAGTGGGACTAGCGGGCGGCGGACAGGGTGGTCCGCCGTCCGCATTGCACAGTCTCACCCGTGGAGGGGGGATGCCTGGGTGCTCCCGGGCATCCCCCTGACCGCCAGGAGGAGGAGGAACCCCTGGGGTAACGTGGAGAGTCATCCGGATCCCACGAAACCCGTTCCGGCAGGTGAGGGGGCACTGTTGGGTTTTTAGTGGGTAGGGCCCTTCATCCCGAACAGCCGCTGAGCCAAATTTGGGGGGAGGAGGAGTCCCACATAACCCCGTCTCGCCCCCGTAACGCATTTTCCCAACAATAAAAAAAAAAGGTATTTTGCAGTCTTTTTTTTGTGACATAACTGTCTTGAATGTTGTTTTAATAAAAAAATAACTCAGCTTCCTGAAATTACTTAAAGTTACTCAAAATAGGCATGAAAGTTGGAACTTTAGTTTTAGTAGGATTTACTCAAACATTCAACTTCAATTTAAAAATACAAAAAGGAGTTTCCATAGCTTCTGGCTAAAATTAAAAGCCCTGCATGATTCTAAACTATCAAAAATCATAAAAAAATAGTACTTAATCAGCCTATTTTTGTTGTATTTGGCCTTCGCAGGCGGATAGGCTAAAAATCATTGAATCATGATTAAAGCATTAAAAATTATTTTATCTACTTTTTATCATTGTTATAATAATAATAATAATATTTCCAACACTCACACCAATTAGCTTAGCCCCAAAGTAAGCACTCTAAGGCTTGTGTTATGTGATAACTAGGGTAACGGATAGAATACATATACTGTACATAATTAAAAGTTTATTAATATAGAAATACATATTAAACATCCATGACTGGAGTACAAATACTCGTATTCATCAAACAAACATCTGCCCCCACCGGGATTTGAACCCGGGACTTCTCGAGTTGGCAACACCATGAAACCCGGTGTACAAACCACTCGGCCACGGTGGTCGTCGTGGTGCACATTTTAAATCTTAGTGGTGAAACCGAAATTATTATAAAATTCCACATGCTAAAGTTATTTTACAGGAATTTCAAATAAATTTAATTTGAAATTTGTAAGTTTAATTTACCATAACAATGATAAAAAATAAATAAAATATTTTTAATGCTTTTAGCTAGCTAGCTTGAAAAACTATCCTCGTGTAGCCCGGGCATTAAATCTTAATATTTTAATAACAATAACAGAAAGAGTGTCTTGGTGGCATGTTTTATTATACGGTATTGTAAATAATTATATGTAATGGATAGTACTATCTAAAGCTTTTCTTTAAGAAATTTTTATTAAATTATAGATACCATCCATTGATATACAAAATAAGGTGAACCACCATGTCGTTAATAATAATGTACGATTCTCACTTATCGACGCGCGTCGAAGCGCAGCGCAGCGCATTTTACATTTTGCTGAAGGAAAATAAAACATCCAAGTTAAGATTCTTATTTTTGCATATTATTAATTACATGCAAACATAGGCTTCACAGCTACTTGAAAGCTGCTATGCCGACCGACTGCGCTTGAACTCTGCGACATAACTGCTTGAATTGCATGTAAGAAACTTAATTACTTTGTAGATGTTTCAATGTCCTTCAGCAAATTTTAAAATACGCTGCGCGGCGCTCCGACGCCCGCCGGTAAGTGTGAATCGTACATATTAACTGTCCGTGACTAAAGTGTGTATGAAAGCATGATAACTATTATGGTGCGATTGCATTATAATTAGAAGTGATTAGTTAATACCTATCAGTATAAATTTTTATACCTTATCATGACCTTGTTCAAGAAGTCTATCGATTTGACCAGATAAACTTTTAATTTGCTGTTCTTGACACATTATTGTACATTCAGCTTCTTTTAATTTGCATTGCAAAGAGTTTTTTTCTTTTTCAAATGCAATGTATGAATCATTAACTTTTTTCTCTAATTCTATATTCTCACTCCGAAGGTCTTCAACAGTATTTGATTTTATTGAATTTATTTCTGTTTCTGCTTTTAACTGTGTTTCCAAATTTGAAGTTTCTTCCAACAGTACCCAATATTGTTCCTTTAATGAATCTATATCTACTGAACGCTTTCGATAGTGTTCCTTCTCGTTTATTAATTGATTTTTGAGGTTTTCGTATTCCTTTTCTAACTCTTCATATTGGCTACATCTAACTTGTAAACAGTCCTTCTCATATTTTACCTTTTCGTAGCACGCCATTAATTCATCATAATTTTGTTGCAAAAGTTTTAAGCGCTTTAAATTTTCTGTATCTATACTGTAATTATCAACACCGTCATCGATATTACTGTCATCGTCATTTTTATCTGAACAACTATCTTTGCTTAGGATTTCTTTCATTTCATCATTAGCCATTATATCAGCGACAAGTTGAGCTCTTTTGTTATCTAAATTAGATAATTTGGTTTCTGATGTCAAAGGTGGATTTTCAAAATGAGCTGTTACTTCTGCTCGTAAACAAGCACATTCCAAAGATGAACTACTTGCTCCTTGTTGAGAGCATGGTGCAATCAAAGCCTGGCCAAATTTTTCTAGCACTTTCAATTTGAATAAGATTTTTCCTTTTATATCTATGCATCGTATGTCTTTACCTGCAGTCTGAAATTCAATGTAAACTGAAAACTCTATATCATAATAGTTATTATTATAGTCGAAACTATTGGGTCTAGCAATTAAACATTTATTAACTTTATCTAAAGAAATATAACACTTTAGTCGTCAATAGTCAGTGCACAGTTTTCCATAGCAATTCTACCAAAGAGCACCAATTACGACCAAAATTTGGCTGTAGGTACTACATACATCCACTTTAAAGTTACAGTGGGGGTGGACGGCCACCCCTTCCCGTATAATGAAATATATTTTATTAAAAATAAGAATGGGAATGGATAGGCTGACTAATTCTAAAAAGGTTTTTACAAATAGGCAATACTTTTTGACTTGTTTGGGAGTGGAGTTTTTGGCGGGATTTCATCTAGTACGGTCGGCGTCTTATTTTAATTATTCTTAAATTCGTTCATAGTGGATATTGTGAAATAAAATTGGTGTGATTTTGTGTTACAAACATCTGTGCAACTGAAGAATTAGTGGAATCTTTAAAATATACGCTATTCCGGTCAAGTGGATGTGAGAACTTTATTGTAGTGTTGACTACCTCACAGAAGCTTACCGAAAAAACCACGATTTCAGACGGCTTTTCACGAATAACTTAGTAAATAAGTATTTTATAAAAAAAATCATTAAGTAAAATTGTAGCTTATAAAAGACAAACAAAATACTGGATTTAAAAAACTACTATATTGAATACTAATGGAGTAATAGGTTGTTGATGGTTGATTCTTCTTCATCAAACGCCTAAATCGGAAGTAATAACCCATAACCCATAGATTTTTTCACACACGTGTATTTGTGTTTCATAATGTGTGAAAAAAATACAACCTCGGAAAGGGGTGACGTCTACCTCCAGGAAAATTCCCAACCTCGGCACATTAACAACTTTGTAGTATAGGGTAAGTAGAACACAAAGCTAATTTTGGTGTAAAATAGTGCCGTTTTGCAAAATTGTTAGGTTTTCCGTTTTTGCCGTGCATTGGCTGGACTATTAACAAAGATTCCTTTAATGATGACAGTGAGCTAAGGTAACTTTAAGAAATACGTCTTCTAAGAGGCTAAATTAAAGGACTGTATTTTGGTGAAATGAAAATATTGTAAACTGTTTCATGCGTCACCGACCGGCACACCAAACCGTAACACCAGTGTTATGATGGGGAATTATTTTTTCCTGATCATAACACTAGCATAATACTAGTGTTACGGATGGGAACCCCGTCACTCCAGTGTGAAGGTCGGGGATGCATTGAAATCAGTATCTCCTTTGTCCTGTTACATCAGTTTCATTCATAAAAACTAGGTAGGGATGCTTAAAAAGTATTATTTTCTGATTGACTAATACGAGTCTTTTTAACTTGCACTGTTCAGTTCGTATGTAACAACGTATGTATGTAATTAGATGAAATAGTCCCAAGTCCCAACGGTAACACTGGAATGGAAAAAGAGGCTTCCCACCATAAGACAGTCGGGATCGCATGAATTGGTTGGTCAGATTACGATATCAATAAAAGTTTTATACATTTTTGAATACATTAAATTGATTTTCATGAAACCTCATCATTGTTGAACAATAGGTAAGGAAATTGGGATTAAGGTTTTGGTTACAATAAAAATCATATATTTCGACGTTTTTCAAGTTATATCCTTGAGCGTAATGGGAGAATGAAAGATTGAAGTCGATAAATAAGCGAACTGGTCTTAGCCATCAGATTTGATAGTAATATATATTCATTCCTTAAAACATGAAAGAAGGGTGTGCCTGGTGCTGAAGCCGCGAGCGCAAAGCTAGTCTTATTAATGTTTGAACACAATCACCTTACCATAAGATTCAAATAAAGTTTATATTTGTCGTTTTGACACAGCACTCCAAATATTTTTTCTAATGCCGTGTAGATGTGAGCGTAGATGCAATATGGCTCACAAACATCGTTTTCCATGACCTAAAACAAAAAACTGCATTTGTAATTGTAACAGAACTAAGTGGGTAATAACTTAGTTCTGTAAGACTCGGAATAGAACTTAATAGTACTCATAGAATCAATCAATTTTAATAGCTTTGTTTCAATCTAAAAGCCAGTGAAATGTGTGTATAAATGCAAAGACAAAACGTGAAATTAAAGTAAGTTCCGTCTATCTGGCAGAGTCTGGTTGTTCCGAAATTCATTTGGCATGCATAACACATTTGGCAGAATATTCTTTAAACTATTATTTTTAAGGGATATTTTTTGATCCGTTTTTTCCTTGTTTTGTTGTTTCTTAATCTATATAGGTACTTACATATAATAACGACAAACGAAACTGTACATTGAATATTTTTTTAAGAGAATAATTGGGTCGTGATCTGCAATCGATACCGAAGCCAAAAATATAGTTTTTAGAATTTTTGTCTGTTTGTCTGTATGTATGTCCGGGATAAGCTCAAAAAGTACTGCATGGATTAACATAAAATTTTGCACGAATATTATTAAGAAGTCGGGTCAATATATAGGCTACATGTTACCACGATATCACCTGCGGGTAACGAGCAGTGAACAACGATATTAAATACAATGTCATTGCCAGTGAACCTTTATTTCTAACTTCACGCGTACGAAGTCGCGGGCGGTTGCTAGTGCTTATATAATTACATATATCTATTCTGACTGAACTTTCTGTGGTATTATATTACTTTTTGTGAATAAAGCGTTTGATTGTCTGCTAAATGAGAGAATGCCATCCATTGATATTCATAATAAAAGTACATTAAAAGTTCTGCGATACAAGTTAGACCTGAATAAAGTAAGTCGCATTGTAATTAATGTTCTTCTCAGTATACAAGGTCTTCTGCCGTAGATTTGCGAACTGTACCCCTAGCACGAACCATTATCGAATTCGAATAGTTTGCGAGTGCGAAATGTCAATGTCAAATGTATGGAAACTTGAACAGCAGCGCCACAAAGTGCGTAACGAGAACTAAAAATCAGTACATATTTGATCAGACAATGACATTTCGAAATTGCAAACGTCACGAATTCGATATTGAATTTAGTTTTTCCTTTTTTTATGACGGTGAACAAGAGTTGCTTATAAAAAAATTACTATGTGCATCATCCAAGAAATTGTCAAATATTAACTGATATGTTATTTTATTTTTTTGCACATAGTTGATATTGGTTTGACAACGGCGATAGAGTTAAACGGTGCTGATTGGTTGGTTCCAAAGCATGGAGGAGGTCGAGACAATGTTCTTAGTAAACAATCTCCTGAGCGGCCATTGCGAAAGTTGCTTGAATATCAGTCTGCCTAGCATGAGCACCGCGATAATGATATATAGCCTTTTTTATCAGACTCACTTGTTAAATTTCCATAGAGTTTGACGCTTAAACGCGATAAAAAACGTGATATAAGGTAAATTGTGCTACGGGGCCTGGAGTAATGCGCTAATGAGATTGGATGAGCTAAGTCATATTTCCCATAAATCCTTTTCTTTGTAAACAAACTAAATAGCATAATTCCTCTACTAGCTAAAAAGCTAAATCTGTGTATATCTATGAATTTAAAGTTTTAAATTTTAAAGAAATCCAATTTAGTGTTTAAGAATATTGATTGCAAATATATTTGTTATCTTACCGCTATTGTATTTCTCATAGCGCTTAACTTTGCGTCTTTACTAATAATAGTGTCTTGCATATCCTGGATTCTTGGATCCACAGCAGCTGGAACATATACAAGTACTATTATTCAGTATATTATTAAATAAAAAAATGGATGCGTGTAACTTATGTACGCGCGTGAGAAGTTATACTTCTTTAGCATCATTAAAAATATTTTTTAATTGCATGCAAATAATTAATAATTACAATAAAATAATAAAAGGACTGGAACAGGATAGTTAACACAGTCAATTAAGTTCAGTTTTAATTTGAAAAATTAAATAAATATTCAAAATATTCAATTAAAATCACTACTGAATTTAAGTTATTAGTCCATATGTAATTAGCACTTGTAAGAAACTAAAACACGTTGTGTCTATATAGAAACTAGAAACATGTGGATAAATATTATAAATATGAAAACAGTGATCAGAGGCGACGAGCGTGCCAACATTGTTTTTGACAACGCGATCATCTTATGGAGCTCCGTGGATCGTTCAAAGTATCTTTCGAACAGATGTCTAATAATGGTGGATTATTAACATTCATAACGCGCCCGCTTCCAACTTCATGGTGTTACTATTGTGTTACAGTGATGCGCGCGCATCTCGAAATTTCACTCACATGGTTTTTTCATAACGCGCCCGCGGCTAACTTCATTATGTTACTTTTGTGTTACAGTGATGCGCGCGCATCTTAAAATTTCACTCTCATAATTTTTTCATAACGCGGCTAAAGAAGTATAACTTCAAAAACAATTTGAAAATGTTATTGGGAAATATACTTACAGGTGGATACATCGCACGGGCAAGCCAAATCAGTCTGATTACTCTTCGTCTCAGTTTTTGGAGGTTCTTTATCAAACATCCACTAGAAAAAACGTTATTTAAACTTGTATTGTATACATAGTCGTATATGTGAAAAGAAAATAAAATAACGAACTTTTTCTAGACTGCACTTACTTCGTCTCCACGGGACTTGACGCTCTGAAAAGAGAAATTTTATTATAATTTTTATTATTTTTTTTAAAGCATGTAACTGCTTGATGTTTAAATCTAAAGAAAATATAACTAGAAAAAAATCCACGCGGACCAGGCAGCAGACGGGACTCGAACCCGCACCCTTCGCAATCCGGGCGAATGCACTGACCAATTATGCTACCGCGGCCCTCACGGACCGCGTCGAAATTCTCTCTAGCTATTCTTAAGCTGCAAGGCAGCGCCATCTCTTCGCATTATAGGTAAACCCACAATGTCAAATGAATACTTTTACAAGTATTAAACATTTGAAAGAAGAAATAGCAATTATAGTTATAATTTTTATTATTTTTTTTAAAGCATGTAACTGCTTGATGTTTAAATCTAAAGAAAATATAACTAGAAAAAATTCCACGCGGACCAGGCAGCAGACGGGACTCGAACCCGCACCCTTCGCAATCCGGGCGAATGCACTGACCAATTATGCTACCGCGGCCCTCACGGACCGCGTCGAAATTCTCTCTAGCTATTCTTAAGCTGCAAGGCAGCGCCATCTCTTCGCATTATAGGTAAACCCACAATGTCAAATGAATACTTTTACAAGTATTAAACATTTGAAAGAAGAAATAGCAATTATAGTTATAATTTTTATTATTTTTTTTTAAAGCATGTAACTGCTTGATGTTTAAATCTAAAGAAAATATAACTAGAAAAAATTCAAATTGCCTTGCAGCTTAAGAATAGCTAGAGAGAATTTCGACGCGGTCCGTGAGGGCCGCGGTAGCATAATTGGTCAGTGCATTCGCCCGGATTGCGAAGGGTGCGGGTTCGAGTCCCGTCTGCTGCCTGGTCCGCGTGGAATTTTTTCTAGTTATATTTTCTTTAGATTTAAACATCAAGCAGTTACATGCTTTAAAAAAATAATAAAATTATAACTATAATTGCTATTTCTTCTTTCAAATGTTTAATACTTGTAAAAGTATTCATTTGACATTGTGGGTTTACCTATAATGCGAAGAGATGGCGCTGCCTTGCAGCTTAAGAATAGCTAGAGAGAATTTCGACGCGGTCCGTGAGGGCCGCGGTAGCATAATTGGTCAGTGCATTCGCCCGGATTGCGAAGGGTGCGGGTTCGAGTCCCGTCTGCTGCCTGGTCCGCGTGGAATTTTTTCTAGTTATATTTTCTTTAGAGAAATTTTATGTTAAGAGATTACATTGAGTTTTGAGGAATATTTTTTCGTTTCTTTCTCTAATTAGAGCATGATAAGGCTTTTGTTAAATTACTTAAAGGTTTAGAGGATCATGCATGCGAAGTGCTACCGAAACAAAAAACTCATTGTAATAATATTTACCTCACTCCCTCTTGACGTTTCAGCCTGTAAGAAAAAAAATCAGTACTTATAAATTATTTCATGTACATCAGATACGAAATGGATAAACTATAGCGGCTTCAGTAAAAACACTGAATTAATGAATGACTTTTTTTTAAACCATAATATATTAATTATACAAGAATAAACACAGGACACAAACGCTGGCTTCAGAGCAAAGATATTATTATAAACTCGCCATCGTCTTAATTTAGTTGATAGTAAAAGAAAGGACTTTTGCCCATAATATTAAGAACAGAGTATTAGTATGATTGTACTAGGCTAGTTTACTATGGCTTCCGAAAAACGAGTATAGATTAGTCAAGACCTTATAGTATTTGTAAAGATATGGAATTATGAAGAAATAAAGGAATACCCCCAGATAGAAGAAGACTTGACTAAAAAATTGACTAAAGATATTCATGAGGGACAGTTTGATAAAAATAATTTGAGTTGAGATTGTAGAGTTTATGGGTAGGGCATCTTTATTGGTTTCAGGAGTTTTTGGTTCTAATGATCTCACAAAAAGGTTCAAAAATACTATGAAGCAGATTTTTCTGTTCTTTAAAAAAATCTATTTGAATAGAAAAACATTAATTTGTTGAGCACTGTAGTTGTTCTATATTTGCCTGTATCAGTAAGTGTAATCTTATGAGACCACGTCTCGATGCATGTGATGCGGCCCCATAAGATAGTTAAGAAAAAATAGAAAAGAGTAACAAATGAGAAATACTTACCTCGTCACCTCTGTACCGAGAAGGCTGAAAATGAATAAGAATAGTAAGTAAAGATAAGTTTTTTCTGCTTTGTTGAACTAATATGTATTATATCAAATATCAAGTAACCTCGTCTCCTCTCGATTTCCCAGTCTGTAAAAAGGAGAAAATACAATGTTATTATAAATTTCTTTATTGTTTTATGAAAATTGACAATATGGTAATGGTAATTTCACGCGGTCCGCGGCTAGTGTATCCGTCCGGATAGCGGGGCTGCGGGTTCCGTCTGGCTCCTGGACCGTGTGATTTTTTTTTCTATTATTTTAAGCTATTGCATAGCTTTTATCGCGGGCTTTGAGCGCGGCGACCGAATCAAGAAATTCCGTAACGAAAATAAACCTAACACCCCCCCACTCCGACCGGCACAGTGGTGCGGCGTTGAAAGTCGTGCATCGTCTAATGTCGTTTCAGTTCGGCAGACTTCGGCACGGTGTTTGTGTGGGTGCAACTAGACGTATGCGTGTATACTAGAGGCAAACTGCTCATAACTGATTCTATATATTTTAGACAAAATGCTAGGTGGACGCCGAAAAAAAGCACGCTGTCTCGTGCTTTTTGGCGGCGTCCACGAGTGGTACGAGCCCGCGGCTATTTGAACTTTAACGTGCATGTATATGGTACGACTGTACGAAGCTCGCACGGATCGAGACGAGCTGCTCCGAAATCGGACGAATACGTAAGCAGCTGTTGTGTATAGGTATCTATCATCTATGTTTCTTATTTCAGTTACCATAAATCCATAAATCTATAGTTTCAATGATAAAAAAAATCCTGAATAACCTACATGTATTGTAAGATAATAAAAATATTTTAAACAATATTAACTTCTCATTTATTCAATAAAAGAAAAAAAAAGTTTTCTTATCGGTCACCACGCTCAAAAAGTGTAACTTGAATTAATATTAAAGAAAAAACTTGAATTTATATCAAAGAAAAAATTTACTGCATAAATAAAATAAATAAATAATTATAATTGCATAAGTTGATAAAAAATGCTATGCAATAGCTTTACCGCGGCAGTCTCCGATTGCCACACGTATTTTTTTTTTACTTTACCGTTTTTAATCATAGTAGGTATCTACTTATAGATCACAACAATAAGAGTCAAGGTGTAGGGAATTTATAAATAAAGTCTATTGTTGTGTTCATACCTCAAAAGCGTCTGAGTCCATCCCCTGAAAAGAATGACACAATTTATTAAATAGTTAAACTACAGTAGCCCCCGGTAATCTGGACTCCGTCTTATCCGGCGCCCTCGGTAAACCGACACGCTTATCACTGTTGATTTGCACATAAAATCAAATGAGATAGATTTTTAAATTTGTAATTTGTCGGATTACAAGGTACTCCAAAATTCCGGACTGTAGAGGGTGCTCTTAGGCACTACTCTGTAATCCGACATCACCCTGCAAAACGTATGTCGGATTACCGCGGATCTACTGTAATGGATATTATTTTTAATAATAATATTTATGTGCGCATAAATAGCTTATTAAATTTTATTTGACTTGATAAATATTAAACGCCGGTATGGCAGTTGCCCCATCGCAAACAAAGAAGTGACTAACTTGGTATCGCCTATTATCTCGTTTAAGAAACGTTAAATTAGATTATATATTCCGTGTAAAAAGATGCATAATTTTAATAGTTCATCGCAGACTGTTTACAGTTTAACGATAAGTGAAAAATTGGTTCCCGCGATGTCTTTCGCGTGTTACACAAATGTATATTTTTTCTGCAGTTCTCTGTAAGTTACACGTTTTCTAAGGCAAGACTTGAAATTTGCAACTATATTTGTTTCTTAGGTTTTCACGCACATCACTCATTAAATAAAACTAGTTTTTACGGGTTAATGCAAGTAAGAATTAAACTTTTATTTGTTTAATGCAATAAACAAATAAAAGTTTAATTCTGACGACGTAGCCTGTAAAGGCTACGAAACGTCAATAAATAAATAAAGTTTCGTGCATTAACCCGTAAAAACTAGTTTTATTTGCAACTATGTCAACAAACAGGGAAATTTTAGTTGAACTGTATTTAAAAAAGTCAACTGTTACTGATCGATCGATGAATAAGTCGCAGAAAGATAATTAAATCTGTAATAAAGTTATATTCTAGGGACATGGATATAATTATATACCGTTAAATAGAGTAGATCTACAAGTTATACGAAAGCGATTCATGACTATCTTCTAGGAATATAATTACATATAAAATGGTTTAAGTTTAGTGATATAATTATGTTACGTGATTTAGTTAAGAGAAATAGTTCTAGGAATGTACACGACGTGGTTCCCGGTCTTTTCAGAACAAAAAGTCTGAAAACTGTTGATTAGTTTTAAGTATTTTAGAACCACAAAGATTTTTAATTTTTTTTTCGCAAATGTATTGTTAATGCTTAAATACAAAATACGATTGAAATATTTCTTATTAATCATTTTAATTACATTATGATACGCATTATTGCTTAAAAGAATTGTAACTAATTACACGTCACAAAAAGTTGATTTTTCAATAAGAATAAAAACCAATATATTGTTTCATTTGATTCTACGGTATCTTATTACAATTTAACCATATTAGTTTAGTCAGATAATCATATAACTAACTAGCTACCGCAAATATAGTAATGGACCGCCTTCGTATAACTTGTTACGGTATTTATATCCCTAGGGATATAATTATATTACGGATTTAACGACAAATACCCAGCTCAAAACACTGAACGGATTGCGCTGAAATTTGGCACACAAATAGCTTAATATGATGTAGGCGCGCTCTAAGAAAGGATGTTCCGAAACTTCTCCCCCCCCCCCCCCCCCCAAGGTAAAGCCGATTTCAAATATAGGAAACTAATATTTGTTTCTTAGGTTTTCACGCACATCACTCATTAAATAAAACTAGTTTAAACGGGATAATGCACGAAACTTTATTTATTTATTGACGTTTCGTAGCCTTTCCAGGCTTCGTCGTCAGAATAAAACTTTTGTTTAATTTGTCGAGCTACCTTCGAAAGACTTTTATTGAGCGTTTGGTTATTTCATCGTTCGATTTTTAAGTTTTATTGTCTATGTATGAATTTATTATTTAATTTACTTAATAAAGTATTTTATTTAAAATTCTTGTTTGTAATTTTGCGTTTATTTATTTGACCCTAACTACCGTAAACTACCACCGGTTCCAAAATTGGGAGACCTTCCTGAGAAGAACCGGCGAAACAAACTCAAGAGAGGCTTTCTATCTCCTTCTTATGTTAAATTATGCAAACAAAAAGAACTAATAGTATCTGATGGTCTTGCAGTATGTGCTCGGGGTTGGGATTTTATCTCCTGTATAATAGTGGGCTCTCCTACATCGGTCAAACAAAGAGGAGTATAGGGACTCGCGTAAAAGAACATATCGCAGATATGAAACATAGGCGCGAAAATAAATCTGCAGTGTGTGAACAACTTAAAAATCGAACGATGAAATAACCAAACGCTCAATAAAAGTCTTTCGAAGGTAGCTCGACAAATTAAACAAAAGTTTTATTCTGACGACGAAGCCTGGAAAGGCTACGATACGTCAATAAATAAATAAAGTTTCGTGCATTATCCCGTTTAAACTAGTTTTATTTAATAGGAAACTAATATTTCCACGCAGACAAAAATTATTCACAAAGTCCCACCCATTCCCGAATTTCGAACATGTAAGTTGGAACTATAGTATGGATCAGGCCCTAGGGCCTCCACCTTACAAGGGCCAGATCAGGTCCCAGCCTTTGGTCAGGGTCGAGCCATATATTCTTTCAATTCCCAATGTCCTTCACCATCATTTCATTTATTTTTATTTGATTGGTATTAATTTCAATACCTTTATTATATCTATAATCATTTTGTAATTTAATTTAACGATTAAAATAGTTTTTAGCATTTTGGCTATTGACGTTTCTCTTGCTCTTCCCCAGGGTCACCGCTAAGGACGATGTCAATAAATTACATACATACCTTTAATGCTTAATTATTTCTAAAGTTACTAAAAATGGTACACTAAATATTGTGATATATTTAATGTGAAATATCACTCTCACCTCCGTAAAACCCGATAGGTCCAAATCTAGGCACTAGAATAAAACAGTTATTTGTTAGAAAAAATCCACAAAATCACGTCTTATCTCATTACTATGAAGTTCATACCAATTCATCCAACTCTTTGTTAGCTGCTTTTATAGCTGCATGCTGTGGAAAGAGAAAATAGCAAATGATTCCAATGTTAACGTATATTGAAACTGAACCTAAATATAAGGGGAATAATTAGCGAACTAGGGTTTTAGGGTTTCTAAATGCATTAATTTCTACTGAAATACCATTTCCATGTACAAAAACTACGCTGTGATCTACGTTCCCACATAAATAGGGTTTTATTTAAGTAACACTGAAACTAGAACAATTTAGGTGATTTTTACTTTAGCTAGACACAATCTTTTTAGCACATCATATTGGAATCAAATTTTAATCAGATCAGATAGTGTCAACGGATGTGAGTACATATTTTGTTTTTATTTCGTCCCACTTTTGATACTCGTAGTTACCTTCGTAGTTTTATAATTATTCATTCAATTGAGGAAACATTTCTATATTATATTATGCTGTCAAGCGACAGAAATCATTGCGTACACTGCTTCAGTTTTATTGTTATTTGTAACTTATCAATTGCCTATAAAACTAACATTGGTGAGATACTCACAGCGTTGGCGATTTCACATTTCTGTTCGCATGTCAGTTCAAGTTGGTCGTACGTCGCCAACATTTGCTCAAACTCTTGGATCTTGCGCTTTAATCTCGATATTTCTGCGTTCTTTGCCGCCATCAGAGTCTGCACTATGACGTCGGTGGGCAGGTACTTCGGACGGCAGATGTCATTGTTTCTTTTTATGATCTCCACCAAGTGTTCAGTTTTGTCTGAACAGAAGTGGGACCAGGCTCTGGCGTCGGTGCAAGACGCGTAAGCCTTGAGCTTCCCTTCATTCCTCGGTGGCAAATCAAGCAAATCGTATTCATTGAAAACGCGTTCCCTTTTTGTTATGAAAGACATTACGCCAATTGTCTACTTCACTCACTAAAGTAATTTTTTTTAACCTGGTTTGATATTCCCAATTTCTACGTTTCTTCTCCATCCATTTTACGCATAACCATTTGATTTGAAATATTTGATTGCAATAAAATAACTTACGGCAAAATGTAAATAACGAAAGTATCAAATATTTTGTGATGTCAGAAATCCAGGAGGGAAGGTGGTTTGAAATCGAATGTCAGAATTTGAAACCTTATTTTTTTGTAGCTTTTTGATTTTGTAGGTTCGTTTTGGAAAGACGAGATTAACATATTTTCATCTTAATAAACATAAACAAAGAGAGTACATCAATGTAACTAAAGGATATATTTAAAAGTTAATGTCTCTAAACTATAATGTAGCATTTATGTCAAATACAAAAATCTATTAGCACTTAGCTTAGCACAGATTTTGTGTTCAAAATTTAACGTAATACAAATGGATGAACGATCGAAAAACTGTTTCTCACCTGTAAATATTCAATGAGTTTGTTAGGTATATTTATAAGTACAAAGGCGAGACTTTTGCCACGTAACGAGGGTAAGCTGAAGTCGTATGAATCCTGCACAGATCTGAGAGCATGGAGTCTTGACGAGCAAGCACGTTCTAAGCACCTCAAGGAATGGATAAAGCGCGATATGCCAATTTGCATTTTACCAGTTTGCACTTTAGCTAGTTTCTTTAGAGCCATGACGTGCAAGAGCCGCTCGAGGGCAAGTATTGAAATTATGATAATTTATTAATATTGACTAAGTACTGCATATATGTAGCCCACTTTTTATCATAATAAAATTGAATATATTGCAGGCTACTCCTCGATGTCATCCAAACTGCATGTCTAAAGTGTTAATTGATAGTATTTGTTCTTCTTGTCATGCTATCAACGATTGTCTCAAATGTGATCCAAATTTTGATAAGTATTTTGCTGAGGTAAGGTAACAATCATGATTAAAAGTGAATATTAACTTATGTATATACATTCTATATCAAATAATCGATATTTTTCAGCAAGAACTTGAAACTTGCCACTGGCCGTGTGATAAATGTCTAGACATCTTAAAAAGCATCAAAATGTTTTGGAAAATCTTGATTGAGAAAGTATTTGGCATTAATATTTCCAAAAACGATGAATTTGAGTCCATTCAAAGTGACAACACTAGAAGCGTGAAATCAGTTGCCAAATTATGGGAAAGAGAAATTGTTCAACAGGCTTTGTTTGTGAAAAGTATTACTCCTTTGATGGGTAAAAACTTAAATAGGAGTAATAGCAGTTTTTGGAAACAAACTCCATTAATAAAAGAGAACACAACTCGTATTCCTAGACCAACTAGAACGACATTGAAGGAACCTTTAAATCAAGTTAAAAGTCCTACTCATTCTTTCATGTCTCAAAGATCTAAACTGAGCGATGCTGGTAAATCCGGAAGTAGTTTCTCTAAAAACTGTCGAAGGCCATCTCGTAAGATACATCGGTGTATATCAGTCAGAGTAAAAACAGCTGATGCAGCTTGCAATTGCGATTTGGACAAGAACAATGATGATGTTTTATCTTACAAACTGAATGTTGCATGCTTACAACAAAAATGCGATATACAAGAGAGTGAGATCGAAAAATTAAAAAGAGAGAATACCTCTTTAAAGTTAGAACTACAAAATTTTTATAAGACTACTTTTAATTTACCCAAGAGAAATGCTTTTGTGGATGCTTTATCTTATTGCGATTTATCTGCTATGGTCCCTAAACCCTTTGAGAGTTGCATCAAAGATGATACAAAAGGAAACGATTTTACCAATACCGATTCGGAAATGTTTATAACAATGAAAAATTGTAAAAACGAGGTAATTATATTCTTTGAACATTTTATTTAATTCTATATATGTATATAATGTAAATACATAATGTATTAACAACTTAAAAACTAACTGTATTAGCTAAGTTTCATGATATTACAGAATTTCAACCACGTGTCTTTTCTACAAATCTTGCACAAAACTAATGAACCATTGGATAAGGATGAACTTAAATTTTCCGGTTCTAAGAAAGAGAATCCAATAGCGTTACTAACAAAAGGTAATAAATTATTGCTCGTAGTCCCCCAAAGTATTTTTTTAACTCAAATTTTTTAACAATAATTTTAATTTAAAGCAGCTACCAATAAATACTGATGAGTTGGATAGAGTGTGGTTGTTGACAGATGGGGTATTAGAAAGAGTTAAGCCCTGCAATTCTATAAGAATAAACTCACTTTTCACCGCAAAACCTGCCTTGGGATTCGAAATTTCTATTCTAATATCAAATTATACGCGGATTCCGCGGTGAAAAGTGAGTTTGTTCTTACTGAATAGCACGATAGTACAAAATTTTCGTCATGTTTCGCAAATTTTCGTTACAAATGTTGTGTGGTTTTGTCATATTTAAATATTTCATCTTTAAATTGCTTTTCAGTTCGTAATACTTTCGGAGAAATAGTGAAGCGGGAAATTAAAATAGTGGCAAATAAACACCATGACGTAGATCATGATATTGAAGCTACCTTTTGCAGACTCAACAGTAGCACGTCTGCTCCATCTTGTTCTACATTCTACACTAATACGGATAGTAGCAAATCTAATATTGCGAATCTTTAAAGGATTGAAGTTTATTTGTTTGTAATGAAAAGTAAATAAGTGACAACAATTTTTGTAGTTTATAGTATTGTTCATTGTAATTAACACTATTTATTAAACATATTATATATATACATATTATTCTTAACTATGACTGTTTATTGAATTGCGCCATAATATTCACCACGCGGTTGTACAAAAGTTTCTTTACGTCAATAGCGAAAACAAAATCTACATGATTAAACTTGGCCATAGGTACTCTGTGTTTACCGATGACAGTCTTGATTTCTTTAGACAATCTGTCAACATCTTCTGGTGTCGCCAACCAATCGTTGTCGGAGTAGTGCAGGAATATCGGCGTACGGATCGCAGTCAAATTGTAAGTTGGAGGCTTGAATGTCCCATAAGTCATTTTGTTTTTCATCAATCCGTAATCGAATTGCCTGAATTTGTGTCCATTGTAAATTTGACCGAAGTGAACGATTTGTTTGGTGGATGCTCCAGCAGGGGTGTGACCCACTATAACGGGAACCATCGTCTGGAAGTATAAGGAAAATTAAACTTGTTTGGGTGTTAGTTTTTTTAAACAATGTTTTTTATCTATGTTACGAGTGTGGAGTGTTGGTGTTTTGAATGAGTTAAGAAGGAAACAATATTAAATATGTGGTTAAAGAAAAACTAACTCAAACAAATCAACTCTGCCCAAATGCATAAAACGACGCTTTTTTTTAATTGAATATTATTAAACTTACTGAATTGAGCTGCTCGCTGTTGTAACCACATAACAGGAACAAAAGATTAGTGCAAAGAGCTTGCGTAATAGCTTCTTCAACGCAATAGGATTGCCCTGCCATCTCATTTATTTTGCCATTAGTAAGAAACTCGTTCCTACCCAAGATCTTAAAAACTACCTGTAAAAAATCATCGAAAATTTACCAGCAGCAGTGTTATTCTGTAAGAAAACACTCACATTTTCACCTCAGAATCGCGGTGTGAATTAAAATTAGAATACTTAATTCGAATAAATTCAAATCACACCGGCGAATTCGGCGGTGAAAAGTTAGTTTATTTTTACAGAATAGCACTGCTAATACAGAAGGAACGCTAGTTTGCAAAAAAAAGTTAGATGTTTATTAGTTATGGTTTTATTTATTTTTTAAGCAATTAACTGCTAGATGTTTAAATCAGGCACCCGACCAGGCAGCAGACGGGACTCGAACCCGCACCCTTCGCAATCCGGGCGAATGCACTGACCAATTATGCTACCGCGGCCCTGATGGCCGTATCAAAATTTTCATATCCTTATGCTACTTCCGTCTTACTGTGGCTACAATTCCAACGCGTACAAAGAAATTTAGGGACTCATTTCTTTGTCGCACTATCCGTAAATGGAATGCTCTGCCCGCTCACCCTCTTACAACCTGGGATCCTTTAAAAGAGGCGTGAAGAAGCAACATGCAGGCCGACAGGGTGAGGATGGCTGGTGTGGCAGGTAGAACTGCTCTATCAGCTATCTTCGCGTCTGGACTTCACCTTCACTTAACATCAGGTGGGGTGGAGTCTTTTGTCGGACCTATCTATAAAAACAAAAAAAAGCTGCAAATCTCTTCGCATTGTAGGTAACCCACAATGTCAAATGAATACTTTTTCAAGTGTTAAACATTTGAAAGAAGAAATAGCATTTTTATAGTTATGTTTTTATTTATTTTTGAAGAATTTAACTGCTAGGTGTTTGTGTTGTGTTAAAGAAAAGTTTTAATAGAAAAAAATCCACGTGGACCAGGCAGCAGATGGGACTCGAATCCGCACCCTTCGCAATCCGGGCGAATGCACTGACGAATTATGCTACCGCTGATGTTTATAGATGTTTATTTATCAAAGTATAAAGTTATTTGAAGATAATACATTTTCTTAACCATAAATCGAATCGATATGATTGAGAATAAATTTTAACTACCTTATCACTTGTCAGTAACAAAACAATAATATTAAAGTAAATAACGGCTACTGTCTATGAAGTTTACACATCAATTTGGCCTCAAATTAACTGATAGCATTGTTTAATTAAAGATAACTTACTTCCAACGAGTTTGTGAATGGGGCAATGGCCTTCACAAGAGGACTTCTAACTTTTGATAAGAAGGCGACAGGGGCGAGTGCTTGCATAGCCACGATTTTTTCATTGTATTCTGGTCTGGTTGAAGTCATGACCCAAAAAGCAGTGGTCCCTTGAGAGAATCCAATGAAGTGGATTTTTGGGACACCGGTTTCTTTGATGATGTAGTCGATCATGGCAGGTAAGTCGTAGTATCCGATCTCGTGCCAGCTGAATTTCCAGAAGGAGGAAGAGGACGGGTGCAGGAATACATGACTCCGGGAGTAGGTGTTGCCACGTGCGTTGCCCATCCAAACATCGTAGCCGGCCTCGGAGAGAATGTAAGCTGTATAGGGGTAAATCTTAAAATAAGTTCAGGCGGAACTTTAGTATTTCTGCAGTATCATCATCACCAGCCTATTACTGTCCCCACTTCTGGGGCACAAACCTATGGATGGAGTAGGGAGAACATTGCCAAATTCTTTGAAATTTGGGAAAGCAATGCCATGTAGCACAAATAATGGAATAAAAACATATTGCGACCGGAAGTGATAATCTTAGCTTTTTTTTAAAGAAAATTACACGACAAAATTTCAGTGATTCGCGACTCTATAACAATAGATTGTAAATTTTAACCTCCTATTATAAAACGTTTACTAAAAATAAATGAAACACGATCAATCGGGTTCAAAATGCGTCTTTTTATTACTTTTTTAATATTAATAGGCTGATATGATATAAAAGCTATTTCATTCAGCACATACACCGTGATTTTGAATTACCTAAGAAACTTTACTAGCTAATTCAGACACCGATTTAGGATATATTTCCGCAAAAAAAAATCTTAACTTTTTTCGTAAAATATCTCCCCGTTAACCCGCTCTTTGTGGAATGATGAAACCTAAACAATTTTAATTGTCATAAATAGATTCAAATTAATCTACTTTTAGGGATGGGGATAGTTGAGTGGGGATGTATGAAGGTTCATCCCCACTCTTACACCCTAGATTGTCCCTGCGGCAGGCATGTCAGTAGGCGCTTTTATGGATACCCTACAGCCGCAGAGTTATGTCAGACTCTTACTGACTATAACACACCCGCGGGGGCCATAACGGGAACGCTTATGGCCATAAGAGCCATACAGGCTTCATCCCCTGAGAAGGGGATGATGCAGAGATTAATAATGTTCATAGGATTTTGCTATGGGATTGAGGATTAATAGTTTGTTTCCAAAAAGAAGATATATTTCCGCAAAAAAAAATCTTTACCTTTTTCCTAAAATATCTCCCCGTTAACCCGCTCTTTGTGGAATGATGAAACCTAAACAATTTTAATTGTCATAAATAGATTCAAATTAATCTACTTTTGGGATTCACCGATTTGCCGTACTAAAACGGATTATAATAGGTATTTAGGTAAATTTGATCCGTTTTAGGATATTTTACAAACGATATAGGTAAATCAATATTATTGTATGGGGGGTGTAGTACGATTACTCTATAACTGTTTGCTCTATTTTTATTTTCACGATTTTTACATTCCCGGTGTATAAAGAAAGTTTTTACCAAATCCTTTCTCAGGACCCATCATGACCCACTCGGCGGACGACGATAGTAGGCCATGCATCAGGAACACCACCGGCCTCCGACCCTCGTGGGTGTTCACAACGCTGTGTGGTATCCTGTGCATCTCTAGGATGTAGTTATCATCGGAGAAGGTTCTGTGTATCTCACTTGGATATCCGTGTTTTTTGATTATAGAAAACTGGAATAGAGCAACGGATATCAAAATTCATTTGCCACTTTTTGGAGATAGGTAATATATTTAGCTATTCCGTTTACGAACATTACGAACACAGAAAAAAAACTTTACCAACTACTGATTGAGGTTAAATGCAAGCAATATTTTTACTTTCTTCAGTGATCTTAGGCAATTTTTACTACGTGGGAATTTCATGTGATATGAGAAAAATATCCAAGGTCTTGTAACATTAACTCAAAGCCAGGAAAGATATAGGTACTGAACATACTAGTGGAATTTTAGATTTCATTTTAATATCCATAATAAGCTCCTTTTTACGAATTAAACAATAATTGCGTGAAAACGATTACATGTTTCCGGTTTGGAATAGGTAGCGGTTTTTTTCGTAACAGTATACTTACAGTGTCCAATCTTGCATCTTCAAGAATGCTCTCGTCCGTGTATGTGTTAGGCTCTGAAGCTCGGACACCATATAATAGACTTAATAATAAGAGCACAAATTGGCTTTGTGATAAATTTTTCATTTTTCCTATTTTTAAGTCTGTGGAGCCAGCAACGTCTGGGATGGATGGGCAGTTGACTGAATTTTGAAAACAACAGTATCATTAAGTAGATTCTTATCTGATAATGATTATTGTTTCAAACAATACTAATTGTTAGATATAGATTTACATAATGCGCTACTTTTGTTTTCTACTAGGTATGTAGTAGAACTACCCCGATCCCGACTTTATGTGGTATGCATTGCAAACCAATTACAAATCATATTAAAGAAAAAGTGTTTGAAGTTTTGGGTTAATTTGGGAAACAACCAAACAATATTCACCGCAATCAGGTGCTTGTTGATAGGATGAATCGGTAATGGTTTTTTTTGTTTCCTCCCAGTCGGGGAAGCGGGTGTGAAATCCTTATGGATACCCTACAGCCGTAGGGTTATGTCAGACTCGTACTGACTAAAACACATCCGTGGGGGAACGCTTATGGCCATAAGAGCCTTACAGGCTTCATCCCCTGAGAAGGGGATGTTGCAGAGACGAATAATGTTCATAGGATTTTGCTATGAGATTGAGGATTAATAGTTTATTTCCAAAAAGGAAAGAGGATTTATGGAGGGAGGAGGACCATCTATGGTCATAAGTATAAAAAAGTCAAAAGTCAAAATATCTTTATTCAAATTGGATATGGATGGAATAGAAATAAATATTAATACCTACATATACATACATACCTAGATTTTATTTATAATTAGTAACGAGTTACCTTCATAAGTTACTTTTTCACAAATATAAAGAACAAAGCAGTAAATGCGACTGGAAATGTCAATTTAACTTTAAAATTTGTATTTTGGGTTTATGTAAAGAGTAATGTATGATCATAAACCTTAACTATTTTGTAAAAAAGTTTTAAAATCCAGAGCAACATCAGCAACTTAAAACTTAGTATACGTAGGTACATAGGTCTGGCCACTTTATTTTTTTATTTTAAACAACCAAACAGAATATTTATGGTATATGTGGGTATATACTGTTATTTATCGGAAAGCTCCACTGTTTACCTCTGAAATTACATATTACATTTTCATTTTACCTTGACTAAGGCCTTGCCAAGGCAGAAAATTCCTAAAGTCACTATCTAAGTATAATCATTCTGTATATAATCTAGATAAGAAGTAAGAGTTTGAACGATTTGAATTAATAGATAATACTAATAGGTCAAGTACATCCGACTGTGGTAATAATACCAAGTCTTTACCAGCTATGCAATTGGCGTTCTATCGTACTGGTTATTTCAAGTCAATTTTTTTTTCGCTTAAGATTCTAAGTTCAATTTATTTTTATTTTCAAAATATGGCATTCTTTATTGAAAATTGGTCATTTGTTTAATGGTTAGCGTTGAGTTTTCAGTGCATTTGTACGTTTTTAACATCATGGATATAATCATGGATACATAATTTTTTTAAAAATTCAAGTGAGGAGTATGACTACCGTCGTGGCAGCAAAGCGGCAGAAGCCGCACGCAACATCAACGACGTATGCAGAGCGAATACTACTAACGATCGCACCACCCGTATATGGTTTGCCCGCTTCCGTTCTGGAAATTTCGACCCAAGGAAGGAAACCCGTGGTTGACCGAAAACTTTAGTCGACAGTGACGTATTTAAGGCGATTGTGGAAGCTAATGATTCTCTTCTTATGATTTAGCCGTTAAAGTCACCAACGACAATCTTGACATCGTACTGAAGGATTTGTTCGATCTTTGGTTTCTTCATCGGTAATCTCTGTTGGATCATAGGCATTTACTATCGTGATGTTCTTCAACCTCATTTTGACTCGTAGGATATTTATTCTATCAGTGATAACCTCGAACCTAAGGATATTTCTTGACATCGTACTGAAGGATTTGTTCGATCTTTGGTTTCTTCGTCGGTAATCTCTGTTGGATCATAGGCATTTACTATCGTGATGTTCTTCAACCTCATTTTGACTCGTAGGATATTTATTCTATCAGTGATAACCTTGAACCTAAGGATCCTGTTTCTTTAGTATTCAGCCGCTGTCATCACCACCATAGAAAAGTACCACGCCGCCTTCCCGTTCACATTCTCCTTTGCCAGAATGGTCCGATGAAAGAAGATGAGGTCCGATGACCGGACCTCTTGGAGTGCTGCAATTTCAACTTCATGGCGTTGCAACTATTGATGATTTCCTTCTTTCCTTGCCTATTGTTGTCGTTGAGATCGGATCGTATTCTTCTATGTGGCGGTTTCGTAATTTTGATTTTTTACGTGGGTAGAGTGTTAGCATACAGCACAACTCCCAAAATGCTGGAGGACCACACCCATCGTTGGTCAGCGAGTCCATTGGACTTAGCCGGTCGTAAAGCTGGTCTGTACTACCGACCTTCCCCTCCATTCGGCACCTTGGGGATGCTCCCCTACGCGCCGTGAGGGCCAGCGCGGGACTTTATAAAATAATGAATAAATGTTATATAATTTGATCAAATGGGCCCTCAAGAAACTGTTCTCCCTCCTATTTCCTTTATTTCCATAGTAATGGGACCACGAGAAACAGTTCTCCCTGGTGGTCCCATTAATGGGACAAAATCCTGGGACCACCATAAAACAGGATACAAAAGGATTATATTTTCCCATTTTTGCAACATATATCAATGATATATATGTTGCAAAAACTTAGAATAATAACGCATTGATGCTACGCTCCTACTTGTCACAGCGTCATGTTAAATAGGTAGTCTAATTTAAACCTTTCTTGGTAATCAAATCAAAAACCATTTTGAGTGAGATTAACTCGTTCGACCAAACATATTATCCACCTTTTTAATATTAGTAAAAATAAAATAACTTCCGCCCGCGACTTCGTCCGCGTTAACTTTAGTTTTTTGAGAATCCCAGGGGAACATAACATTTTCTGGAATAAATATCCTATGTCTCTATCCAGATCATTTAAATATAACAAACTAGGGTAGCGGCTCGCCCCGGCTTCGCACAGGTAAGCTGGATGACTTTCCATTTAATAGGAGTAGGCGAATTTCATAACTATGAAGGACATCCCCTAGGGATTAAAATGAGTGATTTGAATTGAAATCAGAAACGACACACAGAAAAAGCACAATGAAAAGCAGATTCAGTGGCAACCGGCGACGGTATTTGTTGCTTTGGCAAGAATCACATTTTATTTAGATGGTGCTGTTCAGGTTAAAATATTAATTTATGTGACTCGACTGTCATATAACAAAGGTTATTAGTATTAAACACGAGTGTCTGTTTATCGATACGAGGCGAGGGGAGCGATTAGCACCGGAGGAGGTTATCGCCCTCAGGAGGCGGCTGGAGGAACTCGTCCTGGAAGAGTGGACTGAGCAGCTCGGGACGCAGCAATATGGGACCAGGACCCCAGGGTCCTCGCCTCCAGAGGCGCTGCGACCAGTGCTCGACCAATGGAGGGAGAGGAGGCATGGGTCGCTGACCTTCCGTCTGGTGCAGATGCTGTCAGGGCATGGATGCTTTGGCAGCTACCTCCATCGTATATGGAGAGAAGCGACCCATTGTGGCGCTGTCGGGGACACAGCGCAGCACACCCTTGAGGAGTGCCCATCGCGGTCCCGGCAGCGCCATGATATGGTCATGGCAATAGGACGGGATCTCTCGCTTCCCAGCGTCGTTAGAGCGATGCTGGACAGCGACAGATCCTGGACTGCGGTAGTCTCCTTCTGTGAGGAAGTCATCCTCCAGAAAGAGACAGCGGAGAGGGCACGTGAGGAGGACGCCCGGGCCGGCCCTCTCCGACGTCGACGGCCGGGTGGTAGGAGGCGGCGGTACGACCGCCTCATTCCACCCTAGTGAGGCTAGTGGACGGCGGACAGGGTGGTCCGTCGTCCGCATTGTACAGTCTCACCCGTCGAGGGGGGATGCCTAGGTGCTTCCGGGCATCCCCCTGATCGCCAGGAGGAGGAGGAACCGCTGCCGGGGGGGGGGGGAGGGATTACCAGGATCCCACGAAACCCGTTCCGGCAGGCGAGGAAGCACTGTTGGGTTTTTAGTGGGTAGCCTCCCTCCCCCCCCCCCTCGTCCCGAGCAGCCGCTGAGCCAGTTTGGCTGAGCGGGTGGGCGGGATTTGAGGGGAGGAGGAGTCCCACATAACTTCTCACCTAGGAGCCGGGTATGCCACAAGCATTTTCCCAACAATAAAAAAAAAAGGTTGTCTCGAGTATTTTAATACCCAAATATATACAGTTGCATACCTTTCTTAATCTTCAGTCATAGAAACAACTGAAATTATACAAAGTAGCTTACTTACTACTAAAGAAATATATTGCAAAACTTCTAAAATTCCGAAATCCCGAATTTAATTCTATTATTTTGTCAAACGATTTAGAATTAAATACACTATATACACCATAGGTGTCGATTCTGGCAGTATTCTCTAAACTTAAAACTGAATTTAACAATAGTTTGTCCTCTTCATTCTGTATAGAGAATGACAGGGATACACTGTTGTCAAATTTAAGTTTAGCTTTAGAGAATCATGCATGCCAGAAATCGACATATAAGATATCTCATTTTGGAGCCTGCGACAGACTTACTACCACCCTCCATACTTTGAACCACAGAACACAGAAAGAGGTTTGAACCGTCTCCTTTAAACAAGCCGACAAGTGGACATTCATTTTTTTAATACGATAGAAACATTAATCAAGCGTCATCTATTTTGTGAACTGGTAACATTGTATTGTTTTCTGTCAAAGCTCGCGAATTCATTGATTTTATTTATTTTTTGTTTTACTTTACCTAAATGAAAGTTTTACGACTGTGTTTATAGCTTATTATTATGGCCAATCAAGAGATAAGTCTGAAATGGAATGGGTACCAGAATAATATTTTAACAAACGTTAAAGAGCTGTTTAAAGACGAGGGCTTATCTGATGTTACATTAGTTTCGGAAGGACAGAGTTTTAAAGCTCACAAAGTGATTCTTTCTGCCAATAGTGCCGTTTTCAGAAACATATTTCAGGTAAGAACATATATTTCTATTTAAATTTATTTTCGAGAACGCTGTTACCGCCTGAGCTTTACCAAACACCTACGCATTTTTTGCAGCAAAACCCCCACAGGGATCCAATTATAGTGCTCCATGACATCAATACTGCCTCTCTACGGACTTTGTTGACTTTCATGTACAATGGTGAAGTAAATGTAACTGAAGAATTCTTGCCTGTTCTATTAAAAACTGCTGAAACTTTGAGGATTTGTGGATTGTCAACAGGCAATGATTCCAGTAAAGAGGATGAGGTAAATTATCATAAATTTCAATTAAATTTAATGATTCCAATATAGTAAAGCATATTTTGGAAGCTAATTAAAATCTTTATTACAATATAACATTCTATACATAAAAATTAAGCATTCACTATGTTTTGATTTAAAAGGCTGTTTTAGAATAATGTTTTTTTTTAATAACTAGTGCTTGATTAACCTCGGCATGTGACATAATAATTTTCAGAAAACTACATCAACAACAACACAGCCCAAAAAACGAAAGAAAAGTGAGCATGAAGACAATAACAATAAATGTAAAAGACTTTCAACCATCGCTCCCAAAAATGACATAGTAGTTAATTCAAGTATACCACCTGAACCTACCAAGGCTATTGTGAGTATACTACTTGAAATATGATTGAAACCAGGGGGGTATTACGAAAACTTGTGTCTAGGCCATTCATAATATGCACCACCCTCGCCCCCTTGAATTAGTGTCAAATCAAAATATGGCTCAGTAACAAAGACCTCTATATGGCTTCTGTCACCCTCTCTGCCTACTATAGCCCTCTTTCCCCCTAGAGAAATACTCCCTTGATTGAAGCTGTAGAAAGTCTGAAAAAAATTATCCTCCTGGGAACATGATCTCTTTAAAGTGGGTAACATTATCAAGAGACTAGTCGCTCTTTGTTATCCGTCTGTGGCAAAAGTAAAGGTTGTGATTAATGATTTCTTTGTTCATACACTGTGAATTTTGAGTTACCTAAGTAACTTAAAAATAAGGTAAATAATAATAGTACAAACAGTTATAAACAGTAAACCTACTATACTCCCACTAAATAAATATTGATTTATATTGTTTATAAAATATCCTAAAACAGTTCACATTTGTAAATAATGCTTATTGTGGAATTACTACCTATTTAAAGTACTTAGATTCTTAAAGAAGATTTATTTGTATCAATTTTTAACAGTTAAAATTGTTAAGGTCGCATAATTGTGATGTGATGTATTGATTGTATTCTTCAATAAGCCTTGTCTAGATTCCACATGGGATATCAGAAAGTATTTTTATAAAATGGCTGCTGATTGGTTTTTGCTAAGCTATTTCTATAGGATGCCAGCATCAGTAGGTATAGTATAGTTGTAAAGCAAACACTGGCAATAAGTTTACCTAACCAAAAGAAAAGTCTCCTAGTTAAATAATTTTATTTAGAGATTTAACCTTTACCCTAAGCACTAACTTTCCTATTGCCAACATCAAAGTTTCTATTTATACATATAATTATAGAAATACTTTTTTTCTCGCTAGTTGTTCGTGCTTGGGGTACTGATTATGTGTTGATTTTGTTAACCTAAAACTAAATTGGATAGCAGCTTATCCTAAATTATGCTCTATAGAGAATTAAAAGGAGAGACTGCTGTAAGATTCATTCTTAAGTTTAGAAATCAGGCATTTTTAGTTTATAAACTTAAAGATGAAATAGGAAATTTTTGTGATTAACATTCAAAAGCAATTATTATATTTCAGAGCATTGTTCCTAAAGTGGAACCTATAGATTCACCACTAACAGATTATTCTGGAGAAAACACAAATGACACAGATATAGCTTTATTGGAAGATGCCTTAGAAAAGAAATATAGAATAAGTCCTGAGAGTCTCACTGGCAAATCTCCAAGTAATGTGATTTCTGGTGATGGTTGTACCAAAAAGTGGATTAATGAAGTGAGCAGTACTCAACCATGCTTGAATGCGATGAACGAAAAAATTTGTGGTATAGATGCAGTTGAAGAAGACAAGGATAGTGTAGAGATTGATAAGGAAGTCGAAACTGTTCTGCAAAGTGGTACCATTGTTGAGTCATTAAGCATAACCACTGAGAATTTAAACTCTGTGTCTAGTGAAGCTCAGATTTGTAAAGGTAAAGTAAATATGATTAGATTTTTTTTTTGTGTTAAAGAAGTGGCAAACAATCGTATGGCACACTTGATTGTTGCCTATCCTGATCCAATTCCCTACACTGGAAACTTTCCAGGGCTCCACGAGGCTCTGCTCAGGGCAGAAACACAGCACCACAAAAAGGTAGTGTTATTTTTCTGTGATCTTTTATAAGGATAATCCACTTTGCCCTACCTCTCTTGAAGTTGCTTTTCTATTGCTACAACTCCAAACATGAATCACTTGATCTTTAATTGCCAAAAATTTATTTGATATTCAAAATATGAGTAAAGTTTTGTAAGTTGTTTTTAAGAGCAGACAGTAAAGATTACTAGGGTATAGGTCAGTTTTAAACTAATAAAAAAATGGTTGATTTGAAAATATTATGGGTGTATTCCGAATCAAACACCAGTACGCTGGCCATTTGTAATGACGTCATGATTTCGACGCCATATTGACAACACTACTACTACACCAGTGCAATATGGCGTCGAAATCATGACGTCATTACCGCTGGCCAGCGTACTGGTTTATATTTCGGAATACACCTTATATGTTCTCTAAATATTAATGTACGTAATTGTCTTTAAATTGTATGTTTAGGTATGTGTTTTTACCGTAGGAGGTTTGGTAGGGCATAGCAGATTTTCCCTTCGAATTGGAGCGCCTGTCCGGTTAAGTAACCTCCAACTTACAGAAAAGTATGGTCAAATAACATTATCTTTTTGATGGTGTTGTGTTTTTGTCGGTGGGTAAGGTTCCAGGGCTCCATGGGGTAGGGGATTGGGCCAGAGTCTCTAGGCTATGGTGGCTGCTTACCATCAGACAGGCCATACACTTGTTTGCCACACCCTTAACAGAAAAAAAGATATATATATTAATAGTGAAGTAATTACAAGTTCCATTCACTCTACAATCTTAAAGAGTCAGAAGCCATGCTACATATCTCTTTAAAAAAAATCATATTCTTTCAATTTAATTTTTCACTTTATAGTTTTGTCCCAAATTGGTGTACTTCTATTTATTTTATCCTTAAGAGACGTATTTTTATATATATTTCAGATAAAAATAACACATGCTACGCAAACCCTTCGTTCCCGTGTCCATTCTGTCCACGTATTTACAATAGCTGGGGATATAGACGGAGACATGTGAAGTCAAGACATACAACAAACAGGTAAGTGATGTTTGAGAAATTATCGGAATGTGTGGTTAGTGTGATTTGGAACATTGGCTTTAATTGCATAACTGACAAGTTAGGTTAAATGATCATCATTTCGTAATGTGTGGATGGTACTATGAGTATATCGTCACTTCCATAGTAAACTTACGAATTTGAATTTCATAAAACCTACTATGCCAAAATATCGTATATTAATTTGGTAATTTTACTTTGGGCGTATAAACATAAAATTCAGATTCAAACAATCAGAATTTTGGAACCGTCATTGATAAAATTGTGTGACTTTTCCCTGATGTTAAGTACTCCATTATGTGCAGTTTTTTACTAAAAAAGCAGATTCGTAAGTTTGCCGTAGATGTGACGATATGATTTCAATGCGTTTCATCGCAATTGTACCTGTCCCTGTAGCATGACCATCACAATCATCACCGTCCGGCGTGTGGTCGCCATTCCACAACCTGGCCGCCTCAACGGCCATCGGTTCTTCTTGCTACGTGTCCCGCCCACTGCCACTTCAGCAATTCTGCTGCCCTTCTTCCCTTAAAATTGGGTAGTTTAAATCCCGCATTACATTGTAAGCGAATGCAGTTGTGTTCGCTACGTTATTGAGACACTTTAAGGGTCTCACAGACAGAGGTTGCCTTTGGCCGTGGCCAGTAATTATTGGTCGATCGTGTTTGAACACTCGCCGCGTCTTCACTTTGATCATCTAACACGTTCCCGATAAGAACACGGCTTAACCTCCCACACTTCGCCAACTTAGACGATTTCAATTTTAAACAAATAAATGCAAAAATTCCAACACTCACACCAATTAGCCTAGTCTCAAGGTAAGCACTGTAAGGCTTGTGTTATGGGATGCTAGGGTAACGGATAGAATACATATACTGTACATATATAAGTATATTTATAAAGAAATACATATTAAACATCCATGACCGGAGTACAAATGTTCGTATTCATCACATAAATATCTGCCCCCGCCGGGATTCGAACCCGGGATCTCGAATTGGCGATACCATGAAACCCGGCGTACAATCCACTCCACCACGGAGGTCGTCACAAAAAATTAGCAATGCGGACTCTAGTGGGTGTGCTTTTGGGTAATCGTACTCAAACGTCGTTATTTCCAGGTTGTCTTGCAAATGGTGTGTGACGGTGTTGCCATCAACCGGCGCCTGGTATTCTCACGCGACTCGAGCTCACGGTGTTCCCCACGAAGAAGCTAGGAATTCTCTAGTAGTGATGGTGGAAGCTCACGCCGTATTGACTCTAAATGAACCCAGCGTAGCCCAACTGCTGGGCCAGGTCGGTATGACAGACGGAAATAATACCAATGCCGAGAAAAAAGAGAATTGATTGATAACTGTTTCCTGCTGGCGGTGAAAACTTCCAATTTTGAAAAGTGTCCAAAAGTAAGTTATTAAAGTATTTTTTTTTACAATTTGTACTTGTCCTTTTATCTGGTGTTTAAAGAAAGAGTGAGTAAGAGCTGCTGCTCGCACGGGCGTTTTTTTTTGTAAAGACCTAAAATGTTTTTTTAAAGTGGCGATTTTGGTATTGGGCACAGTTGTATTATAAGCTCTATGTGTTGGGCGTAGAGTAGAAATCACAAAATGAGAACGTTGTAAAAGCGCTAAATTCGGAATTCTAAAGCTTGTACAAAAAACGCACGTGCGAATAAGGGCTCAACAAGCTAGTTTTTAAATGGATTGTGTCTATGGAAATTTAAACTGAATGTTTGTGGTTAATTGGATTAACACAATAAATGATAGCGTGATCCAATTGGAAATTGGATGATATATTTTGTTTTCATATGGGTGTGATGAATGATTTGTCGAGTGGCAATGTATACGTAACTCAATATAAGAGGGATTACTATTTCCTATTATGAATTTATATAGTTGAGGGATATTCCTAAAAATATCAATCAACATAGGAACTTACATAAAATTAATTTTGAGATGAATGACACGAGCTCTTCTGTATTATTTAAATCAACTGAACATTTAAAGATTTCATTTCATTAATTTAAGTACATTCTAGAACACATTAAGTCGAACCACGATAACTTTGCATAGTCATTAATCTGGTCACACCAAAAAACTTGATCTGGCAGCCCTTTTAGGATGTTATTCATAAATGTCAAAAATGTTATGTCATGAGTGAATCTTTCGTTCGAAGAACATTTTTTACAAGAATTAACAATTTTCGAGCACGAATCATCAATGTAACACATATTTAAGTCTCCTTTTTAAGTCGATTAAAAATAAAGTATCAGGTCAATCTAACTATAGTCAGTACTGCCATGTGCAAAGTTAGAATTTTTGCTATTGTCAGTCCAGAGTTATTGTGGTTCGTCATAAGTTACATACCACACAAATACTTATTTCAAAGTTTTCATTAAACTACATTATAAGCAATAACCACATATACAGCCAGTGCAACGGTAGTAAGTAGTTTTAAGTTTTATCACAAAGTTTTTTGCCAGTTTTATCCATTTTTGCATTAATGAAGGTCAGTATAATTCACTTGTTTTGTATTCGCACCTAATATTATTTATTTATAATGATGGTAAAGAATGTGTAAGGTTTATCTTATATATTGGCATTATTGAACAGCCTTTTATGAAAAGCTGTTTGAAATAGTTTGACATATCATCTATGCCAACAACAATAATGGTGAACATAGTCATGTAAAGTTTAATGCTAACACTTGGCATGGCTATTCGTATATGTAATTTGTCAGCATTATATCCTTGTCCTGCTCTATAAGGAACGAAAAGGAGAGACGGTTGTCAAATTAACAAGTAGCTTAAAGGAATATCCATCTACACTCCCAGTTTAGGAATGAATGACATCGGAGTCAAATAGTAGATTTTTCTTAAAGCTCCTATAGTATATCAACGTCCATACAGATGAATGTTGTTAAAACAGGGAAATATGGATATTTTAAAGGATAACATACAAAAATAAACGAATTTGTAACTTTTATTGTAACACTTCTCATGGCTATCCTTATTTGCTATTTGTAACTTTAACAGCAGTTTATTATTATCAGTCAATACATGAAATTACAAGGAAATACTGATGTGAAATTTACAAATATTTGGTATTAGCCATGTGAAGTGCCAGCTAATAGTAATGCCCCTATTGAAAGAAATTTATACTTTATTTAAATCAAATGCACTTTATGATCTCAGCACAATTAAGTCAATCAGCGGTTAGTTGTAAATCTATATTGATCATTATTATGGTATTTATTCATTTAAGTATGTGTACAAACAAACTTAAAAAAGTGATTAATTGCAAATGTGTGGACTGGTTTCAAATCAGCCTATCCACATATAAGTTTTTCCAAACCGAGTATGCAGCTTCATCATCAAGTAAACAACCAATTAGTTGGGTTAAAAAAATTGTCTATATATACACTTCGAAACGACACATTGTTATTGAATTCGGTCAGATCCACAAGAATTAAAAATTAAACGGTGCTAGATCTGTACAACCAATCGGAGTTGCGTATTTCGTATGGAGCTGTCATGTTGAACAGCCATCTTGTTCTTGTTGTCAGCTGCTTGTCACATACATTTAATTAAAAAAAAACAGATCCTTAGCACTAACAATCAAATTCATCAAAATACAGATTTCATAATCAAATTCAGTAAGATCCAAAATTAAAATACGAATTTTAACCATTATTGGGACAATAGTTAATTTACAATGGAGGATTCTGAAAGGCCTGTTTAAGTCTCCCACCGTAATTTTGACCATAACCGGTGCTGCTGCCGTAATATAGAAACAGAAGTCGTATCCTACTGAGGAAAAGTTGACAAAAGTGGATTTGGTTGAATTAGAAACCAGTCAACTCAATATGTTTGTATAATATATTCTGGAGAAAATAAATCATGTTAGTCTTAAGAAAAAGGAAATTGAGCTAATCCATATAATTGACTGAATTGATAGAGCTTAAGATAATTATTAGATGTAACGAGAAACTATATTAATTATTTTTGTAATGCTTTTAGATTTCTAAAGAATTAACGTTAAGTCAATTACTAAGATTTGGCAATAAAAATAATAATATACATATAGCATGTGATTTCGTAGTGCTAAAATATTATTTATATATAAATTTGATAAAACATATTTGGACAGTATTTTATGATGACAAATTCTAAAGGATGTATTTAAAAAAAAGGCTATTAATAAAGATATTAAAAAGGTTAGGGAAGAGTAAAGAGAAACATGACTATTTGAAACATTTTATTGTATTAATTAAGTAATATTTTTGTATTGTTCCCAAGCAATAATGCAACGTAGCGTAAGGCAGTTGAAGATTTGTGATTAATCATTAAACATAGACATAAGTGCTGCTCACGTAGAAAATTGTTGTTCACAATTGACCGCAGTTATTAAGAAATTCGTAAACTTATGAAAGACATATCAAACTGTACATCAATTGAGAGCCTTTTTACTATATTGAAATTGATTGAAACATAATTATGTTTTAAAATCTGAAGAAAATTTTGATGATGCTCACGAAAGAATATTTGGCAGTCTGAAAAAAGGTAAATAACTGTTTTTATCATAAATTACTTAGGTATCTATGAGACGCCATTTTGTCTAAATACTTTTTAATTTAGTTATATTTCTGTAATAAAAGAAATACACAAAGATTGATTATAATACCCATATTGTATGGTTTACTAAATAATAACGTAAATCGTTCAAAACTTGTCTAAAAGCGTAATAAGGATAATATTAATTATCCTGGCGCATCCTTAATCCACCCATCTTACTTTTTTCAGTTTTTATCATAGTCATTATTAAATATCACTTTTAGTGTTTACCGATTTACAGTTCTAGAGTCTACAAAATTTTTATAAACAATAGATTCGGTTTTATAGAACAAATGTTGTGAACGATCTTTTCATGTATTAAATAAGTTGTTACAGACAGTCACAGGTTAGGTTACCCCAAATTAACCAATTCCTTTTGATATAAGATTCATACTCTATTGAGATAATTTAACAGTTTGTAGTAATTTGATGTGAGGTCGTTGGTACATTGAAAAAAAAATGGAAATTATAACATACCTTTGATTTTTATTCATCTAAAATAATAATATTATGTGACGAGTTGGTCAATATTTTTCTATTCAATATAAATACAATTTAAATTTGTGTTTATTTACTGAAAATGCCTTTATGCTCAATAAAAATATTCGCAGAAGTGGTGCGATCGATAGCAATACTATTTATTATAGTGAATTCATGGAATAGCAAATCGCATTGAAAATGGTCTCTTTAGAAGTTTAATTCAATTCAATAAATCTAAATAAAGGCCTCATCAAAAATATTTCATAATAAAAGTCCCATTTACGAATCTACTTCAATATTTTTTCACAAAAAGAAAATATTATGAATTTTTAAGAGCATTAAAG